ACACTGCATTGCTGCCTCCATTGTATTCTTAAATTGTATCCTTAAATAGCTGTCCAGTGAAATTCTTCCAGGTTGTCCAGAGGTTATTAGCATTCTCCCTTGCAAAAGGGGCCCTGCCCTTTGGACAAAATCAGTGGTCTCCATGGTGAACTTGATGCTATTGTTAAAGAAGCTCTGGTGGCTAATGCCACCATCTTTCCAGTTTGGGGGGATCACTTATTACAGCCCAATGACATGGACAAGCGGCTTATAGCCATGTAACAGCCTCATTTTCTCTTGCCCTTTCCAGCTAATAAAGGTTAGCCAAGAGGGTTAAACTACGTGTGTCCAGGGAGTGGTAAAGGTATTTCTGTATGAAGTAGTAGTTCCTCTTGTTCTCAAGGAGGCAGTAATGTGACCACTCCTAAAAAAAGTGCACTCTGGACCCAAAAGTATTTGGTAACTACTGCCCAATAGCAAATGTCCCCCTTTTAAAGAACTGGTTCATGAGAAGATGGTGGTGGAGCAAGTGCAGACACTCTTGAAGGAAACTTTTCTCTAGATATATGTCAGTCTGGGTTTTGACCTGTTTATGGGCCTGAATCAGGTTTGGTCACCCTACTGGATTATCTCTATTGGGATAGAGATAGAGGAATATGACCCTATTAATTCTGTTCAACCTCTCCACTGAGAATGGTCCCCTCGAGGATCATCTCCTTGAGCTAGGTATTGAAAGTATTGCATTACGGTAATGCCAGTCTAACATGCAGGGTCAATTTCAGAAAGTAACATTGGGTAACTGTTCTTCAAACCTGTGGCAGTTGAACTGTGGGTTTTTGTAGAATACTATCCTGTTCGCAGTGTTATTTAATATCTTAAGTGAAGACACTGGATGGACTCATTCGATGATTTGGAGCCTAGTGCTATCAGTCTACTGATGATACACAGCTCTGCTTCGTGCAACAACTGAATCAAATGTGGCTGTGTGAGGCCTAGGTCAGTGCCTAGACTCAATGATTGGCTCCATGATAGCCAGTAAACTGATGGTGAATCCTGCAACACAGACATCCTGTGGGTGAGCAGTTCCTGACTCAGGGAGAAAGGTTTCTTACCTGTCAGGCATGGGTTTGCACTCTTCCTGAAGTATCAGGTTGGCAGTCTGGGGGTATTTTTAGTGCTGTTGCTTTCACTGGTGTCCCAAGTGAAGCCACTGTTGTGGCTTGGAGTGCCTTTTACCATCTTCCAGTTGGATCACCAGCTACAGCCTCTCCTGCCTAGGCATAAGCACAGTGATACAAGTGCTGGTACACTTGAGATTGGATTACTGCATTGCACTGTATTTGGCACTACCCTTAAGTCTGCTCCAGAAGCTGGAGTGAATGCAGAACAGATCAGTGCACAACTCCTTTGATGAAGGATCTGCACTGGCTAGGGATGTGTGAGAAATCTGCACTGGGGATGGGAATCTGTTGAATTCCCACAGCTCGTCTCCCTGGATGCTGGCCCACTTTTTCGTGTCCCTGAGTCTGACTTGGTGCTTGCCAGGAATTGAGCCCACATGGAGGCTATGCTGGTGGCATCCCTCTTCTGCGCATGTGATCTGTGGGCTTGGTTTGTGCTGCATGTGCTGCGGGGGAAGGTTGCCAGGTTGTGCAATAGTTTTGTGAGTATCCATGGACTTCCTTTTGGCTCAGCACACTTCCTGATCAAGGGTTGACTCGAAAGAAGTCCGAAGAACAGCAGATTATGAGCAATCCTTGCAACTCTAGCACTGGCTACTGATTGTTATTGGCCAGGTTAAACGTATTAGTACTGGTGTGCAAAATCTTGAACAGCTTGGGACTAGGATAACTGAGAGAGGACTTTCTTCTGTACCAGCCTGCCCAGTCACTGAGATCACTGAAGGATATTCTCCTGGTGTTTCCCCAAAGACCTGTGGCCCAATTGGAGTCCACCAGGACAAGAGCCTTCAGTGTGACAGTTCCATTTCTATGACATTCCTTACATTGGAATGTCAGATAGGCACCAACAGTGTGCTGTTTTGGCACCTAACAACAGTCTTATTCTGGAAAGCCATTTCTTGCTGATCTACCATGGTGTTAATATGATTTTACAGGTTTTTAATGTATCGTTTTTACGTTTTAACTTGATACAGTTTATTGCTTCAGAATCTGTTTGGAATTGGAGCAGTATGAAAGTATTGCAACAAAATAATTTCCTGTTGGTTGATGAGAAATGATGAGTGTGTGTAGATATTCATTCTAGTTTGATCCAGATCCACTGTGTGCATTTGTAATTGGAAGTAATGATAATTGTGTAAGTGATGATGTAGGTAAGCCAGTAAATGGTCTGTGAGAATCCTTTACATTGTTGAAACTTAAGTAGATGTGGACTCTTACCATTGCCAGGGACTTGGGCACCCTGTATAATGTGTGATGAAAGGGAATGAATACCTTAGTGCCTTTGAGATTTTTTTTCCTAAATAGAATAAATAAATAACAGTATATATCCAGCAGTTTCAAAATATGGGGAACTCTGAATAAGATTATATAAGAGTGATTTTTTTACTTTTACCATATTTTGTTTGTTTTTCTTGATCTCATTTTTCAAATGCCAAACAAATGCTTTTTATTTTCCTCACTTTCTTGGAGAAACTGTGATTTCTTTCTCACAGAAGCCATAATAACTTATTTAAAACTGCAGGTGCTGATCAGGCCAGAATTTGGATTTTGTTTTTTAAGTAGCTTGTACTTAATCTCTGCTTTTAATAGAAATGCTAGCTGGCTTGATGACTAAGAAATCGCTACATTTGCTGACAGCTTTTGTCCAGTAAATCTGTTGTATTTGCCTAGCAAAGGTTACTAGCTGCTTTGCCAGTCTCTAGGGAGAAAGAGTGAAGTGATGTCTTGCAAGTTATCAGCTTATATCCAACCTGGAAAACACAGCAGGACTCAGTAGCTGTTTTTATCTGCCTTGCCTCTGGTGGGAAAAGAGATGTCTAACATACTCAGCCTACACTGTGCTGAAATACAAAGGCATGCTTATGTTCTTCCAGCACACAGTTTATTTAAACTGGCTATGGAGACCCTCTGTGTGATACAGCTGTCCTCTGCACCAACAAACATTACGGATTGTGGCATCCTTTGTGGAAGATGCAGCATGTTGAACTGTTTTAACATCTTGGGCAGATGAAAGAGCATCCCTGCACAGAGGGATTCAGATGGAGTGCTAAAGATAGTCACTCTTCCATAGCATGTTAAAGCATGGCAGAGCAAACAAATCATGGTGGAAGGGGTGAGCATTTCTTCCTTTATTTGGATGGAATATGTTTTATCTCACTGTCCTCCCATTTACGTTGCTTTGGGCAGGAAATGATTTGAATAGGTTGTGTGCTATAAAGAATATCATTCGTAGCATTCTCCTGCCCTCTGTGTGCCCGCACACACAAACACTGTGAGTGCAGATCTTGCACATTTCTGCAGTAGTACCTTATTTGTAAGACGGCCTTGTCTTGAAGCATATTCATGCTAACACTTGTAGCTACGTTACTGGCTTCATTTGTTTTTCTGTACAGCTTTTAAATACTGTGTGTGTGGGATATTACACATTGACTGCATCAGTGCACTTGGCCAGCGAATCTCCCCTTCAAGATTAACAGTAATAGCTTGTTGTGCTGCTGACTGTGTAGCATCTGTTCATCAAAATAGGAGTTGAACGGTCTTGAAACATGGCTTGCCTCATCAGTCCCTGTAATGGATAATTACCTTGTGTACAGCTATAGTGCCTTGGGAATGCTAATTGGATAATCAAGACTTGCAGCCTCTGAATTACATTTTGCCTATAATTTTGGCCTTTGTTTCACATAGCAGGAGAACACAGTTGTTTGGGGTGACTGATTGCAAAATTGTACCACCTAACATTTAGGATATTTTTAGCATTTGATGCTTTCTGGTTGAGATTTGATGGAAATCACACTTGCTAAACTGTAATGTGTATATTCCTATTTTTTAAGTATGACATATCTTAATTATAAATTAGTATTTAAAAAGTGATATGCCAGTAAGTCCCACTTCATAACTTGTCCTGATGGGGGTGGTTAAGAGTACATTCTAGTGTGTTATTTATTGTATCTATATACGACTTTTTTGCCTGCAGGGGACCCAAGGCAGCTTACATAATAATCCTCCTCTCCATTTTTTTCCTGATAACAACTCCTTGTGTTAAGCTAGGTAAAGTTACTTGTACATTCCTGGAGGTGTTTAAAAACTGTACTATCGGGTAAATAATACAGATAGATAGAATTAATGGGACTCGTACCCTCCTTTTGAGATGCTTACTGGCTGTGGCTGTCAGGTCAAACTGATATATTATGCTTATGGTGAGGCTCCTGTGCCACTTGGTAAATCCAGTTTTTATGAAATGAGAATCAGATTGTACCAATAGCAGCTGTGTAGTTAGAAACCCGGGCTTAGTTGCTCACATGCTATAATGCTACTGTGCCTGCAAAGCCTAGTTAGACCGACGGTGTCAGTTAAAAACTCAGCAGCTTGGTGATTCTGAGCATTTTTCAAACCAGGTTTGTTACGTGCAAAGAATGCGTTTGGAGACCTCTTTGAAGAGTTATCTAGCATTGCATTGCAGTTTCAGTGCCCTAAACTTTTAGGAGCTTGGAAAGTATTTAACTGTGACTAATGACTTGTTCTTTAGCTCCATTGACCATATTACTAGCTTCATGTTGGCCACCATATTAGATTATACCAGCCATTCCCAACCTAGTGCCCTCTAGATGTTTTGGACTTCAACTCCAATCCTGGGAGTTGAAATATGGAGGGCAGGTTGGGAAGGGTACATCATATCTCCTCTGGTTTCCCATCCTCTACATCACTGTGTGCATGTTATCCTGTGTTCTTTTTTAAAAATATATATTACTTGTGGTGGTGGCGGGGATACAGATAATTTTACTAACTTCTCAGAATTATCATATGAATCCTTTTACTCCCCCCCTTCTCTTTCTGAAATAGATAATATATCTGAGAGAATCTCCAGAAACGGTGTACAGGCATTTATTATCTGGAAATGTATCATATCTTCCTTTCAGGTAAATAACAACCACGGATTTGAATAATCCATTTTTCCAGCTTTGCTTAAGGTTATGTGGACACTAATCCCCTGACAGTTTTTAGACTTTTTAATGTGACTTCTAAAATTCAAAACCCCCAATCATTTTTGGAGAACACTGAGGGAGCTGCACAATACAACAAGCTACAGCAAGCCAGGTGCCTACAGACAGCATAAAAAATAGTGCCCAGTGTGATGCAGCTGTATCCACAGCTAAATTAAGGCACAGTAGGCTGCTGTGACATGCGAGTAGCCCCAGAGAGAGACAGTGCACCAGCCTATGAATTCACTGTTGATGAAGGGCAGGGCAGAATCAGTTGTCATTTCCTCTATAAAATTATTTTCCCATGTGAAGGAGAAAAAGCTATTCATTTATGGGAAGGGGGGATTACAAACTCTTTGTGTTGGCAACAAACAGTTGGCACCTGTGTGGAGCCTTCACACACCTGGGGACAGAGCCTACACTTGGTGGTAGAGCCTGCAGTGCTAAGACATACAGCTGGCGGATGTGCTTAAAAGTTGCATACAACCCAGCAATAACAGCTGTGTTTGATATCAGGCCCTCAGTGCTGCAAATCACAGCACTATCCAGGTCACAAGTGCTTCACAGCCAAAAGGCAAGAAATCACCTACCTATAGAGTGGTTAACTTGAGAAACTGAGTCCAGGTCAAGGAATTAAACATAGAGAAAGCATGTTACAGATATGGACTACCGAGACTGACTGCTGCTAAGAAATGTGAGAGAATTGGTAGCAGACAACTCCACAGATGCAGAACAGAGCATTCTAGAAGTGAGCTGGGCATCCAGACGCACACAGGATTCTGTGCTGCCGTCACCAGCCTTTCCTCTCATCTCTGCTTCTGCATAGTCTGGCCATGCTGGTGGAGGTAGCCTGCTCCTGCTCCACCTCTGTTGGTCAACGGGCAGGTGCCTGTATCTGACCACTCGAGAACTGTGGGCAGCAGCCCAGCCTGTGTGGCAACAGTAGACTCAAATTACTGGAGGAAGCCAAGATGGCTTTTTAATGGTCTCTCTTTCTCCTTGTTGCCACTCCTTAGATTACTGACCCAGGAGGGAAAGGAAGCTATCTTATTTTGACCAGGCTCTGAACTCATGGGGAAGTAGTGGTAATGGGATTTACTGGAAGGGAAGCTCAGCAGCAGGAGAGTCGCATCTAGGCAGGGCAGGGCAGGGCAGGTACAGCAGCGTTGGCTAGATGGAGCAGAAGCAGGCAGCACCTTGGACAGGTCAGAGTGAGAAAGCTGACTGGCATGTTCACAGGCGTGGCAACGGTCACTTCAGCAAAGCACGAAGCATGCAGCCATTAGGAAGGCCAGCCTGCCCTAGTCCTGGTGCTGGCCCCATCTTTTAGAGGTGTTTTGTGCATCTCTAAAGGTTGAAGAACACAGAAGAAACTAACCACTTGTGGGTTCTTCCCATTGTAGCACTGCTGTTGTAAGGGAGGTGTACGGCATCAGTGGCCACACATAGAGGCCATTTGGATTTTGCCTCTGTGGGCCTCTTCTTGCCTCCCTGTCCTCAGGTACATTGTGCAAACATGACAAATAGACAAAACTTTAAACTAATGTCCATGGGAAATGGAGGAAAGCAGGCCTTTTCCTCAGGGGAAAGGACAGATGCTCCAGACTAGTCAATTTCTTATTCATCCAGCACCAGGGTACATTTAAAAATGCCACAGGGCAGAGGTAATGGCTGGCCTCTACCCTGTTGCCTCCAGTGTCTTAGGAAAAGGTCAGGTTCACACCTTCTTTGTAGATATATTGGGGCATTTCTCTAAGCAATTAACAGGCACATAGAGAGGCACTTGCAGTGTTTGTGTAGGCCTCTGCCCTGACTGGGAACCCTCTGCAATCAAGTTCCAAGTCACAACAGAAACCAGTGTTCGTGAGGCAGACCCCTTTCTTCAGACATTCTTTCCCTCTCAAGGTGTGGACAGTGGAGGAATGGGGCCTCTGGGCCCATCTCTGCTCTCGTCCTCTACACAGTGATCAATCATGTTGAGTTTATGGCTGATGGTGGCTGCCCTGTTGCCAGTTTTCCCACCTGCAAAGTCCCATGCCTTCAGCTGTGCAGCAGCATCCTTGGCTCCGCTTCCCGGAGTGATGTCAAGAGTCTGACAGAACCTTTAGGACTTGCTCTTCCTTACTTTTATTGTTATTGGTCTGCTTTAGTTATTTCAGTTAACAGGTTTACAAAGAAAACTTGTTTTGGGCCTTGATGGTTAACCTGATGGAAGTAACTGTCTCCTATTGGTTGACCGATAGTCTCTGGTGATATTGTGTATTAAGAATAACATCCAGTCTAGCAGAGAACACACTAAATCTAGCAGATTTAGTTTTCACTTATGTTCATATGTTTCAAAATTTACATGAACAGTCATATAGTAATTGAGAAATGTATGATCAATAATATACCTTCTTTAGTGTAGTCACAACACAGGCCTAAGCAAACCTAATCAGAAGTTAAGACCCCGTGAGCTCAGCGGAACATCGTCCCTGCTAAGTGTGTTCAGGATGTCAACCATAGTAGGCTTACAGTATTGGATGTACATATTAGTTTAGTGTACTTAGTTGAGTAACACACTAACATGCTAGAAATGATATTCTTGAGGTGAATAAATCTGCAGTCCATAGAAAGGGAGCATAGGATTGATCAGAACCTCTTTGCTCGAGGGCTTTAGACAATGCTTCATCCTCAGAGTTCTGTTCTGTTTTTTCAAGAATTTGGAGCCCTATTCCTGACCCCACTGAGACCACATAAAGGTTGCCATGATAGATCTCTCCACAGCAAGCAAGGGCAGCTCCCAGCCTTCAGGCTAATCCAGCCGGTAGGGTCCCCTGTACAGCCTACAGAGGGCTGGGCAGGCTGTACAGGCCTGTCCTCAAGCCCTGGCTTGGGGTGAGGAATCTGGTCTCTGATTGGAGATAGCAGTCAGAGAGGATCTCTCCAACCAGAGATTGGGACACCACCACTCTTTGCAGAGGGTTGCTGGGAGGGTCCCATCCCACCATGCCCGAATCAGAATGCAAGCAGGATGGGAAGGAGATCTGCAGCTCTGCTAGGGCTCCCAGGGCTAGGCCAGAGCCGCTCCTCCTCTCCCCACCATGAATGCTTCTCTGCACTGCCATTAGCCATGTGAAAGCAGTGGTGCCAGCCCAAGTTACCAGGAGGAGAAGGCAGTTAAAGCCTCCCCCACCTCCTAGCGACCCCAAGCCCATTAACATTGCTACTGATGGTGGAACAAAATTAGCAGCTCCCAGTGGATTCCGCCTCAGCAGCCTGCCACACATCCGTCATGCTGGCATGCATGTGTGCATTTATGGCCCCCAAGCAGCACCCATCGCAGCCCTCGGGGTCAAAAGGATCAGGCATGTCTGGTCTGCACCAGCTCTGCAGGGTTTTGCACATGCATCGTTCTCAGCTCTGCCTGAAGATTCCATGGACTGAAGAATAGATAAGTGCCCTTTTCAATCGCAGTACTTGGTTTGTAGAAGACCCCGAATAGAATGTATTGCAGCCAGATGAGGATGCCTAAACTGTTTTGCCTAGGAAAGTGAACTTACTGTAGCTTTCAGAATAAATTCAGATATGTGTGCCTTGCAGGGATGCTGCATTTGGTACTTGCAGTTTTCATCTGACACTGCTTGACTGTTTTCATGCGATAAATAAGGTCAGTAAAACAAGTTTCTTTCTTTTTTTGCCTGATATGGGAGCCTGCACTTCATTCAAAATGGCATTAAATTATTTGAAAGACTGGAGAATTAAGTGGGGGAGGCAAATCAATGTGCCTCAGTGCGAGGTGCCTTGCAAGATCAGAGATGTGCTTCTGTGCATGCTGGAAGCCCCCCCACCTCCAATTTCCAGCAACCCCCCTCTTGCTTCAGCCCGCCATGTTTCATCTTGCACTGCCCCAGGGGCCTTCTGAGGGTAAACAGTTGATTTTCAATGGGCAGTAGATCAAGTGTCCAGCTTTATTAGACAGCAGTGAGGATGGAAAGTTCTGTGGGAGCAGAGTTCTGTTCACATTTCCATGGATCCACCTCGTTGGTCTTTAAACAAAAGAAAAGAATACTTTCTGGGTGTTCCAAGTACGTCACTTCACATATGTGTAATGTCTAATATATAGGTAAACAGGGAATGTTGCATAAATGCAACATCCTGAAACATCCTGGTTTTTGTTGATCCTGCAAGGGTCCTCCATACTTACCATGTTCTCTTGTGGATTTTAGGCTTTGCAGTATGGCTTCCTTGATTTCAATGCATTTGATGTAGATGAATATGAGCATTATGAGGTAAGTATCACTCTCTTTACTGGCTTCTATTTTTAATTTCTGCTGAGACTGTCTTTGCATAAAATTGGCATGCATTACTTATAGCTCTTGATTTTTTCTGTTTTCAAGATAGTCTATATCTAAATATGTGGAGTCAAGGAAAGTAAGGTAAATAACAAAAAGATGTTTCAATACACTTAAGGCTGTCGCATGACAGTGTGAGAGCATGTGGTCTATAACCCCAGATGAAATTGGAATTACACATTTTTATACTGCAAAACCTTACATCAGCATTCCTTGTCATCTTCACTTTGTTCACTGAAGCAAAAATGATTCATGCCAGGAATGTTTTAGGGATAAAGTGAACAGTTGCTTTGTTTTTTTGGCAGAGAGCAGAAAATGGAGACTTTAACTGGATAATACCCCAAAAATTCATTGCCTTTAGTGGACCTCACTCAAGAAGTAGAATTGAAAACGGTATGTTTAAAAGATGAAGGGGTGTGGGACAGAAGGAATATGTGGCTGCTTGACATTAATTATCAATACAGAACCAAGTATTATTTTTAGAACTAAAAAACAAAAACATGTACAGGTTTGGTTACTTTTTTGGTGGTGTGCTTGTTCCTGCCCCAGTTGTGAGTGAAGTGTGAGTGCGTAAGCTGCTCCTCGATGCCACACAGCTCCCACTGCAGCCAGGAGGAGCTAAATGAGGTTGGTCATGACATCCCACATTACGTATTCTAGGTTATTAGAGGAGAGAGAATGCAGAGTTGTAACCCATGGTTTGCTCTTGGGTTGCAGCTTCCTGCTGTCTCTCTCCGGTAGCCCAGAATTCCACGATCAAGCATCTGGATGAGCTACCCAGGGTGGAGTGTTCCTGGGTTGCTTAGCTCAGTGGAAGCAGTTGGGTGGAAGCCAGCTTGCTCCTGCTCTTTTTAGAACTGCTCACAGTTGAAACAACCTGTGGGTAGTCATGACATGCAAACCAGGCATGTTCTGTACTGCCATGAATATTCTGTCTTCATTTCCTTCCTTCCAGGTTATCCACATCACGCCCCTGAGGCCTATTTCCCCTATTTCAGAAGACATAATGTTACCACCATCATCCGCCTGAACAAGAGAGTGTATGATGCAAGAAGATTTAGAGACGGAGGCTTTGAACATTACGATCTCTTCTTTGCTGATGGAAGTATACCTAATGATACCATCGTCAAAACATTCCTAAATATTTGTGAAAATGCTGAAGGTGCTATAGCAGTTCATTGCAAAGGTATAGAAATGAGGAGATCAAACCCATGATGTTATGTCTAAGTCCTTTGTCCTCCTTGTCTGAGGCTGCATTTTAAAACATTTTGGCCACCTTTACTCTCATTTGTCCTTGAAAAGTGAAGCTATAAGGGTAGGGTGGTATTTAGTTTTTTCACTGTTAGAACATGGGGACATGCATTTCTTCAGGCTCATCTCCAACTGCTTTAACCTCTTGCTAAGTTAATACCAAAATAGGATTTGCAAAGTTACATGAGGAAGGACAGCATTCAGATATGCTTTAGGCTGAACTTGGGAAGTGTAAGCATAGGCCTCTAATTATGCTACTTAAAGCCTCATTCCCAGAGGAATCTCCTGTATTGGAATAAGCATGTTCAGGCCAAGTCATCTGCATAAACAACAACAATGATGATGGTAGCTTTCATATACATCTTTCTCAAAAGCAAGGCAACTTCCAACCAAATTCGAACATAAAAATTTTAAAACACCTAAAATAATTTCCTCTAAAATACAACCATCCCATAAATAAATAAAAAACATACAACAGACAAATCATGTCGTAGATCACTCAAGACCTACATATAGTTAAACCCTTCTTCTACATCATACTTTTTAAAAAAGCAAATACCCCTGGGTTTTCCTGTTCTACCTACAGCCCACCTTTACCTCTAAAATTTGCTGCAGGGGGTTGGAGAACCAGTCACTTCCTGGAAGTCTGCAATGTTGCAGTCTAGCAGACCTCCAGTGGCAACTCATTCTAAGGGGGTAGGGTCTCAGAGAAAATACCATCTTTCTTGTTCGCACCTGCTTAATAGTCCTGAAAGGTGGATATATGAGAAGGATTTCTCATGCTGTCCTTAGAGTGCAAATATATGTGAAGGTAGCCCTGCAAGTAATTTGTTCTCAAACCATGTAAAGCTTCAAAGAGCAAAGCCAGTACATTAAATTGGGCTCAGAAGCTTACTGGTAAGCAGTGCAGTTGGCACACTGTAGGTATTATATGATCTGATTGCCTTACTCCCATCAATGTTTGGGCACTTCTGGACAGCGCATTACTTTAAGCTAGCCTGGATGTCCCCAGATAACTGAGGCAAGGTCCATCTTTTCCAGATGGGGCCATAGCTGGAGTGCTGGCTTAAGCAAGTAAAACAGACTCCTGAACACTATTCCTGTCTGGTTTTCCCCATTTAGTGCAGAATCCAAGAGGATTTCCAGCATATGAACCCAATCATTTAGGCAGGGAGCAGTTTCTTTAAACCAGTTGTAAACCTTCATCCTGTATACTTAATTTCCCAACCCAAATTACCTTTGTCTTAGTAGAGCCTCAGTTTGTTCACCCTCCAGAACTGCCTCAGGAGTTTGTCAGCCTCCCTGAGAGGCATACATGGAAACAAGAGGCAGAAGTGTGTATCATCCTTAAACTGATGACACTTTCAAGCCAAACCTCCTGTTGGCTTCCCACAGTGGTTTCATGAAGCTGCCCATTCTGTGGCAGGATGGGACCTGGTCCTCCAGCAGCACCTTCTGAGACTGCTCCTTCAGGAAAGGCTGGAAGTTCTTGAATTGTTTTCTAAGCTCAAGCCAGAAGTTCCAGAAGGTTACTGTGGTCAATAGTATCAAAAGTCACTAAGAAGTCTGGAAGAACCAGCAGGCTGGTTTGCACTCTCCCAGTATTTAACATGGAATGCATGTTAACAATACACATGCAGAGTTAGAAATGACTTAAGTCCATGAAATTGATAACCTGTGTAAAAGGTGTTAGATTGTTTCCAGATGTTCATATATGGAATTGGGCAGAAGCAGTTTAGAGGTGAGATAACTGAAAACAGAGGAGTCTCAAGCCAACACAGAAGAGTTAATTTTCTGGCTGTTTACACTTCCTTACAAAAGATTTTCAGGCTGCAATCCTGTGCAAGTTTAAACAGAAAAACAGCCAGCCTTAAGAATTTTTTCTTAACATACACAGGATTGTACCCTCAGAGAGTATTTCAAGCTGTCCAGAGGGAATGTTGTAAGCTATAGGAAAGGAGTTGTTCTTAAGGGTTGTGCTGCATGAGAGGGTTTATCAAACCGAGATAGGAATGTAGGAAGCCGCCCTTTTCAGGTCATACTGTCAGCCCTTCTAGCTCAGGCATATTTCTCTGGCTGATGGTGGATCTCCAAGCTTTCAGGCAGAGAAAGGACTTTGCTGTCTCTTCCTACTTGATAATTTTACTTAGAGTTGCTGGGGATCTCCTGTAGGCAGAACATACCTTCTGTCACTGAGCTACTGTTCCTGCTGCACTGATGTGCTGGGGATGTCATGTTGTGAAGGCTGAACCTTCGGGATGTGGGGTCCAATTTGATGAGTAGCGCAGACAGTACGCAATTGTTTTAGGGTTTGCCCTGCTGCTATTAAAGCATGAATGATAGTCTGCCTGCAAATGCCTGAATAGGGATGCATTTCCTTGTGTCTTACACAGCTGGTCTTGGCAGAACTGGCACCCTTATAGCCTGTTACATTATGAAGCATTACAGGATGACTGCGGCTGAAACAATTGCCTGGATTAGAATATGCAGACCTGGCTCTGTGATTGGATCACAGCAGCACTTCTTGTTAGAGTAAGTAGACCTGTAAATGCAAATATTAGATAATGGATTCTGTTCTGAAAGAACAGGTTATCTGTGTGTGGTTTTTAGACCCTGGCTTCACACATGCGTATAGTGGCCATCCTCCTTTCTGGGATGTTTTGGTTGTGTGCCTCTCACTACTTAGATCAGGAGTAAGCTATTTTTGGTCTTCCAGATGTCGTTAGACTGCAATTCTGTCAGGGCTAGCCAGCATAGCCAGTGGTAAGGGATGATGGGAGTTGTAGTCCAGCAACATCTGGAGGGCCATAATTCGCCTACTTCTGGCCTTGATGCTTGCTCTTTTACATGTCAAAGCAATATCAGAAGCTGGGATTAATGCAACCTACAGTCAGGCGTATCTGGTCCAAGCCATATGTCTCACTGACTTTTTCTGCCCTGTCAGGAGAATTCAGTGGCTGAAAGTGCATATGATTTAGGCTGAAGACTCTGAGCCTCTAGGGCTGCATGTGTATTATTCTGCCTGGTCTCTGACAGGAATCTGCTCTTCAGCCACCTTGAAAACGTGTGCAGTTATTCAGGACCACATAGAAAACTAAAATCTTTCTCCCCTGCTTTTCTGTAAATCATCCAAGGAACAAATTACAGTTGCATTTTTTAATAATCATATACTACATTTACTGTGCTCTTCTGCTTGTGGAAGGGCTTTTGATCCAATAGAAGTGTCATCTAATGTAAGGGATGAAGGCAGATTTCATCACTTTCCTTCTGCAGCTCTCCGTGTCATCTCCCATCTTGTTTCAGAAGCCCTAAGCCCCTGCACTGGAGCTGATTTTGGAGTGGGCGTGGGTTTGTGGTCGGGAGAGGGGATTCACAAAAATCATCTCATTTTCTTTTAATGAAAGCCTCCATTGGATCAAAAGACATGCAACAAGGCAGAGGGCAAGCACAGTTAGATGCAAACTAATAGGGATGTTACATATCTCTTTGAATCTATTTTATGCCACAATTGATGTTGTATTAGGGCAAGCAGAGCCCTAGTTAAGAATCCTAGGGCAGGCAGAGCCCTAACCAGAATCCTAGTTAAGCTATTTGATGAATTATAAATCTAGTCATAAGTTGGCTGATTTTTAACACTTTTCTTTCCATAATAGGAAGCAGTCAGAACTTTGGATGGAAGGTGACATTTTCCGTTCAAAGCTAAGGAAGACCCAAAACTGTGTTGTTACAAAAATCCTTTCAGGAGTAGATGACATTTCAATTCATGATTCCAAAAGTCAGAATGGCAGCAGGAAAGATTCTGAACCGGTAATCTTCCAAATGTTGTGCTGTTGTAAATTTTAAGACATTGCTTTAAAACTTAAAAGCTGCCAAAATGGTATAATAAGGCTAAAATAGCTGGATTCCTTTGAATGCTCTTCTGTATTCCTATTCCTAATCAATATTCTAAGTGTAGTGGAGAATAGGCAAAAAATAAGCAAGGTAAAAAGACAGTCTTCAGGTTGAGGTGTGGGTATACATATACATTTGACTGGAATGCCTCTTTGCAGTTCTGTTTGTTTTCTGTACTCCACTTCATCTGGATGGTTTGGCACCTGAGTTAGAAACTTAAATAAATGGAGACACAAAAATATTGTAAATGAATCAGTTGATGCTTTGGGTGAGAAGATTCATGAATTCACCCACGCTAGGGTGTATGTTAAATTTGATGCCTCTGTACTAAGATTTTGTAGCTTGATTTACGGAATTCCAATGAGTTGCCATTTATTTACAGTTCAGTGATGAAGAAGAAACAAACATAGTTACACAAGGGGATAAGCTTCGTGCCCTGAAAAGTAAAAGGCAGGCAAAACCAAACTCGGTTCCACTAACGTAAGTTAATTTTATTTTGCTTTCATAAATGTCAAAGCTTCATTGCCTCTTTCTGGAAGATTGACTTGGTATGCTTTTATGTAGTTTAATGTTGTACATGTTAATTTATTGCCATCAACTTTCACCTCAATATGTATCTTCTCATTGTCTTGTTTCCTTATCATCAGTAAGTCCTCTTCTGTATTTCTGTCAGGTTCACATTCCCTACCTTAAAAACACTCCGGCTAGATTAAAAAGTGCTTCCTTAAACTTGACATTAAATCAACCCTTAAAAACTTCTTGGACTCAGTGTCTTTTTAAGCAGGGTCAGCTACTTGAAAAGGCTCTTCTGGATTAGTTTTTGTACATACCATTTTTCTCAGAAGATCCTTGCTTTGTAGGGCTTTGCAGTTAGGAAAACTACTGCCAGTGAGGATCCCTGTGCTGAGATGCATTGTGTTCCATGCATGGGAAAGCTAATGCCTAATAGCAGCAATTCCTTTCTATGTACATTCTGGTTAGAGAACAGACATGTCTGGTGAAGCGCATGCCACACTTTTTGCCTGTGGAAAAGCAACGCATCCTTCTGTGCTCTATTTTGCATAAAATGTGTGTGTGTGTGTGTGTGTGTGTGTGTGTGTTAGAGTGGATTTACTAATATCAGGGAAGCTGCTGGAGCAATTCTAATATATGGATCCTCCCATGGGGGCATTTAATATTGGTAGGCTTTATTGTGGACTTGGTTTTGTTTTTGTATTTTTTTTTAAATGGCATTTGAACAGGACTAGGGTTAATTTTTCCCAATGAGGCAGATTTTGAGGTGGAAATATAATTGAAGAATAATTATGAGATTCTGGTAGCATTTACCCTGTAGATAAAAAGAATACAACTCCCTGAAAAGCAGCATGGCCTTTGAACAGAGAGGGAAAATGTTTTCCCTAAAGGAAGCTGTCAGATCTTTCTCTTTTTTAAACTGCAACTGGCTGAAATGTTGTACCACTCATTTCTAAAATCCTTATTTTTCCCCTTTAATGTCATATTCATATCTTCCTCCCCACCCTCGCTCCTTTTTAGATGTCTCCTAGCTATGCTGGTCTCTACCCTGAGTAGCATTGTCATCTGGTGGATTGTGTGTGGCTCCTTTCTTCCCAACCTGCTATTCTGTCTAGATGGTTTAAGAACATAGGTTCACCAGACCCTCACTTGGGAGAGCCACTGTGTAAGTGTCCCTATTACATTCTCTACAGTAGCTCACCTTCTGCCTCTTTCATTGACGCATGCACCAAGCTCTGACTGTCTTTTTTAATTTGCAAGAGTTACTTTCTCTAGCTGCTTTTACATGATACATGAATTATGATTTTGTCTCCTTCAGAATTCCCAATTGATAACTGCCAAATCATTGCAGGAAAAGTGATCTTTTCTTGCTTGTGTGTTTGTCTGGATATTTTGTGGATAAAAAGCTGTGCTGGCAATGTGGTGGTTGTGTGACTGGTGCTTCCTTATGCCAGCATATGAAGAGTTTATCAAGAGTCTCTCAGTTTATCAATTCTGCAGTAGCTTCAAGTTTGATCCGCTAATTACCTGCAGTAATCTTTGAATCTCAGACTGTGAATGTGCATAGGCAGGTCAGGAAATCCAATGCTATGATCCTGTGCTCAATTACCTGTGAATAAAGCATGTTGAAGCCGGGGCGGGGGGGGGGAGGGGTTGCTTCCAGGAAGCATACAAGGGATTGGGCCACAGTAGAAGTCACTAACTATGCGGAGGCAGAATGAAACAGGAAAAATGCTTTCCGGATTACAGCTACTGTCCCAGCCCTTGATTTAAAGTATATAGCAATGCTAAATCATTTCTTTCCATCTCTGATTTAGGATGGTAACAAACAGTAATTTACAGAGCAAGGCAATACTTTGTCACTTACATTGGGAAGATTTTTTAAAAAATAAGGCATTCTGCCCCCTGCTGATTCTTTGCAAAATTTCACTTTTTCCCTGTGTCTGTCTTTATAAGAAGGTCTTGGTTGTGTTTGAACAGCTTGTTGTTTAACATTTGGCTTTGAATTCCCCTCACCTGTCCTGATCTAATAAATCAGATGTTCTAGTGCAAGCCTACAAACATGAAATTGAAACAGTAATTTCCTTAGCTTGACATTTTTGCTCTAGTGTTGCAGCCTGTTATCTTGCTCTAAGTAGAAAAGTAACATATCTTACATTACTTGAAAAAGACAATAAATGTTGCAATTACTGCATATATGCCAGCCTTGATGTATTTGGGATAATGTGCAATTATTAAATTCTGGGGATGTAGGCCACAACTCTTTTCGGCTTCTAACTGGAGGCAAAGATGCACTGCAATTGGGGGGGGGGGGTGCAAACAAAACCTGAGTTTGTTGAAGTTTTCAAAATTCCACTTCAAAGCCTGTTCTGTGTTGTGTCCATATCAGAAGGCGATCTTTGTTTCTTTTTCTTTCTACCTGAAAATGTGTGTGTGTTTTCTAAATACCCATCCATTGTGCCCATCTTTGAACTCTACACATTCTCCTCCCTTGGTTAAAGTGTGTTTGTGCATAGTTTTCTGGAGTACTCAGTTTTTCATAAACATTTTTCAACTGCACACATGCTCTCAAATCCCCTTGAGGCTACAGAGTTCTGCTTCATGTAGCTGTGGATCCAGCCCACCGAAAACTAGCGATCTTGTTTGTTGCTCCTCCATTGTAGATGCAGGGCCTCAGTCTGGAGCTACTTGGTTTGTTTGTTGGTGTGTGTAAGCAGAACTCTACCTGTACGTTTTTCTCTTTTTTATATATCTGCATATTCATAAAGCCAGTTAATCTGTTTTGTGGAGCCAACATCTGGCACTTCATTTAAGGTGCTTATCTGCATTCTTCAGTCTGCTTCCATTGCTGGGAAATGTGCATATGGTAGTTTCTGGCTCCTCTGTAAAAAACAAGAAATGCTGCTTCTCCCTTTAATTTTCATTTCAGACTTGTCAATGAGGAAGAGTGTTGGACATATCCGTGGTTTGAGTGAAAACTATAGATAGTTTCAAAACTCAGTAAGAAACTTAGCAGCTATCACACAATCACTAAGAAGAGGTTATAAGGATTAGTCCACAAAACCTGTCTCTTAAGCATCTTTTTGGAAAATCGTGTGCCATCACATTCATTCTTATTGTGTATTACTTATTTTTCAGCTTGTTCTACATAACCTTCTTTGTCCTAATCATTTCAGAGTAATTCTGCAATCGAGTGTTCAGCAAAGTAAACAGTCTGAACCTAGCATTTCTGACAATGCAGGCCTTACAAAAAGAACTACCAGGTCTACTGCAAGAAAAAGCAGTTTTAAAAGGTGAGAATTGCTGTCCTGAACTCCAGACATTGTCAATTAATGAAGGCTTGAACTTTCAGTAAAATGTACACTTCTGCCAATTCTAAACCAAAAGTCATTTTCATATATAACACTAAACCATGGCTTAGGCTAGCAGTAGTGAGTCACAGGCTTGCATATTCTCTTTCCAGCCTCCTCTAAGAATATCCGAAGCATCTGTTCCCACTTTTTAAGCTCACCAGAGTTTCTCATTACAGCCGAACTAGGGGGACTTTGGTTAGTTTAAACCAGGGTGGAAGGACATTTTTGGTCAAAGGTCATCATTCCCTTCCAGGAACTGCATGTCCGGGGCAGGTGGGTCTCTCGTAAAAATGGGTGAGTCAAAGCTAAAGTGAGCAGACACATGGATGGACATCCATAAAGTTTGGGGAAAGCCTTCCATTGAAGCCAGGGAAATGCTTTCTTCACATCTCTGATTGCAGTATGGTGGTAAGGTGTTGTCACAGGAGGCTCTGCCAACCAAAGAGTCCCCACCCGAGATTTAAAATGTATTGTCTAATGAATGACTGTGGTTAGTTAGCAAAACATAGTTTAAACTAACCAGAATTCTCCTAGACTCTGGTTTAAAACTGGCAGAAGATGTCTCTGATCTGCTCCATGTGCAGCTATTTGAAGGGTGGGAAGAGGAGAAAGAAAATGTGTGAGCTCAAGCTCTTTAATGCTAAATTATGGTTTAGTGTTGCATTGAAACCTAGTCAAAGAAGTGTTTGCTTATGGAATAAGGTCTAAACCATTGAGTTATATCTGGCAGTGTTGAGCAACATACTTCATGAAATAAGTTCCATCAGCATACAGGCTATTAGTCTCATAAGAACAAGTTTAAAATGCTTTTTTTTAAGGGTGAGTCTTACGGTCCATAGGCAGCATCTTTGGGGCCACAGGATAGTTCATATTCCCAGATTTGAGGTCAAAGACAGTGCTCCAGCTTCAAAGCTGCAACCCCTGCCCTCTTGCAACTGGCACAGAAAGAACTGTGCTGGTTGCTCTCCAAGTTCAGGAAAGCAACCTTGGAAGAAGATGGAGAGGAAGAGAGTGGAAAGGCCAGGGTATGAACTACCCTGCAGCTCCTTCTTCCTTTGGGACAGTCCAGTTAGGCAAAAATGCAGGACGAGATGACAGGGAGACATAGATCACTGTCCCCTCCTCAGTAACTCCTTAATGAGGGTCAGGGGTATATAGGGAAATGTATGTAGGAAACGTATATAGGAAAATGTAGATGACAAATGCCTCTTAGAAGAGGCATTCCCTCCTGTGTGAAAGAAAAGGTGGAATGCTGCTTTTAGAACTGCTAAACCATATGCATACCTCATCCAAGCACAAGATGTATGTACTTCCTCCTCTTTAAAACATCTATTTTGCCAAATATAAAAATGTACGTTGATTTCAACTCAGTGATCAATTACTCAGTTGGCCAAAGCTCATATAGTTAACATGCAGTCCTGTGCATGTTTAGGCAGGAAAAGAGTCTAACTAAACTCCAGCATTCCCCAGCCAGCCATGTTGGCTTTGTCCGAAATCAATTAAGATTTCATTTATAAGGTAACAGCCACGATATAGTAAGAGTATTGGAAAGAGTTATTAGACTGGCTGTAAGTTCATCTGAAGGAAAGGATAACTTTGATCAGAACCTAGTTTAGAAAATACATCAGTGTGCATATTGTTGTTGTTATTGTTCTTAGTTGTGAAGTCATGTCCAACCCATCGCGACCCCATGGACAACATTCCTCCAGGCCTTCCTGTCCTCCACCATCCCCCAGAGTCCACTTAAGCTCACGCCAACTGCTTCAATGACTCCATCTAGCCACCTCATTCTCTGCTGTCCCCTTCTTCTTTTGCCATCTATTGTTCCCAGCATTAAGCTCTTCTCCAGGGAGTCCTTCCTTCTCATTAGGTGGCCAAAGTATTTGAGTTTCATCTTCAGTATCTGGCCTTCTAAAGAGCAGTCAGGGTTGATCTCCTCTAGGACTGACCGGTTTGATAGCCTTGCGGTCCAAGGGACTTGCAGGAGTCTCCTCCAGCACCACAATTCAAAGGCCTCAATCCTTTGGCGCTCAGCCTTCCTTATGGTCCAGCTTTCACAGCCATACATTGCAACTGGGAAAACCATAGCCTTGACTGTATGCACTTTTTTTGGCAGGGTGATGTCTCTGCTTTTTAGTATGCTGTCTAGATTTGCCATCGCTTTCCTCCCCAGGAGCAAGCATCTTTTAATTTCCTGGCTACAGTCCCTGTCTGCGGTGATCTTGGAGCCCAGGAAAATAAAATCTGTCACTACCTCTATTTCTTCCCCATCTATTTGCCTGGAATTGAGAGGACCGGATGCCATGATGTTAGTTTTCTTAATGTTGAGTTTCAAGCCAACTTTTGCACTCTCTTCCTTCACCTGCATCAAGAGGCTCTTTAGTTCCTCTTCACTTTTCTGCCATTAGAGTGGTATCATCTGCATATCTGAGGTTGTTGATATTTCTCCCAGCAATCTTAATTGCAACTGGTGATTCATCTAGCCCCGCCTTTCTCATGATGTGCTCTGCATATAAGTTAAATAGGCAAGGTGACAGTATACAGGGTTGCCAAACTCCTTTCTCAATTTTGAACCAATCAGTGGTTCCGTGTCCAGTTCTCACTGTTGCTTCTTGACCCGCATATAGGTTTCTCAAGAGACAAATAAGATGGTCTGGTACTCCCATCTCTTTAAGAACTTGCCACAATTTGTTGTGATCCACACAATCAAAGGCTTTAGCATAGTCAATGAAGCAGAAGTAGATGTTTTTCTGGAACTCCCTAGCTTTCTCCATGATCCAGCGTATGTTGGCAATTTGATCTCTAGTTCTTCTCCCTCTTTGAAATCCTGCCTGTACTTCTGGTAGTTCTCGGTCCACATACTGCTGGAGCCTAGCTTGTAGGATTTTGAGCATAACTTTGCTAGCATGTGAAATGAGTGCAATGGTGTGGTAGTTTGAACATTCTTTGGCATTACCCTTCTTTAGGATTGGAATGTAAACTGACCTTTTCCAATCCTGTGGCCACTGTTGAGTTTTCCAAATTTGCTGGCATATTGAGTGTAGCTCTTTTACTGCATCATTTTTTAGGATTTTGAATAGCTCAGCTGGAATACTGTCACCTCCACTAGCTTTGTTTTTGCTCAGACTTCCTAAGGCCCATTTGATTTCACATTCCAGGATGTCTGACTCGAGGTTAGTAACCACCCCATCGTGGTTATCAGGGACGTTAAGCTCTTTCTTGTAAAGTTCTTCTGTGTAATCTTGCCACCTCTTCTTAATCTCTTCTGCCTCTGTTAGGTCCCTGACATTTTGGTCCTTTATCATGCATATGCATACATTTAATATTTTGTGTAAACTTGATTGTCAGTGAGACATTTTGAAATGTGTCTTTTCAAAAAAGAGATAATAGTAATCTGATTTTGTACAACAGCTGTCTAGGTCTAGGGGCATTTTGTCTTGTGTTAGCATAGGTTTGCCTTCCCTCTTGGAAATACAACATGAGAGACTGTATTTATCTGCCCGGCTGAGCACTTTATTCCCCTTCTCTTACTATTTCTAGAATTGGTTTCTGCTAACGCTTGTTCTCGATCAGCTTCCTGCAATGCTGAACTTTATGCTCTCAAGAAATGTTCTCCACCTTTACATTTTCTAAAAGCAATAGAACAAATTAACTTATTAATAGAACTCTTCCACAGTACCTTTCTCTGCAATACAATGAAAAGTTGAACCTGACAATGCTAAATATTGAGTTGCTTCAGTACAATTAATTGCTGCTGTTACTTAGCAATTCTCATTTGTGAAGTGGAAGTTTGCTAAGGATTTGTTAGCTCAACTTGTGCAAGGTGCTATTTCAGCTGTTTCTGGAAAAGTTAAGGTCAGGTTAATACTAATACACTGATTGGTGATTCACTAATTGCTGATGTTTGCAGGTTAAAACTAATTCACAAGAATGAGTGACTTGTTTTGACTGTTCATGATAGTAGTGTGCTTTCTTGTCCTCAGGTCCATAGTTGTCTACCCTAGCCATCAGTAAATTCATACACATACTCTGTGCGATGGATCTTCCCTATTATTTACAAAAATCAGATAGACTAATGCTGAGGAGAATGTGAGAAAATGCTGTCTAGTGTATACTAAACAACATGGTTTCTGCAGTTGCATTAGAAGAGCATTCTGCTGACCAGTTACTTTGGTGTGTAATATTCTGCTTACACAGATCAACCTAGAATAGAACTTGGAGAAGCTCCCCAAGTGTCAGGAAGATGAGATTGGAATTTAAGCAAGATTACCAGTGTAGTGGATGCTCCAAGACATGTTTGCATTGTGGTTCATCCTAGAAGTTAAGAATAAGTGAGAAAATAGCAAAATTCACCTGCTAGGTTTGACTGAGTTGTGCTGCATAAACAGTGATGGTGTGACTGTGCTGTCCTAGTTGGATCAGGTTGATCTTGTGTAGATTTCATTCTGTGGTCTTACTGAGACATCACACTCCAATCCTGATTTTAATTAAGAATTGGGAATGTGCTGCAAACTTATGCAAACTCCTCCATTTTCAGGTATCTTCTAACTATAGCTTGCCAGGATGTCTGAATATGTTGACATCATGGGAAACTCTGGTTAGAAGAAACCCGAAGATGGAGAAAAAAATCTACACAAGATGGGAGGAAGTAAGCCTGCTTCATGTTCCTGATGTTTCAGACCACAAGTTGGAAAATGGTTGAATCAAAGTCAACATCTTTGATCACTCTGGTCAGTGCCAAATACTGTCACTGTCCTTCCACTCATTCCGTTGTGCCCGTGGTTCTATCACTGGTGCAACAGGAAGCTACCACTCCCTTAAGCAAGCCTGAAAACACGTGGAATCCTTGCTTCCAGATTGCAACAGAACAGCCAAGCTCCCTTTGGCAAGCTCCACTTCCACTGATCCGCCCCGTTCTAGAAGTGAGTGCTTTCCCAGAGTGGGTTCCATTGGCACATGGGCAATGCAGGATACTGCCCTCTGAGAGTAACTCTTCTTTTGTTCAGTTGCTACTTATGTTGTCCCCTCTTTTTAATTTTCGCTCTGGAATTTAAACTGGAAAATACCATTTAATGGTAATCATGCCTCCTACCTAGAAATGGCAAAATATAGTAATTTTAATTTTATTTGGCAACTGAAGAGTTTTCTCATTCCTTTTCATTCAGTCATTACATTTCTGTTCCACCAGTAAGCAAAGGTGTCTGGCTGATTTACAGAGATTAAAAACCTTTAAAATACAGTATTATACTTGGTGTAAAAATCAATTATATAAACAGATAAAGCACTTACATAGATGCACACACATGTATATATCAGCAGTTTTAACAATAAGAAAATTCAAGACTTGCTTTAAAAACGTATGCTGCCAAATGCATGAGAACTTTTTCTCAGCCATCAACCTCTGAGTGCTCTATGCAAACATGTATTTAGGAAGCTTTGCTTAAGCAAAGCACCCAGAAAATTAATTCTGTTGCTGTGGAAATGGAGAACTGTGAAACAGAATGTTGAGCAAGTTGGGATAAAGCTTGGAAAAAATAGAGGCACCAAATAGAGAATTAAAAAGTTACTTTCAAGGGCAACTTCTGGTGTGGCCACACCTCAGTTTCATCCCCCCCCCCCCCCCCCGTTTATTGCTATGCTTGACCTGGAAACCTGATGTGCTGAAAAGGGCCTGGTCCTCTTTAGCGTTAGGTTATATGTTCCGATAGCCTGCATATGTTGAGGGAGGCTCATTCCTGCCGGGCATCGACCTGGTTTGCACACAACAGCAGCCCACTGTCGTCAATTGGCATGTGAGGAACAGTGGTGCATCCATGTATCCTTGCAAACATGCTGGCCCAGACCAGGTCCTGCTGTGACTTGTAACTTTGTGTGAATCCGACATCACTTCGGTGAACAAGACTGCAGCTTCTCACAACTAAGTTAACCTGCAGTGGGCTGTTGTGTCATATGAACAAGCCTGTTCTGTGGTCGGTGCACTATCTCCATTACGGTGGACACTGTAGCATTTTTCCCTTGGATATAGCTGCTCTGTGGGACAGCTGCTACCTGGAGCTTGTTCACAAGGAGTGACCATGTGTAGAACAGCTATCAAAGGTGTGTACATGCATCTAATATATCTCAGCTAGTTCTAAAAATGGGATCTTAAGCTCATGAACCACAATTTTCAAGGGTGCTTAAGTAACTCCCTCCCCTCTTTTTCTTGAAAATGTCTGGAAATCCTTACTACAAATGAAAGAGTCATGCCTTGTTGCTACAGTTAGCAGTTTAGGGAACAAGATATTATAATGACACGATGAGTGGAGAGAGGATGGAATTTAAAAGAGACATGACGAATAGGAGCAAGTACACAGTAAGTGCTGTCCTGTTAATTAAATAGTAAGAAATTGTTTTCACTTATTTCAGGGTATTTGGCTTTTTTATTTTTTAACTGAAAAACTATAGACCTGTTTATACATTGTCTAAAGGTTTTTAAATCACAGTTGCATTTAGCTCTCTTATTAAACTTGGAAGCTAAATAAAAGTGACTGAAAGTCACCTAACTAGTCTTAATTTTTTTTTTCTTTACCTTTTTTTCTACTTTTCCCACAGTCTGATGCCTCAGAGGGAAAGAAGGAAAAGGGATGCTTTACAACAAATACGCTTATGGTACTTTGATCCCACTGCTTTCTCTTTATGAACCTGAGCTTTTATTTATTTTTATTTTTGGCTATCTGATATGTGTACGATGAATGGAAGGTGTGTGCCTTCATTAGTACTGAAGTGACATAAAAGTTAGAATATAGCCTGGGGTTTCCTACCATCACCATCTTTTTGTTTGCTTGCTTCATTTAAACTGCACAACAGAGTTTCAGTTAATGATTTGTGTTCTGTCATTTATATATGACAACCTGTAAACTTCCTATTTTTATCATTTCTGCAGTGCTCCTATCCCAAGAACTAGAACTGTGTTGCGTTAAGCAATCAGAGCCGAAGAGGAAGCAGTTAATGAAGGAGATATTGCTGTCAATTAAAAAATCGAAGCGAAACTTTTTTTTAAAGCAGTGGTCTATTTTAACATTGGTTGGAAATTTTTTAAAGCTTGAATAGAACTCTTGCACAAAGGCCCGAGGTTTTTATGACTGTGATGCTGATTTAAAAGAAGAATGTTGGAAGCATTCCAAAATGTAAAAATGATAATGGTCTGTAAATTTTAGCCATGGGTTTAAATAATTCTCTTGTTAACAAGAGAACTTGGTATGATGCTTATGTAAATAATGTGATGGCAATCGCTTTAGCTTATGTCCACCACAAAACTGATTGTGGGGAATATTTTTAGCTGTTTGATAATTTACACGTGTCATCTCAATGTGATTTCTCTTCTATAATGGAGGGGAAGGAATTGGGAAGATAACTTTTTTTGCTCATAACATGCTCAAAATTTGACTATCCTAATTGTATTAGGATTTTTATCATCTATAACTGGTTTCTAAATTACCGTCCACCAAAGAGTGCTTTATATTATGATTTTCTGAGTTTTGTAAGCTACCCAACTGCCTAAAGTGTTACTTATTATTACGTTTAATTAGTACAAACATCTCTGAGGATTAATGAGTGTGCTGTATTTTGAAGCCACTTTTTGAAATGGGCTGCAAAAATCACAAACAAAAAATTCCTAGACCGAGCCTCACCAAAAATATCACTTGAAGCCAAGATCACCAAACGGAGACTGTCGTACTTTGGCCCTGTCCTGAGAGCCGACTCGCTCGAAAACTTGATCATGCTGGGAGTGATCAGTGGAAAAAGGAGAAGGGCCACCCCAGCACTCATTGACTGGACACCATAAAGAAAGACAGTGGGATGGACATGGCGGTCTTGAAGAAAACTGTGCAAGACAGAGCGGCATGGAGAGCAACGATCCACAACTGAATGGTTGATGACAATGACGTATGATACTATGTGGGTGGAGAGATGATCGCAAAGCTGCTGCAGTTAATAAAGGCACTCATTAAAGAGGCCTTTTTCAGAACGTAATTTACACGGTCACTCCTATACTCCTCCATCCCATAAAATGCTAGGACAGTCCTGCGCCTTCCACCCAAGGCTTTAACATTGGATGAAAGGATGGCTTGGCCAGTTTGAGACCTGTTTCCAAGCAGTGGCAGCAGCTGTCCTGCATTTCAGAAAGTTCTCCAAGTCATACTTGGAGAAGAAAGAAATTGACCTGCTGGCCTTGTGTGTGCAAAAACGGGCTCCACTGCTCAGCTTGGGTTGCCATGGAGCTATGACTGAGGGGAGATAGTTGTGGTAGCCTCATTTCTGTTCTGCCTGCCTGGCTCCATCAAAGCTTTAATCACTTCTTGTCTTTCGATGCAGTGGTGGTAGCTCTGTACTGAAGTCTAGAAAAAGAGCACGGTGACCTGCTACAATTACCGCTCCTTGCGTTGAAGAGCTGGGAGAAACAGTTGCAGAAGCATGATGGTGCTCTTTGTGTCCTTAGTAATGGGCACAGCAGTTAGAGCACTAATGAGCTGCAGTAATGCCTTGCCTGCCTTTCCGATTGAGCTCTTCCCAGCAGAATGTGGTCTGGGTCACCTGAGGATAATTGATACTAGCCAAGAGCAGACTCCTGATGTTTGAGCTTGCAGAGATTGATGGCAGTTCAGTGTTGAAACATTGGGAGGGGTGGCATAAAGTAACCCTCGGACAAGGAGGGAATAGGAATTCTTCGGCCGAGCAACTCGCTGATAGCAGCACTTTAAAATCTTTATATATTTAGGCATTTTTGGTTTTTTACACTTTCTACTCATGCAGCAAATCCATGCACATTACAAAAGAATCTGGAGTGTGTTTAAAGAGGCATGTGAAAAACTAGTCTGTCATATTGGGCCTCACTGCTGCTGTGCTAGGACTGGGCACATTTCTGTAAACATGCCTTGTGAGGGAGGATTTTCCTGCAACAGTTAAAAGTTTCAGCAGCAGTTTCCTGCTGCTGAAGAATCACCAGGAAACAATTGCAGTTTGTGTTACCGCTGAGCCTGAGGCATTCTTATTGTGTACTTTGCAGTTGATAAACCTTGCTTTCATATAAGCATGCAGAAAACAGTTTTGTGTTACATTCTAGAGGAAGTGGTGCTTCCTACATCACACATGCAAAAGTGTGGCAATTATGCATACATACACAACTGTTTGGGTCAGTATTCTTGGCATCATAGACGCAAGAAAACACCCATCTGTAAGTTCACACTTTATCTGTTTGCTGCTGGAAACATCACTTCTTCCAGAATTATTCTACATAGAGCTGCTCATGAGATCTTGGCCTCATTTTTATTAAACTTCCAGGGCTTAAATCTAACATTACTTTTTCAACGTTTATGTAAACCACAGCTCCAGGTGTTTAAGTCACTCTGCATGAGAAGTGGGGAAGCTATAACCTTTCGATAATGCTAGACTCCCAAGTCCCACCATCGAGCCATGGAAGTCTAATAGAAGTTGGTATTCAGCAAGTACTAGAGGATTGTACATTCCCCCACCCTGTTCAGCATGGGGTCTAGAGCAGCTTTCTCCAACTTGGTAATCCCTTCTGCATGTGTTCTACTACAGCTCCCAACATCCCCAGCTACTATGGCCATGGCTAAGAGTTGGGGCCCAGCAAACCCAGCATCCACATCACTAACAATTTGAGGAAGGCTACCCTACAGCAAGCCACAAAAGCTCTCTGGAATTTAAGACTCTCCCATTTGCTGTTAGAGCAGGTCACTCTTGCTGGAGTTCTGAAATTACTACTTCCAGAAAGCTTTTAAAAAGAATGCGCTTGTTCTGTAGTGGTATGCGGCCAGCTACTCAAGCTCATACTCTTCCCTATGGCATTTAATACGGTTTCCATTCCGGAATCCAAGGGTGTTTAAAACAGTAGCTTTGTCATCTACTGTGGATGGAAAAAATGACATCACACCATTCTCCTGTATCTCCAGCATCATAGACGAGATCTACAGACAAGCTTCCGCTAAGCAGTTCACACAGGAGTAATCTCTCTGCCTGGAATGAATGAATGAATGAATACACTATAAATTATTAATAGGAATCTTAAGTTTTTAAATGTTGTTACCTGCTTTACTTTTTGTTTAGCATGATGCTGTAAACGAGGGAAGTTACATTCCTCCTGTAGAACTGAAAATGGATGGATGTTCAGATTTTGTTAAATCTGTTCCCATCTGTGTTTCCTGTATGACCAGGTGTCTTTCATGCAGTCATCCATACTTTGGCAGAATTCTTTTTTTCTTTTAGGAATGTACAAGAACTTGTGCCACTCACACAAGGGTGACTGCACAAATCCCCCCTCCCCATTTTTTTTAAAGTCCTCAAGTCTATGAAATTCAAATAACTCAAAGCCAAAACACTAGAATCTGCAGGATGGATTCGGAGATCTTGAATTCATTTGAATCTGTTGTGGGTTTCTGTATGTTAGCTTCAAGAGACATACTGTGTTTTTACTAGGTCTGGTCTTCAGTTTTGTAAGACATGCCCTGACTTTCCTTGCCATGCTTGTAGTCCATTTAGCCATTGATTTCTACTTCTGTGGCAGTACAAACTAGCAACTGCTCAAAATCTTTTGTTTCTTCTGCCATAACTAAAATTACTTATTTTGTACTCTTAGCAGTAGAAATATATCCTCTGGTATTTCTCTACAGATTTAGGAGGTTTTTAAGAGTGATTTCAAACTAATTTGCTTTTTAGGGCTCCTGTTCTTAACACTGATGTGTATCATGTATTTTAAGAAGTAGCGCCAGCCTTAAACTATTCCATCTAGTTTTAGCTGGCATCCTTAAATTTAAGTCTGAGAACCCAGTTACGCTTTGCATCCGATCAGCTGAAGTTCAGATGAACACCTGACATGCTTGCGCTGAGATAGTGTCCACTTCTGTTGCTCTACCATGAAAGACACAGGATGAATAGATGCATCTGTCCCCAGACTAGTATATTTAATAAAGATCATTCCCCTTTTCATGCTCATTGAGGATCTCCCTTTCTACAACTAATTACTGTTCTGGAATTGTAGAAAAGTAATGCTAATGAGACATTGGAAAAACTCATTGTTGCCTTGTAAAATTGTGTAAATTAGCTGCTCACTGATGTATAAAATACTAACAAAATTGACAAATATTTTATGGTCGCCTGAAGCCTGTATGTAACCACAAGTGCCAGCTGGTAGGTTCAGAGTCAGTCCATGAATTTTTGCTATACAAGTTGATGTTCTTGGAGAAAACAGCCTAAACGAAGGAGGTGAATAGGATTCTAAAGTATGCTTAAAGTGTTTTCTCATTTAAGAGTTAGAAGCAGGGCCTTAACAGAGTATAGGAATTCAATTCGGTCCCTTTCTCACTAAATGTCCCTGCTGGGTTACTGGCTGTTTCCCCACTCTTCCCCCCCACACACACACACACACACTTTTGCTGCACTTGGCATCAGCTAGGAAATTCAAAAGGACCCTGAACTTGATAAAGGAGCCCCAGCATTAACTTAGAATGCAATCTTAGGTGTATTTAGTAGAAACTCTTGAATGTTTTCAATAGCAGCTACTGCCAGGTATGTCTGGAATTACATCTTCCACATATCAAAAACTTGAAAAGCAGTCACCTTAAACTAAGCTATAAGATTTTTTATATAATTTTGCACACATTTCTAATCTTAAAATAGAAGTGCCAGTAATGCTAGCCCAACTAACCAATGCTCCAAACTGACTGAAGGTACATCTTATACTGTTAAGTCTATCAGTTAAATAAGAGCCCCAAATCATGTTATCTCAAAGCACATTTAAGAAACGGCCTGACATCAGTCTGGAAAAATATCCCATTTTTGAATGAGTCAACTATATGAAGTGTGTTTGCTTCATCTTTCCTGCCTTATAAACCAAAGAAGGTCCTCAGTCCTTTTCCACTGCATAATTTGCTACAGCTTCAGTTTGTAACAAATTAAGTGGCATTTAAGACATTTATTTTGCCTTTGACACATAATACATACCAAAGGAAGTTATTTCACTTCTGTACTGGTTAGCACAATTGCAGTATATTCTTCAGACTCCCCATTACAGTGATGTTACTCCCAAACATTCACCTGCACTTGACAGCTGTGCTGTTTAAGGTCTGGACAAAAATCAAGCTTTTTTTCAGAGTTGCCACTTGCAGTTTACAATTATGTTGTCCTGCAGTTTTTCTATGTGTTGCCTTGTAAACTCTTGTACATACTGTTTGTTCAAAGTATATGGTGTAATCAATACTGCTCATCTTAAAAAATCTAATATTTTTTAAAGCCAGACATTTATTTTACTACATATATTTTAAGGGGAAATGTAACCTGTAGTATACATCTCATTATATCAGTGTAATTTGATTATTTAAATACTAACCTGTACAAGAATTGTATACAAATAAAATCTATTCCTTATATGAGGCTCCACCACAAGTGATGGATAATACAGAACTTTCCAGAAGTCCATATTGGTGGAAATACACTGGTCTTGTCCGTATCTTATAACCTAAAACACTTTAGAAAAACTGTTGCTAAGAGTGTATTTATAATTCTGTTAATGTTTCTTTTTGCAATTGTGGCATCATTTTTCCTCAACTGTATTCTAAAGCAAGATGCTTCCCAGGGCCACTCTTGTACCAAAGTATTATCCCTACATACACTTCAGTCTGTCTCTCAACAGGAAATGATGAACTGTGAGGGTTTATTTGTCAAATCTATGCTTTTACTATTTTTCGTTAATGGTTGAGAGAAACAGTATTAAAATGATCAGCAAACCCTTCAGCCAGTTCAGTGCTGGACAGACAAGGCCTGGTGGTGTCAAAGAACGATTACAGAACACTTGGAGGCTAATGAAATCCAGAGTGCAAAGGCCAATTAAACCCTTTGAAGTGTGTGAACCTGCCCACATGCAACTTATTCAGACTTCAGGTGAGGACTTGTATCGAACAAATAGTTTACCACAGAAGAAAGGGAACTGGGGGTCCAGCCTAATGTGCTTGACCTTGCAAATTTTCTATACGAGTATAGGGAGACCTTTCACATGCAGAATTAACCACCTTCCATCCTATCAGCATACAACTCTGGTTTGTTTTTACTCTATAGCTTCCTCCCAGAGAATGCACTCAATTTTTCAAGCTGCAAATGAAATAATGTCTATAGTTTGCAGCCTCTGATAGTAAGAAAATAAGTTACATTTAAAATAGCACCTTACACCCCAACCAGCAAGTTTTGTGTTTTATTTGCCACCCTCTGAAAATTGTGCAATTACCTGAGTATGGCAAAGGTTCAAGTGTCTATGGGGGTTTACTATCAAGTCCCCAATATATAATCTTGTATAGCTTACATTTGTGACGCGATTGACAAAGAGTCGTCCCGCTGCACCTGTTTGACACCATCATCTTGAACCTTTATTTGAAACCCTTCGCGTACGATACCATAAGCCTGCACACTGCTAATCCAAGAACAGTGGTGCTGGACCTTGCCTCATAGCCCACTGGATATGTCTAGGTTCTTAACACAATAGAAGTGCAAAATTCACACACAAAAGTCATTTCTCTCTGTAGACTTGGATGATTCGCTCCCACAGCAACATAGAACTGGTATCTTCACGGCTACTTTTGGAGGTGCCATTCAGTTCTTTCAAGCTAAAGCAGGAAAATCCTCAGGGTCATCAGGGTTTGGAGCACTGGTGTATGTCTAAGGGGAAGAAGAGTACACTCAAAACCTTTTAAATGGTTAATATTCACATTTATATCCCACCCTTTTGTCAAATTATAGCTGGCGGTTATTTGGCTACTCAGCTAGAGGCTCTGGCTTTGTCCATCATGAGTTCTATTTGGTGGAACTGCCTTTTAATTATGAATGAGGAGTTTCCATGAACATTAGGCAAGTAATTTTTCCAGCAACACACTCAACTAAGAATTCAGTGAGGAAGCTCAACACATTTGTTATTGTGATACTGTGCTGTTTTGGAGTTGCCAAACTAAATGCCAAAACTTGCCTCAACATCATGGTAAGCCAAGAAGTTGTCCAGTGGCAAGCTGCCAAGGAAAACCATAGGAGCATCTCTGCTTGCAAAGGGATGTGGTAAGTAAATTGGAGAGTTATTTTCAGCAGGGTTATTTCAAAATAGAAGAAATCTATATATATATCCATATCAAAATGCTATTTAGCTCTGTCAAAAGGCCTACTTTAAAAGATTCTTATTTTGACAATTGTCCAAAAGTAACTACTCATGTGGAAACGTGGATACTGTAAGGTCTGTATTTAAACTAAAAGGATCTCTCTGTGAAGGATGTGATTTACTCACTCCCCCACCCCCTTTGCATCCAAAGATGTTCTTGTGACTTTGCATTTGACTGCAGTCAAGCGAAAGCAAAGTCACAGATTCAAAGTAGTTATCAGGCCACAGACCATGCCAGGCTCTGCATTTCAGGTACTCAAGAGTTATGCAGCTGCACAAGTCCAGAAACACCAACTCCACAATGAAAATATTTGCACGCATTTCTGGTCCAAGGTGGCAAACGAGTGATGGCTCCTCCAGTGTGCTGCTTCAGCTGGGGCTGTCAGTCCAGAGACGACAAACCTACCTTAAAAAGCGGAAAAAGCAGCAGTGATAGCAAACCTATCACGTTGTGATGTGAACAGAGAGAGGAGGTAAGACAGGTTCTGTTGCGTAGGGATTTGCAAGGGAGACTGTCCTTCCATTGCCTGCCAAGCACACCATGAGTTGTTTCCATGAACACCCTACGCTGCAATTTATCTCCAGGGTAGGTTGCTGTGTCACAGGAACTCACCCACTGTTTAAGTACTGTGTGTGCATTGCTTAACTTTCAACTTGTCTCGTCCAGCTGGGTTTGGACAACATGACATGGCGTGGCTGTACCTTGCATAGTTATAATGGTGGCCAGCCTGTACTAGGGCACTCCAAGGGTACATTAACCCATAAAAGGCTGTTAGATCATGCAAACTGACATGCTGTCAGGCTAGGTAGAGATGACCCCATAGCACAGTTGAGTGTGGGTTGCTGAAACATGGGTTATTGTGTTGTCTGAACCAGCTGTTAACCACAAACCACCCATGAACACAAACACGCTAACCCAAGTTTCAACAGCAATCCATAGTTCAACCACCACCCACACTAAACCCTATCGCAACATCATGAGTTGAGATTAAACTGAAGTACGTTTGTGGCTGAACTCTTTGAAGGAAAAGCAACTGAACTGGTTTAATCCAAATACGCCTTACTGTTCCTTTTCCCACCAATAGCACATGTAAAGGCACTCTCCTATGCCAAGCTCTTAATTTCCACCCATACAAGAGAACCATCTGATGGTGGATGCAATGCCGAAATACTAGGAAGTAGCTAAACATGAAAATTTGCTAGTTTCTTTTGTGTTCCCACTGATAGTGCACAATCCATTCTACCCCTATGCACTTTTGACCCCAGAATTACCACTTAATCCCTAAAAGAGGGGTTGTGGGGCCTTTTTGTGCCGAGGGCTAGATTTCCTTTTGGAAAAGCTCTTGGGGACTGTATTACAAGTCCCAGCCCCTCAAATTCTATTATACTAGGAACCCTGTTTATTCAGAAGTATGCAGAAGTATGCAGGATTGAATCACCCTGTTGTACTTTAAAACTGCACCCCAAATATCAGGTCTTGCTGCATGTCTTTTCAGAAGTAAGCACAACCATGCCTACTCAAAAATTAGCAGGACATGGTTCATAAAAAGTAGGCCTGCCATTCAGCACCTTTTTCCTGACCTCATCCCTTCTGCCCCACAGGGAACAGTTTTCCCTGTGGGGCAGATAATCTCCACAGGCTTAGCAGGCCCATCCTTTCCTCAAAATACTGAAGTATTTCTGACATCTTGGACTTCTCAGTGGCTCAAGATGATCCTAACAGCAGAACAAACTGTGTTTCATTGCCTGTTAGGCTCGCGCTCTCTGGATCTCTCTGGTAGCCAAGGAAAGCAGGGCAGAACATTAATAAATGGCGGGAGCAGGCCTGCAGTGAAATGTGGCGGTGTGGAGTGCCGTTTCCAGGATGCTACCTTCCATTCCCCAAAAGTGAGTCAGTTATGCATGGCAACTGAGCAAACTCCGTTCTCAATAGCTTGCCTGGGGGAATTTCCCACTTGAGATTTTTTTCCTAGACCGTTTTTATGATTCTCAAAACTTTGGGATTCCCCTATACGACGATTGTGCAGAGTAGTACCATTCTGACTGCGTAACTACAGGCATTCGGTGTGCACTGGTGGTTATTTTCGTCCCTGCTCAGACCGGAAGCTCCCAGTTTGACTCTGGGCCAGTCACTCACTCACCTCACAGGGCTGTTGTAGTTGGGGAGGGCACTATGAGCCTCCTTGGGCTCCTCACAAGAGGAAAAAAGGCAGACTGTAAATGTACTGGGATCACAGCAACTCAGGAGAACTGAGATCACAAGTAACAGAAAGGATTACCATCACTTCTGGCCTGGGTCCCGAGTCCTCCACTCTCCGGACGCGCCCACGCCCACCTCGTGCTCCTCTCGCTCCACGCCCAGGACGAGGCAGATTTCCAAAATTAATGTCCAGCTGAGAAGTGATGTCATTTGCTGCTTTACGGAAAAAGTGGGACTCATCCTCAAAATCCTCCTTCAAGACCTGGAACAGAATGCATCCACATTAAACAAGGTATCTGGAAAGAACATCATGCCGAAAGGTGCACCGAAGGCTTCCTTCTTTTCTGAGGAAAGGGAACATGAAGTAAGTTACAGACTTTTAAAACCATTACTCTGTTCAACCTACCTTTTGGCCCAGTGGGCCAACAAGGTGATTTACACAAATTTAAGAATTCAAGAATAAAATGTAATGAAGTACACAATAAAGGACAATTAACAGTTATAAGTGACTGTCAAAACAAGACAGGACAATAAATGAGGACCATTTTAGGCAACTATGCCAAAACCAGAGGCAAGGGAGAAGAATGGACTTCTTCTAGAGGAGCTGCCACAGCCTTGGTGACCCTGCTAAGGATACTCTGTCCACAAGCACCATCTGCTACTCTTAAGATAAGATGGAGCCAAGAAGAAATGAGGAAGGTCCTGAGAGATGGCAGTCCTTAAGGCAGGGCTGGGCAACTCGTGGCCCTCCGCACGATTGTGGCCCTCCGGCACCACAGCCATAGGTGAGGGGAGTGGTGGGCCAGAGCATCTGAAGTGTGGCAAGTTGCCCACTCCTGTCTTCTGGCATTCTTTTAACACACTTGACAATAATAAGCTGTTTTCCAAAGTGTGTTAATATTACACCAACAGTATTATCACTTGCAAGTATAACAGGCTGACTAGTTGTCTCTGCATTAGAAAGATGACATGGGGCACCTAATGGCTTTGAATTTTCACCAACCAACATTTTGCTCTTTACAAAAGCAGTAGGCAACATGCTCTACCAAAGGTGCTTGTCCAGGTGCCACATTGGGCAATAGCTTTTAATCGTACAAACCAGAAAAGCGTATTTATTTCCAAGCCATCTGTTCCATTAATGTCACTAGGTATCCATGTGCTATACCAAGTTCTTCGGACCTCTAGCCCAAGACCAACACTTGGTTCGAACAACATGCCGGACTCACCAGAACTTACTTGATCCATGCTGCAGCACATGCCAGGCATGCACACACCCGTTGTGGATAGGGCCTGCCATTTGAACCCAACCACCACTAGTTATTCCCGCCTGAAACCCTGAAGAGCTGCTGCCGATCAGGGTCAGCCACACTCAGCTAAATGGACCACAAGTCAGACTTGGTATGAGGCAGCTTCCCATGTTCCAGCATTCATTTTGTCACACGAGGGAGCCACTTTTCTGCAATGGTGCATTCACAGCAAGGTACAACACAGCAACATTGTATCGAGCAATTTTAAAACAGTGCTACCGTGTGCAACCCTCAGTGGTCAACAGCCAGACAAGAATCTCCGAGCAAGAATGGTACCACTTCCAAGTAAACCATGCATCAAACCCTGCTTGCTCTCAGCCCAGCAAATGGTAAGACGAAGAGCAGGCGCGAAGGGCATGGACTGATGGGAGAGCTGCCTTTAATGGGCCAGCACAGCAGCTCAAACCACATGCTCAGTCATGCTTATCTTTAGCACAGCCTTAGGCACTCAAAACTATTATTAGTTACCAAAACTCAAGGATCCCCTCAAGAGCAAAAACTTCAGTGCTTTAGTTTTGCTTCCAAACGACAAGAGCCTTAAAATATTGCAGTGGAAATTGATTTGACTGAGGAAACAGCTATGAACTTACTAATATACATACTCAGAGGGCTTGTCACACCTTCCACAGAGTGCACTTCCACTGCATTCAACTGAACATATGCAGAGAGCTGTAAGCATGCACGGTTCCATTTGTGGGTTGTGTCTGCACGATCAGGATCCTGATCACCAAGACAAAGCTGACTGTTCTGGACAGGCACAAGCTCGGGGTACCATGCATACCTGCACTGAAGGCAATGTGGCTGGAGTGGACTCTGCTGCTGTGATTGTCCCTCTTTTTCCCATGGTTCGCTGGACATAGTTGTTTTCATGTAAAATGCAGTATTTAATGTAGTGTTTATACTAAAGTGAGTTTGCGAATGAGATTAAAAAAAGTGCCACAAACCGAATCGCTGATATTCAACCATCACAACAAATAGAAACTTCAACAAAAATGTTTCTGTTTGGTCATTATGATCTAATCAGAGTGGAGAATGCTGCTACAAGTTAAAAAACAAACTTGAGCTGTTGCTCTGATGAACTACAGAAATTTTAACACAGGGTTTAAAGGAAGAACCCTCTAAATTCTAAGTTAATGCTTACATCATCTCTATATTTTGACTTGTGAATCACCACTGCTTTGGAAGGGACAGTGGTTTCAGGCTTCCGGATGTTGAATTCAGGCTTTGGTCGATTTTGTTCCTGAAGATTTTTCCATTCATCCAGTGTCATCTCTTGAACTACTTCTTCCACTGGCTCTCCTTCAGCAATTCTAAGGGTGTATAGTTGCAAAGTAAAAACCATTAACCTTTGAAATGCCAGGAATGGACAGGCAGGGTACAGCTTCATTGAAGGCAGCTTACTCAGGTTTGTACAAAGTGTCCCTTTCTGAAAGGCAGGTGGTAAGGAGAGCCTGCACATGTGCAACAGGCAACAAAATGCTGCAGTATCGAACGCTCCTGTTCAGCACTCCTGTCCGCCAGCCACACCTTCTTCCAAGAAACTCCATTCCATCTCCCCCATGCTACAACATGAGCACTCAACATGGCCGCTGAGCATCCTCAGTCCTAATCGGGCTGTTTGTATGGCTGCCCCTTCCGGGCTTTTTCCTCCACAGAAATATTTTTCTTCTTTCGAAAACTCTGGGGTTTCCCTGAGCACACTGGTGCTCCCCTCTTGTTTCCCATTTTGTTTACACGGCTGTCCTAACTCTGCAGCTGAATTCAATAGTAGGAAATGCAGTACGAAAAGGACAAAAGGCACTTTGAACACTGGGTTCAGATATTTTTAAATATGTTTATAACCTGACTTGACACCGAACATTCGTGGTAAACTCCTTGTGACATTGACAGTAAAGTCATGGTTAAAAAACTGTCCATTTGGACTATGGTCTACGTCTTCTTGGTAATATAGCCAAATTCAGTTTTGTGTATTTGCTTGGGGTAAAGGATCACCTGCATACCTGCTTTCAAATTGATCTTATCAACCTTAGTCATAAGACCAGATTAGTACTTCACCTTGCATTTTCAATCTATTCGAAGTTGCAGTACAAAGTATGTGTAAATGCTTTGGGTGAATTCACAGTAGCAGCATTCCTCAACCTGGTATCCTCCAGACATTTGGGTCTACAACACTCAGCATTCCTTTAGAAGTGGGCCATGCTGGCTGGGGCTGATGGAAGCTGTAGTCCACAACACATGGCAGCATCCCAGTTGAGGAAGGGTGCTCGACTGGATTCTACCACTAACCTTATCCTGCTACAGGAATGCAACTCACTTTCTCCTGTACTACAGCAGCAGATACTGCACTGCGGCATCTCTGTTTTTTGGGTTTTTTTAAACATAGATGATCTGTTCAGTTGTGCCGTAACAAGTCCAAGATGTATGATTAAAACAGAACTCAGTAATGTATTGCCTTAGCTGTATGCAAGCTCATCCACGAAAATATGAGACACCTGTCTCTGCCTTCAAAACTAAGTTCAAGACTAAACCACATGTTTTTACTAGCTTGCCTGCCCCACAGATACCTCTGTACCTTTGTCACATGAAAGAAAATCAAAAAATCTACTCCATGGTATATCCTAATAACAGTAAGAAGTTTATCTAATGCAGGGATGGGAATAGAATTTGGACATTTTATGGCTGTGGCAATAATTCCACCAGGAATTACACTATGCAGATAGCTAACTGGGAGAGTGGTTTTGTTATTAAAATTGAAGGCAATCTGGAAGTTGTCAGAAAAATCCATTTCTGCTGGGGCTTTTCTTCTTTGTAGTCTGTACAGCATTCAACACTATCCTCACAAAGTAGCTGGAAGTTCCTCCTACACACTTGTGTAAAGCATGTACCATTCTAAGCTTGGCCACATAGACAGGAAACCTGAATCAGCCCTATTTCCTCTATTTTTAGTAAAAATTAGTCTGTCCCAAATAAACAGGCCAGAAACCCAACAGAGATCTGGACTGTGGAAGTGGGGCAAGTTGAAACAAGTTTGTCTCATTTTAAGTCAGTTAAATGATGAAAGGCAACCCAGAAGACAGGCAAATGTATTCTGCCCCCTCAAAACAAGTGGTACATTGTGTGTCTTAATGTTATATGAGAACTACATTTTAGAGAATCTGTTAAGTGCAAGGGTTTCCCTCAGCCAACACAGTCATGTGATGCAAGTTGCTCACATCACTCCAGTGCTGCTGCATAGAGCTTGCCTTCTAGATGGTGCATCAAGACCTTTAAAAATGGTTTAATGCACAACCTGAAGACACAACTCAAAATCTTTCCAGAATTTGCTATAGTCTGGTTTGCACATAATAGTAGCACACATAAGCCATCTCTGCTTTTATTTAACAATGTAGGAATGCCCAATGCCCAAGCTATTTCATGATGTTAGGACCTAGAAACTCTGGGTTCTTTGGAGGTCAAAGACTCAAGAGCAAACCCTACAACTGCCAAGTTAAATCAACCCCCTGAGGTTAGGCTCTCAATCCAAGACCATCCTTGGTTGCACTATAATCATGATACATCAGTATCTATTCCATATTCCTGATTTTTATCATTATGCTAGAATCTGCTGTACTTGGCATGATGCTGGAATAAAATTTCCCAATAAGAGGCTTTCTAATGTTGACTTAGCAGCAAGAAGAGCAAGATATTCAAAATCAGTCCATACTTAGCTGGAGTTTCTCCCTCAGGTGCTCCTGAATTTTCCTCCGTTTCTGCAGTCTCTTCCATAGGAGCAGTCTGTTCCAACTCACTGTAAAACATTCATGCACATAAAAATCATATGGATTGTTCAGAAAAAGCACTATTCCTTGGTCCAGCCTTCCCTAACTTGGTTCCTTCCAAATGTGTAACCCCAGCCAGTATGGCCACGGGAAATTCAAGAAAAATGCCTTAATGTCAGGAAGTGGGGCTCAAAATATTGGCCTCTGTAACCAGTATAATGCTTATGCACTGAATGACAGAAATGGTCCAATAGGTTAAGTAAAGCCGTAAAAGTATTATTAAATAAAAACTCCATTCTGCCATCTTCCCTGCGCCAAAGTTCGCATGTGGACATGAGCATTAACCAACATGTAGACATGAGTGCAATGTGCTTATTTGTCAATGTTTTCATTTAAGTTTCTCTCTAGTAAACCAAAATGTCAATTTTTTCTGTTCACAAAGTTTACCCAAAAGCAAGTAGAGGACTGCCCGCTTTAAAAACAGTCTGCGGTATGAACAACCCATACTGACAAACTGCGATAAAGTCTATGGCCTACTGTAGGGAATTGTTAAATTGTTATCACCATAGAAAGGAAATGGAAGGGGAGAGAGGGAGACCCTCAAAGCAGGCCTTCCTGCCCTGCCCATCTAGGGAGGGAAATCTCTCCAGCATTTCCTTGCTGCAAAGAGGCGGCACTGGTGAGTTTGGGTGGGGGGCAGCTAGAGATATTTGCATTTTTCCACTTTCATGGGGGTACTGTGCCCCTGACACTCAGAAATGCATGATCTGACTTGCAAACAAACTCAACTTAAAGATGAATTTCAGTTTTCTCAAGAACGGAACTCATTTGTAACCTGGGGACTGCCTGTACATACTAATTCATAAACTTTACTGCAAGTTACCAATTTTAACTGCAAATTGAAGTATTGAATTGCATATACAACTAGAGAGCTCTGGATATTGAATTGTAGAAATGAAACGAACACCACAATAGGTATCAGTAGAATAAGAAAATCAGTCAGTCCTCCAAGGTCCTGGGCAGAGATGTTTCCCAGCTCTCAGAGAACATTTAGCAGATTACCTGAAAGGAAGTTCAAAGAAATAAACGTTTCTTATTCCCTACTCCCTCCTGCACCACATGCCACATGGCTCAGGTGGGACCCCAACTATCTAAAGAGGCTTTTCAGAGGTGTGACACAAAGGGATGAATGACTTTATTTCCATGAATTTTCCTCTCAAATTATCTCAGGGTCCAAAGAGTAGCATGATCTGCATGGCTTCCCATGGGCTTACAAGTAAACTGTTTTACACTGCAGAATTTGAAAGCCATCAGACAGAAGTTAAGGAACCAACTTTGTTCATAACTGGCAAATTATGAAATGTGCAACTTGGAAACATACTCTTAATGGGATAAACAGTTTAATACAAGCACTATCATACCTCAGATCATCTTTAACTGCTCCCCAGTTGCGAGGTCCACTTCCACCCCTTTTGTCTTCTGCTCGGACTCCTCTAAAAAATAAATGCATTCTTTCAGTTTCTTTCTTCTTAGAAGTTAAACTATGCATGTAATAGGAGGTACAAAGGCATATCGACTAGGCATGTTAAGCAGGAGGTGGACAGAAAGTAAATCTAGATCTATCCACTGATAGCTTTCAAAATTACTTGCAGTACTTCAGCAGAATTTATGATTCTCAATTACTTAAAGAAAGCAGCAAGAAAATGACTTTCTGTCTCACCTAAAACTACTCCTAAGTTGAAGAAAGACTGTATCAATTAGGCATGGATTTTCATAAAAAACTCTTAAGCTCTGTCTGACACATGCTTTGATTCAAAGGATATGTCATTTGCACCTGCTCAGGTGGTTAACATGGTCCTACCAATTAAAAAAGTAATTCCTGAAAGCATGACATCTTCTCACTATGTTCAGCTCCCCATCAGCACTATCCATGTTCCACAACAGAACCAGTATTGCTAATATCAGGGGTGGGCAATTAATTTTCCTATGGGGCCACATGAGAAACTTTGACAGTTGTTAAGGGCCGGACCAATACACTTACAGCTCTGCTCAATATATATCTCTATTGATATATATTTTATACAGTCTATAAAAACAGTAAATGAAACATTACAATGCTAAAATGAACATGTGGAGCACAGAACAACACTATTAATTTAGCAGATCCTTCAAAATAAAAGCAGTGCAGTTGTATTGCTTGCATCTATATTATGACAATATATATATTTGCATTGACTTTTAATTTGCCAGTGACCTCGTGCGGGCCAGTCAGGGTCAGCCATCGGGCCGGATGTGGCCCGCAGGCCATACAATGCCCAGGTCTGGCTAATATGCTATTTATTAAAATACTAGATAAAACATACATAATGTGTACTTACGTTTTGTCACTCCCACTCTGCCGGTCAAATTCCCGTTTTCCTCTCTGATCAAAGCCATTAAAAGTCCTATTCATTCCACCACCTCTTCCTCTGCCCCGCAGGCTACCTCTTCCTCCTCCACGACCTCTCATTGGTCTTTCCCGTTCAAATCGGTCCATCGGTCTGAAAGAGAATATACTGTAGTTTGCGCTAACACATGGGTCCTCAAACTACAGCCCGGGGGCCAGATCCGGCCCGCCATGGCCATTATCTGGCCCGCCCCAGAGGTTTCCAACGCTCCGCAAGCGCGCCTGCACACCACATGCGCCCACCGCCGCCTGCCTCACCCCTGTGCGGGGAGGCAGAGGCTTGCTCACGAGGAGATCGTTTTGGACTCGCTAGGAGAAAACGATCTCCAAGTGAGCAAGCCGCTGCATCGTGCATGCGCTGCTGCATCGTGGCATGTGCCTGCCCCCGCCTTGCCTCGCCTCCCCTCCCCTTGCCATGCGCACCCCTGCGCCTCGCCCGTGCCCCCCCCTCACGCCAGCCCACACGCCCTGCTGGCACCACCTTTCCGGCCCGCGCCCAGCACCAGCACCTTTCAACTGGCCCCCTGGTGAAAAAGTTTGAGGACCCCGGCTCTAACGCATCTTAAATGTTGTCATATAGATACACAAGAAATACAAACACGATTGGACCAATAGTGGGCTATCCAGCAATGGCACAGAAACCACTTGGGGAATGGATTTCCCCTCTCTTTTGTAGCTCTGATGTGTACCCCCATCTCCTCTGGAGCAGGGGGAAGAAAGCAAAGGGAAGTACCACGCATGCCGAAGCCTGCTCACACAATGTTGGATTTAACTGTTATGTATAAGGGAAGATGTAACTAAAGCTTCTGTTATGCTTGACTCTAGGTTTCACATCTTAGAACCGTCAACTGGAGATGTGTAAGCCAAGGAGAGAGCCTCCACCTCACAATCTGATGCTTAAAAGGAATAACTAACTCTAAGAACCTGAGACAGAGTAGCCCCATGCAGCTGTTCACCTTTCCACAGGTAGGACTAGAGTATGTAGAGGAACATCAGCATGCCTGTGAGCACCACCACCAGCATCCCTACATTACTGGTACCCAGTTAGACTTCTGTGGGCTGAGTCCATAGGTCTGAGGAGTTCATTCACCTGAATGCATTTACTGATTTATCACTGTCATGAACCCTGTCAAATAATTCAGGACTGCTGAGACAGTAGGGATGGGGCTGATATGCATTCCGAAGTCCCCCTACACACTTTAGTCTTACACATGAGCAGGTGAACATACAGCCAGTCAAATGGGAACTGATAAATGAGGCATGGCTGATCATAGCTGGGGATGCTTCAAAGCACTGTGGAATCCACCCCTCTAGTATTCGCAGACTTCCACTCATGCTCTCTGTCTTGGAAAGTGAGCCAAGCCAAGAGGAAATCCGGAACATAAGTTTTACACAACCAGCAACCTTCTTCCCCATCACGTGCAGCAGCACAAAGACTGCTGCATGTGGCATGGAAGAGGGCACTGTCTGCACCATGTCTGCACTCCTCGTGAACACCACCTGAACACTGAGCATGCTCACCAGGACCTCAGACTCATGGTCACATCAAAGCAGACTGGAGTCCAGGAATCGGAGCCCAGGGAAGCTGATGGGTTCCCACCCCAAAACACATTCATTCCTCACCCATCCCTAGATGTAGCATGTTTTTGTTGACCACATCTAGAAACCATTTACTGCCTAACTAAATGGCAACTTACTTTTCAAATGACCTCAAAATCCTTTTAACAGCTACCTTTCTACTTTTCCAACAGCACATACCTTTCTAGAGCAAACTCCACTTGTCTTTCCATCTCTTGAGGACGATATTCCCGGAAAGGTCTCCATTCAGCTTTATCTTGCTTCACCTCTGTATTTCTGTTTTCATTCCATCCCTGCTGTTCCCCCCTTTTTGGAGCTCGTTTCTGGCCTGTTGAGCACAAATTATTTCAGTTAGTAGCATTAAAATTACCTTGGAGAGTAGCATCAATTTCTATCAAACAAACGGATGATCAGCTTATATCTGTTTCTAACACTAGAGCAGAAGTTAATTAACTGAAGTTAATGAGAATTAGACCTGGTTTGTACAACATGACAACCCAACATGTAGTATTCATCATGGTCACTTCCTGTGATGTGCAAAACTGGTGAAGCCTCCACACAGTGGCTTATTTTTCTCAAGGAAGCCACTGTCAGAAGCCATGGGTTGTTCAGGATGGCTCATCATGATGTCCAAACAGGGCAAAATGAGTTTTGAATTTATTTGTTTTGAAAAAGTTGCAGAGGTCACTTGGTAAGAGGAATGGAAATCCTGACTACCCCTTGTAATGCCCTCCACCCCTTCTCCTCCAGCACTCAGTGCTTCATTTGACAGTGACTGACTTATCACCTCAGGAGCAGTACAGTTATGCAAATATGTACAACTGGCTTCTCTCTGAGTAAGCACATGCAACCCCAGTTTGGGATCCTGGTGATTCTGCAGCAGATTTAAGCTTCCCTCCTCCTGTTTTCATAGCAAAATCATTATTGCATGTGGGAATGCTTAATTACTCCCTCTAGAATTCCCATGGTGTTAAACTAAGCATGTCTGCACATACCCAGAGGTAAGTCAATCACATACACATACCAAGCTGTGCCAGCAAGAGGGAAAGTTGTAAGGAACAGCCAAAGAGAGAGTGTACATGTGCATGTGTGTGTTAAAGGAAAAAAAATAAAACTATCAGTCATCTCATCCTAAAAAGTCAATTAGGCCTCCTCCCCGTGCTGAAGATACAGCATACATTTAGCAGCACAGGTGCTTTGCCAGGCAAGAAAGGTTGGCAGAGAGAACCTAACACAGCAGGAAAATAGAGGAGCTGCGGCTGAGACATGTGCAGGAAGCACAAAGGAAGTTTAAGCTGGAAACAAGCCACAGCATGATCAGAGAACTGGATCCTCTATTGGCACCACTGTCGGTTAGCATTCAAATAACTAACCAAGCTTGTCTTGTTCTCAGAGTGGATTATTGTGAAGGGCAAACCAGTCCTTTGAGTAACACAGGATTCAAATCATATAATGTTTTTTTTACAATTATTTAACAGTTTCTTGCACCAATCAATTTCTGAAGTACCTTTTTTAAAGCCAGGACTGGGAAACTATTTTAATTTCTGATTGCACCTGTATTTTGCATTGGTATTTCCTGATGTGTTATTTAAAATAATAATTTAATAATAAACTGTGCTTTTAAAAAAGCTAATCTTCAACTGTTCAGTCAGTTAAATTTCCACACACATGAACTTTTTTCTTTTCTTTCTTTTTTCAAAGGCTAACATACATAATCATTTAGTGTACAGCTTCTGATGTGCTAGAAGTGAACTGACAGTGCGCAATCAAACAACAGAAAAGCAAATGTATTTTCAAGTTACAGATACAGATAGCACTGACTGCCAAAAAAAGTGGAGGGGAAAAAAAAACAGGCAAAATGTTTGACTGGGCTTTACAAGCTCAGAACAAATGATTCAGTGGGGAAGTCCAGCTGTGCATGGAAGCAGGTTTTGCTGGTTTATACGAAAAGATGAATCACACCCAGTATGCAAACTGCTGAACCCCAACTAAAACATATGAAGTGCAGTTATCATGCCTGCCGACAACCAACACTGACAACATAGGATGCACATACTCCTAAAAATGCATGAAACAATTTTCATACTTAGCCTAGGTGATGAAAAAAACAGATCCTGAAGATATACATAATTATGCATGCCCCCCACCCCCCAAAAGACCTTGCAATTGACAATGAAGATACACTCACCCCAACTTTGGCTATTCTAACACATGTGAAAAATATCTGAAGGTACCATGAAGAAACAAATGCTGCTTTAACTGTTAAAATGTTAGCCCCCAAAACCTGAGCTACTGCCACACTGAAAGTCAATTTCATTTTGTTGAAGAGAAGTTGCCAGAATACTAGGTATATCCAAAGACACATGTGCCAAGCACTACAAGCTCTTTAAGAGCATAAACAGCAAGAAGAGCCTTCAAAATGCCACATTCTCACTTCCCACGTTTTGTCCCACTCACATTTCATACATTCCATGTATCTCATACATGAAAAGGGGGAGCCTATTTATTCAGTATGGTTGGAAGAAAAAACATTTTCGAGATCCATTACAATGTAGGGCCCAGTTTTGCACTGCCTTGGTTTACCTTGCAGGATGACCTATGCCAGATGAGGAGACAGGGCAAGTATGAACCTGTTGATTCTCCTAGGCCTCTCACGGTGGCTTTTGATATCATAAACCATGGTATTCTGGAAAGGTGCTGTGTTAGGAATAGATGGTACAAATTTGCAATGGTTCCGCTCATACCTGGGTGACTATTTGCAGAAGGCAGTGTTGGAAAACTTCTGCTCAAATGCATGGCATTTATAATTAGAGATTTCACAAGATCCCATCTTATTCCCCATGCTATTTAACATTCACTAAACACCAATGAACAAGGTTTTCTGGATAGTTAATAGTACTGTGCCATCAGTACGCTGCTGACATCCAGCTTCCTCACTCATTTATCAAATCCAGGTGAGGCACTTCAAGTGCTTAATCAGTGCCTGGTTGTAATAATGGACTGGATAAGGGCCAATAAACTTAAGTTTAATGCAGACAGACAAAGACCTTGTTAGTATGGAGTTTGTCAAGATGAAAGTTGTTCAACCAGTTCTGGAAGTAAGCACTCCCATGAAAGGATTGCATTTGTAGCTCTGAGTTTGCAAGTCCTTCCTCACCACTAGAGACGCACGTAGCCTCTGTGGAACACAGCACCTTTTACAAGTTTAGGCTGGTGTACCAATTAGGACCCTGCTTAGACAGAGATGGCCTAGCACCAATTAAAGTCCCTTAGCAAAGATTCCTGGGCAAACTTAGTAGGAATGGCATAAAAAGGTGAGTACCTCTTATGGATCAGTAACTGATTAAAGAACAGAAAGCAGAAAGTGGGAATAAGTGGTAATTTCTGCTGATGGAAGGAGATAAATTGTGGAGTCCCACAAGGATCTGTATGAGGACCAAGGTTTTCAACTTATTCAAAAAGGATCTGGGATTGGGAGTAAGCAGTGAAGTGGCTGAGCTTGCAAATGACACCAAACTATTCACACTGAAGTCACCAGAGATCCTGCTTTCAATGTCCTTGGAGATATGGTGGGTAGCTACCTGAAAACAGGTCTTTTCAGTACAAGTTCCCCAAGAATGTTCTAGTAAGAAAAGTTTGCCTGGCTGTCCTTGCAGCAGCAGGCAGAGAACATTTTATTCTCACAGGCTTTGTAATCCTTTAAAAGTTATTTTACCTCTATTTTGTAGCTGTCTACATGGGGGGTAGGTAATCTGATGCCCTCCAGATGTTTTAAACACCAGTTCCCATCAGCCCTAGTCAACAGAGACGATGATCAAGGATGGCAGTTGAGGTATGGCCTATTCTAGCCGGCACTCACACGTGGCTTACACAGAGAACATGTATAAGTGGGTGGGTACTCTGAGCACATGGGAATTCATTTATTTCTAAACCCACAACAGCCATTCGTTCACAACACACCTGTTTGGAAAATAATGACTTGTGCAAACCGGTCAACAAAGACATTGTAGGTATTGCAGTACCTTTTATTGATAATATGCACCAAAAAGATGGCAATTCCCATGGTTTCCTCAACAAAAAAGAATTAAATCTACATAATTCCCTATTTCATTAGAGAAGTCTACAATAAAATTTGGGAATATCCAAAGACATTCTTCTTTCTCTTCACCACAGATACAGTTTCTAGAAAAAGCTGGTAATAATTTTGTAGGGTACAGCAGAAAATTACAAGCTACAATCAAGACATGTCCCACAGAAGCTCTAAAAAGTCTAAGTCTAAAAGATGGTTTCAACTTGGCGATGAAGAACACTGAAACATGCAGTACTAGATAATGATGGCACTGCTTATGCTTTGCCGTGTACTTCTGTGCATTCTTGCAAATACAAAACTGAAATAGCCGATCACTGTGCCTATGCCTTAGGAAGTATAGCTAGTAAACAGGCTGTATCCCAGAGTTTCCAAAACACCTGGACAAAAAGAAATTTAAGAAGGTAAAAAGAATTTCCCAGTCCAACCTCCAGCTCTTGCAAACTTATTTAGCTAGAGTATACACGCGATACTAAAAATGGCAGACTACAGAGCAAGGAAAGGCAGTAGCAACATGTATAATTGCTGCATTATGCCCACACAATTGCTCAAACATTCTGTGTGATTACAAGAATTATTCTGCATAAACCAACTACTAATCATGGAAGTCAAAATAAAATACCAGTAGGGACACCACCACAATTCTATGTCTGGTGTGATTTTGCTATATGAGCCTAACCATTAGAAACTGATGAGTACGTTGGCAGGATTTATTTAACACAGTTTTCCTTACATCTGTACCACCAACACATATTCAGAGCCTAAGTTTTCCAGTCAGCAATTTTATTTTCACTGTAGCAGCACACAGATATCAAACTACTTAAATCTGCTTCCCACAGAGCCCAAGAGCAATGTGTAGTGGACAGAACTGCACAACTGATATTAATTCCTGGCATCACATCCACTCCTCTGCATAATCATCCCAGAAATGGGCCAATGCTATTCGGACAATGGCAGTAATTCCCACATGTCTGACTGCATCAAGGATGCCAGCATGCTGCTCCCACAATATAGCATCCATATACTGGCAGGTGTAGGAAGGCACAAATGTTCCATGAAGTTTTCCGGCTTGCAGGAGCACCAAACAGCAGATGCATCAAACCTGTTTAGGCGTAGTTTCACAATACACATACCAGCTTTTGTGACACACAAGCTAAAAACCACTGCCCTACTACCTCATAATGTTAAATCTGGTTCTTACATATATGGACATGTTCACAAGTACACAGCATGTCTTGAGAAGCAGTAGGCCCAAAGGGAAAAAAGTGGCTGAGGAGCCAACCATTCTGCTGCTTTTTAATGATTACTTTGTGAATACATGTGTTTTCAGCTTCCATCATCCCCAGCAAACAGCGCCACTGAGCTACAGTCTCAGCACTGGGTTGTGGAAGATTGATCTTTGGGGTGCTGTTAAGCCAAACGTTTGGCTTTTTTTTACTGTTGTTTCAGAGTAGGCCAAAACTCTTAGAAGCAGCTTTCAAGAGAGTCAACCCACCACGTTCTGACGCTTTGGAGACGAAAAAAAATGCTTTACGCTTGCGGCGTTAGTCCGAAACAATGATGGGTTGGAAAGCAAGCGAAGCACTCCTGGCGCCGGTCAGCCCAGCTCCTGAGGAATGAGGGCGGGGACAAGACACAGCGACAACTTGCAAGCACACTCCACCTTCAGCGCAGCCACCGCCCGCGGTAGCGCCTACGAAACTCCCGCCAGACGCCACAATAGCGCGCCCACACGCAGGCGGCGGCCCTGCGCCGTCCCAGCCAGCGGAGCCGCTCATGGCCCGCTCGGGGAGGAGCCGGAAGCCAGCCGGGGGCCCACGCGGGCCTGCGCCACCCCGTCCGGGCGTCCAGGCCCAGGAGCTGCGCGTGCTCGCCCGCCCGTCGCAGGCGGGGGCAGCCCTGCAGCGAGCAGCACCAACTGCGGAGGGAGGGGGAAAGGAACGCACATGCGTCTGGGCCCAGGAAGCGGCATCACGTCCGCAGCAAGCCGCCACCGCGTGCGCACCGCGTTGCTTATTCGAATGCTCTGCTGCTGTCACTCCCCAGCGCAGCTCCTAATCTGGATTCCCTTCATGCCACCCGTGCCCGATCACACGCACAGGAAGCGGGCAGTGCGCTTTAAGGAATGCCCAGTTAACATCCAGGGACAAAGCTGGTGAGCTGAGGCTACGATCCCATGTCCACTTTCTTGACAGTAAGCCTCTCTGGGCAGTCGTGGAAAGGGCTGCGCTATAAGTAACTACGCAGGTTTACTTGCAAGAAAGTCCACCAACATTAAGGGGACTTGCTCCCAAGTAAACTCGCCTCCAGCGAGCGCCGCAGCGACCTGCGCCTTCTTTAGCCATTCCCTCCAGCCACGCTCGCAATCTTCCAGGCCCACCCCCGCCTTCGTACCGGACGCTGGGGGGCTCTCCGGCTGCAGGAGCGGGGAGCCCTTGCGTTCTTTCTGAGATTCCCTTTTGGCCGCCGAGGCGCCAGCGGCTCCGCCAGGGCCGGGCCTCCTGCTGGTCGGGACGGCCGCTTCTTCGCGCTTCTTGCTTTGCTGTTTGCGCCGCTCAGCCTCGCGGAGGATATCGAAGGGGTCGGACTCGTCGTCGAGCAGCTGGTGGAAGCGGTTGGCGACGGCACATCCGAAACTCTCCTGCATGGTTGTGGCGGCGGCCACGGGGCTGGCCAGCGCGCCCTTCATCATCGCCGAAGCGGCGGCAGCACGCACGGCCACCCTCTCCCGAATGCGACAGAAAAAAAGCAAGCCTCCTCAGAACGGCCCTAGTAACCACGCCATGGCCACTCGCCCGCCCCGTCCGACTGCACTGCCCAATGACTACGGTGGTGCTGCCCTAAGCCCTTCGTCGACAGCCAATCCTCGCTCCCTGCTCCTCACGGCCATACCCAATAATGCGCCTCGATGATGCTCAAGGAGTTGACCAATCAGCACGCGCACTTCCTCTTCATCCGACCAATGAAAACGCGGAATCCCCTCAATTTCCCACGCTACTGGCCGATGACGTAGAGTGTCTGTGGCGTCACGTGCGCACTTTTGGATGCAAAACCAGTAGGATTAAGAAAAGTCTGTTGGTAAAGCGCAGGCTTGGCTCCACCTTAAAAAAAGACATCTGCTTAGACCCTCTTAATTACTACTTTTAAACGAATTAAATGGGGTGGGCACGCTGGAGAAAATCTAGAAGCAAAGCGCCACTACAGTATATGGGGATATTTTTCAGTAAGTGTAGGAAGTAGCACGGACTGAACATATTGCTGGTTTTACAAATGGTAGAATTCGCATTAAATTTATTTCACGTAAGACTGAGAACATTTGTGAATCACACAAGAATACACATTCTGCTTTTTTCAATCTTTGTTAAAATATGGCCAAGTTAGTTTCAAAAGTTATTTTAAAAGTACCACAAAAAGTCTAATGGAATTATTTTAGTCTGTATTAATTATAAATTGTCATATATTACATTTTCACACGCTTTTCCCTTTAAGGGCTGAAGGTAGAATATACAGTTCTTCCTGTTCACTCACTGAGGGATATATGTTGCCTTATATCAAGTTAGGTCAATTGTCCATTTGGTTGACTGGCATCAGCTTTCCACAGTTTCAGAGAGGAGTCTTTCCTCTCCTCCTTGGGATTTTGGGGATACAGAACAAGGGCTCTGCTACAAGCTTCCTGTCTCATGACTGAGCAGGTCTTTGAATCCGGGTCTCCCAGGTCTTAATCCCAAACCCTAATCAATTTATTGTGACACATTTCTGTCGATTTAGACTCCCATTTCATGGAAGTATTTTCCTACTTCTTACCAGTAATACAGCACATAAAAAGACACAAACTATGGAATCAGAACAGAAGCCTGCAAACAAACCATTCCAGTTCTGTTACTGTTTGTACTGAGACAGAAAAACTATAGGGCCTAATCCCTCAATGTAATAAAGGCAATCATCTGCCAATAATGCCTATCTTCTGTTTATATAGGATACAAGTCCGCATGCAAGAGATACACATCCAGTATAAAAATGTTAACATTCCACAACAACTGGGAAATAACTCAGTATCCCAAGATACTCTGCTGCTGATCTCAAGCTAATTTCTTCAACAATGGAACTTAAAAGGGAGTCTCCAATGTGAAATTGCTGGACAAGCATTTCAGTGAATTTGATGCTATATTCTAGACCTGAAATGATGACTTACTCTCCATTACAGGTGATGAACTAATTTAATACTATGTTACCACCAATTACTGCTTTTTGCAATAGTCACTATGCTTATCTTGTATATAAATTTAAGTTTTACATTGAACGTCACAAACTCGTTTCATAGACATTTGCCCTTTAAACAAATATATCCACGTACCAGTCTACTGAGGATAACACTTCATGCATCAGATAACATTGACTGTAGGCCACAAAAGCTTCTGCCACAATAAATGTGTTAATCCATATGATGCTAGAAGTTTTTTAGTTTTTACTGCAGCAGACTAACACAGCTGTCATGGAAGATATTTGGAGCAATGCAACCAGCAGTTAATTTCAGTAAACCAACTTGTCTCAGACAGGTTTTTGTTTGTCAGTGTCAGTTAAATTAAGTTTAATTAGTCATTGTGCACTGGCAAAATATAATCCATAATGCTGCTCAGAATTTCTAACAGCAAAATCAAGACCTTTTATTGTGGCTAACCTTTCAATATCTCCTCTTTCAAGCAAAGTCCAGAAAAGCATTCAGAAGGTGTTATGGTCACGTTTTTCAACAGTTCTCATTTTTATTCTACACAATATACAGAAGAGTGTGCACTTCTACTCATATCACTTTAAGTATGAGTTGGTAGGCTGATGGCTTGTCAAAGAATTTTATTCTGCACACCTTCAAGGCCCTTCACATGTTTTGACTGCACAGTTGAGACATATGCTTCTGGTTGCAATTCAAGGTGCTGCTCTTAGCCTATAAAGCCCTACACAGTTTGGGACTGCAGTACTGGTCACCGCACCTCTTCCAACCCCAATCTACCTGAATGCTATGCTCAAGCCTCTGGAACCTTCCTCTGGGTGCGAGTCCCTCAAGAGGCTCAGAGGGGAGCAACTATGGGGAGAGCCTTTCTGGTGGTGGCTCCCCGTCTTTGGAATAACCTTCCTGCTATAGCCTGTTTGGTGCCAAATTTGCCATCTTTTCAGCACCAGGGCACGACAGCCCTCTTTGTGGAGGCCTTAAAGACCTCCATGATGCCTTTTACTCTTTGCTGGGACTTCTTAATTCTATTTTGTTATTTTAATGTTTTAATGCTATTTTAAATTTTTAATTCTTGTTAACAGTTTTTATCTATTGTATTTTATTGTGTTTACACCTTGTTGTAAACCACCCAGAAAGCTTCCGCTATGGGTGGTATAGAAATGTCATAAATAATATCAGAGAGGTAAGAATATTTTAGGCCCATGTTTACCTTTGTGTTCTTGTAAAGAAATAAAAGATCTGTATCATTAGTAAAAACAGTGTACAAACACACAGAGATGGATGGATGGATGGATGGAAAAGGGAGAGTTGGAGTTCAGACAGAAAGGTCCAGATCCGCAAGTCATACATAAGGTATTAATAATAGAGCCATTCCACTTCCAACAAGATCATGTTGCTTAGCTTCATGAATACTACACCAGTAGCCTTCTGTGGAAAGAAGAAACACTGGAAAGAATGGACTAGGGATTTTTCAAAGGTTTGGTCACTGAAACCCTTGATACTACCATGGCATCCAACTGTCTGCACAAACTTACCATGTATTGACATTCACCATGCAGTTAACCTGGGATAAAATGTAAGTCAGGTTTCTTGTATTATATTTGTAAGAGAAAATGATGTCTAGGGTTTACTGTTTTTCCCTTGCCACCTCAAAAGTTTGTTTGATGTCTTGTCTTACATCCTTCAAATCCTTCCTCAAAATCCACCTTATTGGTCATAGCAACCTCAGTTCTCATTCCCTACTGCAACTAAACCTGTAACCAAGCCGAAGCATATTTACTTCAAAGTAAATATAATTGGAAGTCAGTGTAACTGATTCTAAGCACAGATAGGACTAGACTGCAAGACTGCCCAGATACATATGTGTGCATTAATCTCACTGAATTCAGTATGCTAAGGATTTTAGTTTATTTCACCAAAATAGCCCATTAAATATATTTTTGAATAAACACTGCTTTATTCACTAAATAAACTAAAATTTTGCACACTCTCACCTAGAAATTTTTGAATAAGCCAATACACGGACAACCACTGAGCAAATAGGTACTACAGATTGTATTAGTAAAATACCATTCCTTGGGGGCATATGAAACCCTCTCTGTGCAACTTGGAACCTAACAAGCATACTTTCACTTTTAGCTAGAGGAAAGGAGCAACCCCACTCCTGTGCAAATAGAACAGACACCTCCTGTGTTTTGGAGGATTACATAGGAGGGCAGATGCCTTGATGTTGATTTCCCAAACAAGTATGGTTGGATGCAGTAATAAAACACACCAGTAATTCAACATATGGCACCTTCGGGCTTGAGGAAATGTTACAAAAACCCTTAACTTTTAAACCTGAAGTCTTCTTATTAGGCATTATACCAGCGGACATTAGTAAACAAGAAATGTATTTGATTTTGTATGTAATTACTGCGGCGAGGACTGCATTTGCCCAACACTGGAAAAGTGAAGAACTACCCACCGACGAACTGATTCTAAAAAAGATCTTGGACTGTGCAGAAATGGATAGATTGACTTTATCATTGAAGGAGAAAGAAGATACTGACTTCTATCAAACTTGGGACTCTTTTTATTATTGGCTAGAGAAACGGGATTTCGCATAGATTTAAATATGTTTTTAAGTTATTATAAATGGAAAAAGAAAGGTGTGGTGGCTGACCCAGCAGGCCCGATGTTTTTGATGATTGATGTTTTTAGTTTTTCTTTGTTTTTAGGATTATAATTTCAAATAAAACTTACTATAAAAAAATGGCACCTTCCAAATCACTTGCTACATAATGAAGTTCTCAGGGATGTATTCATTTAAAAAAGAAGGGGGAACATTAAGTCCTTTTACATTGCAGCAAAGTGCAGCTAATGTCCAGGCAGAAATTCAATCAGCGGTATCTAACAGAGCTATCAGTATGTTGTCATCACAGTGGTAAGCATTTCTTTACAGTTCTCTAAAGTATTTAAAAAGCTTCATATGTGTTATCAAGCTATACTTCTCAAAAAACACTGATGGTCTATGAGGTTCATCAAAATGGTAAGATTCAAATGAGAGGCCTCCTAATTTATAAATGAAACTCAGGCCTGCCCCCACCCCCCACGAAATCCGATTCTATGTACATTTAGACAGAAAAGATTCTGCAATTCCCAGTATTCTCCACCCAGTATTCCTCTCCCAAAACTGCATGGTTTTTCTGGTGAAACAACCAGGACACTGTCCCCTAAGAGACAAAGATACAGATCAGAACGCTCCCCCATTACTTCTGTCACACAACTCACTGGCTATTTCTTTTAGTTTGTCAGCAGAAATCTTTATAGACTTAATAGAGGCCTCTTTACATTTCAATTGTCCTGACTTGTCTCTCAATTTTTAATATCTTAAAAGTGCATGTGAAGCTCTTTAAATACTTGCAAGCAATACAGAAATGTCATTACTGTTAAATGTGGTTCCACACTGAAATTAATGCCACAGAACATCATGTCCGGCCTAGTCTTCTTGGAATCGTGCTTCAAGTACACCCTACTCAACACCAGCTTCCATGATTTCCCCCACCAGCTTGCAGGGGGAAGAGAATCAAGGCTGAAAGACCCACACCGAAGCGTGGCTAATTAGAAGCTTAATTGTGTGGAAGCACATTATGTGAGGACTGCAAAACAGCACGAGAAAGGGGATTTCTAGTGTTTCCCAGCTTTTAGATGCTGGAATTACTTCCATCCCTCCCGCTCTTTAAACGTATCACATGCTAAGCAAACAGACGGAGCACTCCTAATGAGCTGGGCTAGCAGTTACGATAGGCCGGACGCCTGAGGCTGAATATCGCGCCAAAGCGCCCCCTCCGATCCCTCCTGAAGCATGTTTACTGCGCATTTAACTGCCAGCCCAAGGAAGTCCGCCCCTTTTCAGCCGAGGGCCAATCGGCACCAACCATAATCGTTCACAAGAGAGAAGCTGGGGGCCGGCCTTGGCGAGCCCTACCCTCCCAGCCTATTTTCGAATTCTGTTGGTTGGCGTCAGAAAACACAAGCCAATGGCTGAGCCCTAATCCGGCTAAGCCCAACCCAGCGTGTCCCTTTGCTCAGCCGCTCGCCTTTGAAGCGAAGGGCGTTGGCGCTTTCTCCCACTTCTGATTGGTTTCCAGCGTCTGTCACTTTCCTGACGTTGGGGCCCGACTTGGTGATTGGTTCCGCCCAGGCGCGAAATGTAACGCGGGAAAGTCTAGGGCTTGGTGGTGGTCGGCGGGGGTTGCGGCTGCTGGTGGTGAGAAGCCGCGTGTGGGAGGGGAAGGCGAAGGCCGCGATCAGCTCGCGGTCGTGACCGGTCAGCATTTCCACGAAGAATCCTTCCCGCGTTCCCTGCCATGCAAACCTGAGGCGTCCCCTCCGGGCACCGAGGACGAGCCAGAAGCGTCGGCTACACCGGATCAAATTGTAGAGGGGAGAGTGCTGGCGCAGGATGTCTGAACGGCCGGGCCCTCCGCCTGTGATCTTCTGCCCCGGGGACTCCCCGAAGCGTGTCTTGGTCTCTGTCATCAAAACCACCCCTGTCAAGCATCCCCACGGAAGCAGCGAAGATCCCGCCCGTGTCCCGCCGCCGCCGCCCATCCCAACCAGCCCAGGCTTCAGCGACTTCATGGTCTATCCGTGGCGCTGGGGGGAGAACGCGCACAACGTCACCCTCAGCCCTCCCCCCGCCACCACTCAGCCTCTCGGCGGCGGCGGCAGCGGCGGGCCCCGAGGCGTCGCCAGCCGCTCGGGTGGAGAGGACGAAGAAGCGGACAGTCCGGACAGCGGCATCGGGGGCAGCGGGCATTTGAGGGTGAGTGCGCGGGGTCGATGGGGTTAAAACTGGAGGCAGTCGGGGGGGGTCAGAGAAAGGCGCGCGCGGCGCTGACGACGGTTGAGGGAAGGGGCTCCTTTGAAAAAGCGCCCTTTTAAAATGTCCGAGCAGCCCCCACCCCGCCCCCCTTTCCGAAGTCACTCGGAGGTTTCTAGTTAAGTCACTTCCGCGGGTGATTCACGCGCTGAATGACGACACCTCCGCGCGCCAAAATCCAGATTGTTTGTGCGCGTGTGTGTGTGTGTGAGTGCGCGCGTGAGCTTAAATGTCGGCCGGCAGCGCTGGCTCGCGTGCGCGCAGGGGACTCAGCGCTGGCAGGGCGGGCGCGCCGCTCGACAGGTAGCGCACGCGCCTCCCCCCGGGAACCAGCCGATCTCGTGGCAGGCGGATTGCGCGCGCTTTCAGCCCTTTAAAAAAAGGAAAGAAGGCGTTCTCTGTTTCAGCAGCTTCCTTCGCGTGCTGCTGGGTTGATACTCCGCCTTCGGCTGAATTCTGGGTAGGCAACGTGGTGCCCTCCACATGTTTTAGGCTACGGTTCTCGTAAGCATCGGCCAGTATGGCTAATTGCCAAGGATTATGGGATTTGTACCCAAAAGGGTTTGGAGGACACCGGCTTGCCTACCACGATGAATGAAAACGCTCTGCTTTAAAATACTCTGAACTCAGGGCAGTGACTGTGAAAGCCCTTACAGTTTGAAACCTCCTTTTGGATGAATGCCAGTGTGGCTGTCACTGATCCCAGTGTAATATTTTTGTAGTGCTGGTAAATGTATCTGCAGTGAATCCAGTGCCAAATTGGGCTTAACAAAGTGAGGAATTTGTCATCTTCCTGGGTATTAATTTATCTGTTATCTAAGATAAATACCTAATGGATTTCAAAACATTTGGTTGCCAAGAAATGCACTTAATATTTTCACTGGCTTACGAGCTGTAGTATCTTCCCGAACCCATTTTTCTTATGTAGTCATTTTTGATCTTCATCAGTAGCTTAATCATAGTCTGTTAATTTATTAGGATGGTATTAGACGAGGCCGACCAAGAGCAGACACAGTTCGAGATCTAATAAATGAGGGAGAGCATTCTTCTAGCAGGATTCGGTGTAATGTTTGCAACAGAGTCTTCCCACGTGAGAAGTCTTTGCAGGCACACAAAAGAACTCACACTGGTAAGTGGAATGAGCCAAAGCATAAAGTTAATTTCAAGTCTCCCATCCTCTTATCATTGGAGAATAAGAGAGTCAGTAACTAAGTCAAATATGTGGTATACTGAGATTTGCTAACACAATATTCTGGCTATACAAGTACAGAAATTGTTTTTCAGTTGCCAGTTGGATAATATAATCAGAAATTTCTCAAAACTGTTTACTTGGAGGCTGAAAGTTAATAACTATTATCACATTAACTATGTAATAAGGACTGCTTATTCTTTCCTATGACTTGTGAATAGTAGGTGCATTTAATAAGTGGGAAGACTCAAAATAATCCCCAGAGTTCTCTATATTCCCTATTTTCAATTGAACTGTTGGTTGGATTACATGTAGAATAGGTCCATGACTGACCTAGGTCCCGTTGCTTTCAATGGGTTTACTCAACATATTATTAATTGGGATCTAGCCCTGTTATTCTGTAATCTGTGGAATGGAGATCAAATCTTAATGAATATCAGAGTATCAGTAGACTTTCTACAGTGTGAAAAATTGGAGTAGGCATTCAGTTACACTTGCACTTCAGCCATAGGCCTATTGAACATAGTGGGATTTACTTTCAAGAAGGAGAGCATGGCTCATTACTCATTAACCTCAGGGCAATAAGTTTTACATTATTACTTTCTCAAACTCCAGCTAAAGGCTTTGTTTGAGGGGGAGGGGGATTCTACTGTTTAATAGATATCTTGACAGAATGATGCAGGATTCTGAAGTTCTTTGCACTTTCCTAGAATAACTGGCCGCTGTTCAGCAAGTGAAACACTTCTAAATGTCATTCTAAGACAAGCTGATGTTTAATATTTAATATCAATATTTTAAGCATAGATGTGTGTGTGGGGGTTTAACTTTCTGTGACTAAAACCTGTGGGTCCTAAAAGAGCCCTATATCAAACTGTCAGAATGGTTGTGACATGACCCTGGTTAAGGCATTTGCTGTAGGTCTATTCTCAATTTTCTGTGCATTTCTATCTTTTTTGTCTTATTCTTTAATTCTGTTTAGTACCCTTTCAAAGTAACCAAACACATATTAAAATTTGATAACAGAAAAGCTCTGGCCGGAATAATACAGTTCTAAAAGGAAGTATAAATGATGGTTATTTAACTTTTTCCTCCAGGCGAAAGGCCTTATTTGTGTGACTACCCAGAATGTGGGAAAGCCTTTGTTCAGAGTGGGCAACTTAAAACACATCAGCGTCTCCATACAGGAGAGAAACCTTTCGTCTGTGCAGAAAATGGTGAGCCATGAGAAAATGACTTTGTTCAAATAAACTGCTGTAAGAATCTTGTAAATAAGCCCACAAAAGTTACTTAGTCTTCAGATGTGCTTTATTAGCTACAATGCTGTCATCCAGCATCTTAGCTACAGAGGAAGGGAACTCCCTTCCTCCATTGCCAGCATAGAAACCCAAGAAGCCAGCCTTTTACTAGATTTGTTTTTAGAAAAGTTGCTTTCTATCGAGCCGGTAGAGGAAGATGGAGAGGGGGGATGGAACCAAAGACTAGGTTTTCTTTCATTATGCACCAGCACAGAAACCAAGTAGACTGATATTAGATGGGCAAAGATCCATCCATCCTTTGCCATCCCATTATATCTCTGCCCAGAATTCTTTGCCTCCTATGACTAACAGGTGAGCTATTAAATACAGTGCTGGTGAATGTGATCAGAAGTATATAAAGCATTTTGGAGAAATTATCTTCTGAAAGGGAAGGAAGACTATGTGTTAATGATTTGAAAGCAAAAGACATGATTGGCCAAAAGTAAAACATTGAAATCAATGGCAGTGTGTTTACATTTCTCAGATACCGAGTTTGCTTTGTCTTGGTTGAAATTTGCACTGACTTCTGAAAGAGAAAAATCTGAAAAAATGAGTATGTCTTGAAATGTGGTATGGATGATAACAGATAGAGCTGGGGGGAGGTGGATGAAAATAAGCTTGTTAGCGCTGTCAAAATCTGAACTGGAGACCCTGAGAAAGGACTGGAGGGTTTCTTCGTGACAAATTATTAAAAATGGGAATGAGAGGAATCCAGACATAAATTTTTGTAAAGAAAAGGAATATCCTGATCATATACAACTAAATAAGATGTGGGAGCAACACTTATTTTGGAAGAGAGTGATATTGGAACTCAAGCCAATGTGTCAGGTGTGTTTGGATCTTAATGGTAAGGGGTGTGTGCAGTGGCTAAGCTATAGTTCAGCAGGATGGAATGTATATTCTTAGCATGGGTAGAGACATTGTTCATCAGAGGCATAGATGCAACCCTAGACTTAGTGAATTCTAAACTTCAGCCTGATGAACTCTAGTACAAATAGAACCCTGAATATGGATCTATTTTATGTTCCTTTTGGAACTCAGGTTTGTGTATGCATATGAGTATCTTCTTCCCAACCTATAGGGAGAATGCCGCTGTACAGAATTTGTATATTAACCAATTGCTGAAGTTCTCTGTGTGGTTTACAGCAGTACATAAAACAGATAATACAATAAACAACATAAAATTTTCCATAATTCAAAAAAGTAAAACTAAAATCAGATAACAACATATGATGCACAGTTAAACCTCTAAAACACTTGGGACAGGTATTCTTCTCTAGCCCTTAGATATCCTTTTATGTCTTTAAATGGCTTGGCATTGTTTGATGCTGAAGGGATGGCAAGCTTGACACCAGGCTGGTGCCAGTGGCGAGATAATTCCCTGTTCGTTTATTTATATCCTGCTTTTGGGGCTTGCCGTTGACAATCTGGGGTCAGTAAAAGTGTGGCTGCAGGAAAGTATCTCAGACAGCTTAAGTTCTGTGGGTGCAGAAACCATAGGAAATAAAAACATTGGAAGAAGTGAGGGAAGCAGCCTGGGAAATTGCCAGAGTTTTCCACATTGACTGAATTATATTAGAGTCATGTTGTTGTTTGCAGGCCCACTGGTCTTCTTTTGATCAAACTAAGAAAACTGAAAACCTAGTGGATGTTTTTGTATTACATATCCTGAGCCTAATATTGTATATGTAGAGAAGATCAGGGATGGCTTTGTGCCTGTATGCTCAATGCTTTTTCTTTCTTTTCTAACAAGGATGTGTGAGCAGATTTACACATGCTAATCGTCATTGCCCCAAGCATCCATATGCCAAGTTGAGGAGAGAAGAACCTACAGATAGATTGAATAAAAAACAAACTGCAGACAACAAGGCTGTTGCTGAATGGCTGGCAAAGTAAGTCTTTCATATAAAAACAGCATTTAGGATAGAGAAATCTAGTTTCAAAAGCAAGCTATCTTGGAAGTTTTAAAGTATACCATTCTACGCCTCAGTCTTCAGGATATTTTTTAAAAATAACCTTCTTTGTTAGCTCAGAGTTATTACTGCCTAAAATGAACCATCTGTTTTCTTATCTTCATTCTGTGAAAAAATCTTGAGCTGGTGGCTCAAATATTTCTGTGATAACTCATAATGTTAATGTTTCTTATTAACTGACAGGTACTGGGAAATGAGAGAACAGCGTACTCCTACACTGAAAAGCAAAACTACTCATAAGCCTGACCAGGAGCAGCAAGATCCCATGGAATTCCTGCAATCCGAAGATGAAGAGGAAGAAAAAAATACTGCTCATTCAGCCCTCTGTAGCCGCATTCAAGAACAGCGTGAACGCTTGCATGGGGCACTGGCACTTATTGAGCTCGCAAACTTAGCCGGCGCTCCATTGCGACAGTAATAGAAGAACTGGACCTGCTGATAAAATGTACTGCATTTTGGTACTAAACCAATTAGTTCCCAAGCATAAGCTAAGCACCTTACTTGCTTCCATAGGCTGCTATTATGTAGAATTTATGAAGAATGTTGTTTCCCCAGAAAATGGGGTAAAAGAATTGCACTTTTTTGTATGGTAAAGTCAGATGTAAAGCTTTTTAAGTATTTTGTAAATAGAAGATTGTATAATGCAGGATGGAAATGGTCATGTTATAGAATGCTAGATTTGCAAGGTTAGGGCTGTGCTTTTAATCACAGTTATGTGGAAGTGAGCCACTGAAATTAGTCAGTCTTGCCTCTACGTAAAAGTGCTTAAAATTAGGATGCCAGTCATTCTTTGAATCAGTTCTCACAGGAAGCACTTTCTGAACTCATGCTGGAACAATGGTACACCTGTTCAAAGAAATTAGTCTGAAGGGTTTTTTTAACATTGGATGTAAACAGTAATGGATCCATGCTTTCTCAAAAATCAATATTTTACTTAGCATTACCAGCAAGGATGCCAGAATAACTCTTAACATTGCTACTGTAGAGAAGAATTGGTTGGTTGGTTCAGAATCTTCACTGTGACTGATGACATGAAGGCTGACTTTTGTGGACTGGGATCTCAGCAGTCTCTTGGTTGAGTAGCACTTGTTGTTCCTAATAGAATGTTGGGAATGTTTGCACATTGTTGGACTTGCCTAAAACTGAGTGATTACCCTTGCAAATCTTCAGCATTGTAACATATAAAGCATGGATTTCTTTCGGATTTCTTAGACAATAGCATGTATGTTTTGTTCATAGGAATATTTACAAGGCATTGTTATGAGATTCTCATTTGCAAACACTAAAGTACTGCTTCAGAAAATTTTCTTGCAGATAGTTTTCTTATTGCATAACGCCACCTTATTGTTTGTTTGAAACTTACATGCCAAGTTTTTGTTCACTAACTGTAGCTCAGTTACTGATACAATTATGAAATGTTGCTATAAATTAGGAAAATAGTTTCCAGCAGTAGTTGCAAGTGTGGGATGTATGGGTTAGGATTTCCCTAAGTGAAGCTGTAGACTAGCACTTCGTGCTGTTGAGCACTGAAAGAAAGTTTTAGCAGAACATCATATTGTTCTTAGTAGTTTTAAGTAATTTATCATATGCCAGATATGTGCCTTGATAGGTACCTGAGTAAAATGAGTAAAGGTGTATAATAGACTGAGCAAGTTCCATACTCCTGATTTTAAAAGAATAAAGGCTACTGGCATAAGCATATGATTTATCTAATTATTGTCCAAATGACCTCCTCCTATGAGTCAAGCTGGCTTAGAATTCCTGATCACAGCATATAAGCAAAGAAAGCTTTTTCCTTCTCTAAACTTCAATGACTAATATCTTAGTTTGGCAATATGAAAATACACGCACGCCCTTTGTTGCTACTTCCAAGATTATATAGATGATGTGTTAGATTCAGATAGTTTACAGAAGGTGCCTTTTGCTCAGTTTTCTGTGATTTCCTTCCTTGGTTTCCTACCAAGAGAACTCCACATTGCAGGAGCCCTGATGCAAGGAAATGTGTTTTGGAGGTTCTGAGGACTAGGAGAGGGGCAAGAAAGTCAACATTCAGTTTCATCCCCTTCCACAGGTAACTATCTGAATCCAGTTCTATACCTATAAGGTCGACCTAACTTTGATATATCCTCAGAACTGTGTATTAATGTTAGCAAACAGCTAGAAAGGGGGAAGATAGTGCAGGAAATTGATCTGAATCATAAAATTGTCACTTTTGGGCTTATTAACATCATATGTTTGACACCTCTGCTTCTGTAATAAAAGCACTTCTACTTGGACCTTTTTGGCTATATAAAAGTTGATTCGGAATGTCAGAAAATAAAGCTAAGGAACTTAAAATGCAACTTTGATGTTTTCTCTGAAGCTAATTAAGCAGCAGAGAAAGACATTTGCACTTCATGGAATCCAGTTGATATCATTGTAGAAATTATGACAACAGGAACTCATGAGAATGAAGTCTAATTTGTTGTCAATGCACGCAAATTTCTTCCCTATTTCTATATATTATTTACACTGAATACATATTGAAAATATGTATTTAATTGAAATACATTCTGCCTAGCTGTAGGCAGATCAAGCTGCTTTACCAATTATGTATAAAATACATATTTGGAAAAACTCCATTTGTGAAAAAAGATTTGGGTTTTTTTTTTTTTTAAGTGGTGGTTAAAGAATTCTCTGCTTCATGTGATTAAGCTGTATTTTTGGCATGAGTTAAAGTGCTGTAATTCTAATAAGCTTGGAATAAAAAGTTGCCTGAATTTAAATTTTGTGTTCATTGTGGTGCTGTGGTTTATTATAGCTCAGAAATACTATCAGCCGCATTCAAAGTTTCTTCAAAGCACTGGTGTGTACACAGTTCTGTGCCTGATTCTTCCTTGATACACAAGATAATGGAAAAGCTCTCACTTCTGGCCCTTGCGTAGCTTGTGCAGCTTTATATTTATCTCAGTTTCTATATTTTTGCATCATTGAGAAAGTATTAAACCTTTCCAGATTTCTGAAATGTGCCCTTGGAGGAGGGGTGGTTACAAATAGTTTTAAAACCCTGCCTTGCTGGGCTGCCCATAGTGTGTTTAAATCCTGGTCAGGCAGATGTCCCTTGAAGTTCACAAGCAGACTCCTTCCCAACAAAAAGGATCAAAGGAAGCTCTTTACTATAGTGCTCACAATTTGTGGTTTGTAGAAATATAATGGGCACTATTCTGTCTCGTCCATGCTCTACTGGGACTCAAGATTAGCCAATGTAAAGCAGTTCCTCAAGCATCCAGAAAGAGCAGAAACATTTGCTGACCAAGGAAAGTCAGTGGAGCTCCCAGAAGGAAGTTCTGCTAAACTACTTGTACTAATCTGGGAACTAGTATTTCCAAGGTTCCTATCATAAGTGCTACCAATAAGCTCCACTAGCACAACAGTACTAATGAAGGTGCATTAGCATTACAGAATACTTCCCATTGTCTTAATGCCACGTGAAGTGTGTTAGAATGAGTAATGTTATGATGGGGAGAAGGAAATCCTTTACTCGGTTAACACAAATCCTTTATAAACCTTTTAACATGAACATAAGAAGCTCCATACTAGATAAGACCAAGGGCCATCTAGTGCAGCATTCTCTTCACTCAGAAGCCAACAATGGGAAACCTATAAGTAGGGCATGAGTACAATAGCACCATCCCACTCATGTTCCAAAGCAACTGATGCACATAAGCATATTGCTTCTAGGGCTGGAAGTGGCATATAAGCATCAACACTAGAAGCCACTGTTCATCTTCATGAATTTGCCCCATCCCTTTTTAAAGTTGTTCAATATTTTTTTGTAGTGAATTCCATATTTTAACTATGTTTTGTCTGAAGAAGTCTGTCCTATCTCTCATGAAGCTCCCCTCCATTAACTTTATGAATGATCCCAGGTTCTAATATGAAAGCGAGAGAGAAAGGTCTTCCTATGCACTTGCTCCAAGCCATGCATAATTTTGTAGATCGGTATCATGTCTCCCCTAAGCATCACCAGATGTTGCCTTTCCTCATATGGAAGCTGCTTCAGCCCCTTGATCATTTTTGTTACTCTTAGGTGTGGTGTCCTGAACTGTACACAGTATTCCAAGTGTAGTCACAGCACAGATTTGGATAAGGGGAGTATGATGTTGGCAGTTTTTTTTATTGCCATTCCTAATTATACCTAACATGGAATTGGTCTTTTTTTGTTTTATCGCACCAGCTATGCACCAGGTCAACATTCTCAAACTGCCCACAGCAACTCAAAGTGTCTCTCTTGGTCAGTCACCACTAACTTGGATACCGTCATTTTCTATGCAATCTTGAGTTTTGTTTTGTTTTGTTTTTGCTTTTATGTGCATCACTTTGCACTTGCTTACACTGAACTGCATTTGTCATTTTGATGCCTACTCTCCCAGTCTGGAGAAGGCCTTCTAGAATACCTCACAGTTCTGTTTGAACTACCCTAAATAATTTGGTGTCACCAGAAACTTGACCACATCACTGCTTAAAGTGAAATTTAGACTATGTATGAACAAGCTGAAAAGCGTTGGTCTCAGTGCAGATCCCCGAGAACTCCAAGTTTATATCCTTTCCTTGAAATAAGTTACCATTTATTCCTGCTCTCATCTGTTCTTTAATTAGTTACTGATCCATAAGAGGACCTCTTTACTTTTTGGAACTCCAAGTAAACAATGTCTACCAGACCACCCGTCCAGAGTTAGTGCATTAGTGAGATATAATTTCTTACCTTTACAGAAGCCACCTTGATTCATTTCCAACAAGGTTCTTCCTTCTACATGCTTGTTAATTTTATGTTTAATAATGCTGTCAGCCAATGAACCCAAAACACACACTGAACTAACTTAATGTTACATTGGCCATTTTCCAGTCCTGTGGTACACAGGTGGACCTTCTAGAGCTGTTACACATTTTAGATGATTGGGCAATTTCACTGTTGAATTCTTTAAGAACTCTACAATAGCCACCATCTGTGCCCAGTAATGTATTAATGTTCTGCTGTCAATAAGGTTGAAAACATTGTCCTTTCTCACCACTATTTGCCTCATTTGTTCAGGCTCCTTTCCTGAAAACTTCAGTTTAGGATCCGATATCTGTCCTACTTTCTCTGTAATAAAGGGCTACAGATGAAAAGAATTAATTTAGCTTTTCTGCAGTCTCCATATCCTGCTTTGGTTCTCCTTTAACTTCATTGTCATTGAACTGTCCAACTGTCTCCCTAGCTGTTTTTTTGTTTCAGATATATTTAACTAATTCTTTATTTTTGGTCTTGATGTTATTAGCAATATGCTCCTCAAAATGCTTTTTTACTTCTATTATTGTCTGCTTGCATCTCTTTTGTTCTCATTTGTGCAAGACTTCCATGTTCTAAAGAAAGCCTTTTTTCTCCAATAGTTTCCTTGACACTCCTCATTAACCACACTGTTAACCTCATGGTCCTTTCCTAACCCATGTATACATTCTAGCTTATATATTATAAGCAAGCATTTCTGAGCAGCAAATGGAATTACTAAACACATGCAAATATTGTGGAAAAGCATTACAATGGAAGGGGATATTGTACAAATTTCAAGGTACAATACCTTCCAGCATTTTGAAGGCATTTAAATCTCTTGTTCAAGGTAGAGCACTAAAACTGAAGGAAAAAAATATGCCAATTGCCCAGCTGCAAACATTCACTCCAGCACACTTCTGCAGGACCAAAAATGATTATTTTCAAAAATGCTGACACATCTGAGACACTTGCTGATATCCTTGCTTTTTAGGAACACAGCAGAGGTCACCAAGTATTTATGTGAATCTAATTTATTGTTGTAAGCCACCCCAAGGCTTCGGCGAATGGGGCGGCATAAAAATGTTTTAATAAAATAATAAAATAAATAATAAAATAAAGTATGAATGAAGAAGAATGTCAGTGGCAGTAGCATGATCACAAGTAGAGGCGGTTTTCACTGCATTTGCTGGCCAGCTTTCTAGGCATTTCCAACAACTCCTGATAAAATTGCCTTGCCAGGTCACAAAAAGCCACCCTGAGAGCAAGCCACCCTAGAAAACTTTACTACAAGCCATGGGTCCTTAATAAGCCTACTGCAAGCCATGGATTGCAGATAATAACCTATGCGTGTGCTCCAGCAGTGTCCCTGCCTGAGCTGTTAGAGGCAGTCTTGGACCTGGTGTAGAGGACCACCAGAAAGTTGGTTCTGGGAAACTTCAATCTCCATGCTGAGGCTACCTTACCTGGGTTGGCTCAGGACTTCATGGCTGCTGAGGCTGTCTCAACATGTCATTGGCCCAATGCATGAGAAAAGTCACACTTGACCTGGTTTTCTCAATGGGCCAGGGAGATGGTGGTTCAGTTGTGGTGGAAATGACCTTAACTCTATTGTCATGGATGGACCATTTCCTGGTGAGGTTTAGACTATTAGCCTCATTCACCCTCTTTAAGGGTGGAAGACCTATTAGACTGGTCTGCTCCCAGAGACTGATGGATCCAGTGGGTTTCCAAAATGCTCTGGGGGATTACCCAGTGAATATGGTCAGCACTCCTGTCAAAGCCCAAGTTTCCCTGTGGAATAGGGAGATGGTTTGGCAGTTGAAACGATTGTACCTAAACATCTTCTCCACTCCGGCAGAGCTCAGTCAGGTCCATGGGACAAACCAGAACTGAGCGTAATGAAGCAAGAAGAGAGATAGCTAGAGTGTTGGTGGAGAAAACCTTATGATGAGTCCGACTGAACATGACTTAGAGCTCATTATCGAGTCTATTTCATGGCAATAAAGGAAAATGTCAGCATTTTGCCAGTTGTATCGCTTCCTCACAGTGTTGTCCAGTTGAGCTATTTCAAGTGGTCTGGGGCCTCCTCCAGTCTGGTTTTCCAGATGATACCCCAGAGTCCTTGACATCTCTCTGTGACTAATTTGCTGTATACTTCAAGGAAAAATCACTGAGCTGAAAACCTCTACAGCTGAGTCAGTTCAATCTTTGGATATGTCCAGTGCACCAGTTCTTAGTCTGTTTATGGATGAGTTTCAGTTGTTGCAACCCAATGATGTGGACAAGGTACTTGGTTTGGTTTGCCCTACCACCTGCCCACTTGACCGTTGCCTTTCGTGATTGATTGGAAAATCAAGGAAGACGGTTTGGACCTGGGTCTGGGAGGCTTTCAATGGTACCTTCTTCCCTAAAGGAAGCTGTAATAAGACCTCTCCCGAAAAAGCCAAACCTGGATCCAGGGTTGGCTACTAACTACGGGCCAGTGGCAAGCCTCCTCTTCTTGGGCAAGGTGTGGGAATGGGTGGTAGGTGGGCAGCTTCAGGCACTCTTGGATGAAGCTGATTTTCTAGATCCATTTCAATTGGAATTCAGGCTGGGGTTTGGGAAGGGGACTCTTTTGGTTGTCCTGTATGATAATCTTTGCTGAGAGAGAGATGGGGGGGGACTGTGACCCTGTTGATTCTCTTGGACTCCACAGTTGATATGATTCCAGAATGGGAAGTGTCCGGAGCGCTGTCTGGTCCATCATTATTAGGTGAGTTTCAGTTGTTGTGGCCTGAGGAAGTGGACAAGGTGCTTGGGATGGTACGGCTTATCACCTGCTTGCTTGACCCTTGCCCTTCTTGGCTACTGACGAAAGCCAGACATGGGGTTGGTGCCTGGGTCCAGGAGGTTATCAACACCTTGCTGAGGGAGGGCCGGGTCCCTGCCCCTTTAAAGGAGGCGGCGATCCGACCAGTCCTGAAGAAGACATCTCTGGACCCAGAGGTAGCCACCAACTATAGACTGGTGGCCAACTTCCCATTTTTGGGCAAGGTGCTGGAGTTGGTGGTGGTGGGACAACTTCAAGCACTCTTGGATGAAACGGATTATCTGGACCCATTTCAGTCTGGCTTCAGACCTGGTTATGGTACTGAATCTGCCTTGGTAGCCCTGTATGATGACCTGTGCAGGGAGAGGGGCAGGGGGAGTGAGTTCCTGTTGGTTCTCCTGGACCTCTCAGCAGCTTTCGATAGCATCAACCATGGTATTCTTCTGGATAGGCTGGCCGGGTTAGGAGTAGGAGGCACTGCATGGCAGTGGTTCCATTCCTACCTGGCCGGCCGATTCCAGAAGGTGGTGCTGGGGGACTACTGCTCTGTGCCATGGCAGCTTTACCCTTGTGTTCCACAGGGCTCTATTTTGTTCCCTATGCTCTTTAACATCTACATGAAACCACTGGGAGAGGTCATCTGATGATACCCAGTTCCACCCAGCTTGTTCACATCTTCCCCAGGTGAGGTAGCGGCTGTACTGAACTGGTGACTGGCTGAAGTAATGGGCTGGATGAGGGCCAATAAATTGAGCCTCAATCCAGATAAGATGGAAGTCCTGTTGGGGGGTGGCTTGGGTTTTCAGGTAAGTGATTTTGACCTTGTCCTGGATGGGGTAGCACTCCCTCTAAAGGAAGGGGTCTGCAGCTTAGGAGTGCTCCTTGACCCAGAGCTGTCACTGAAGATCCAGGTGGTGGCGGTGGCAAGGAGCGCCTTCCTCCAGCTTCGACTGGCCCATCAGCTGCGTCCTTACCTGGACGAGCACTGCCTAGCAATGGTGATACATGCTCTGGTAACTTTCTGGTTGGATTATTGTAATGTGCTCTACGTGGGGCTAACCTTGAACATGGGCTGGATCCTTCACTTGGTACAAAATAGAGCCTCCAGGTTGCCGACGGGGACCGGTTGTTATTCTCATATAACACCAGTCCTCTACCAGCTCCACTGGCTTCCAGTTGAAGTCTGGGCCCAATTCAAGGTGCTAGTTTTAACTTAGAAATCCCTAAACAGCTTGGGACCAGGATATTGGAAGGAATGTCTCCTTCCTTATATGCCCTCACGCCCCTTAAGATCTGCAGGAAAGGCCCTGCTCCGAGAACCCTCCCTGAAGGAGGTAAAGAGGATGTCTACTCAGAGTAGGGTCTTCTCTGTGGTGGCGCTCAGACTGTGGAATGCGCTCCCCAGAGAGGTTTGCCTGGTGCCTAGCTTATATTCTTTTTGGCACCAGGTGAAAACCTTTTTATTCGAACGCTATTTTAAAAACCTTTGATTTTAAAAGGTATCAGTTGCTTCTTTTATCTAATTTTATCTGTTTGTATTTTTACTAATTATCTATCTTTCTTATTTATTGTTATTGTTTATGGATTGTTTTGACTATTATTTGATTTTAATGTTATAAGCCATCCTGAGACGTTGTCATAAAGGATGGCATATAAATGTTTTAAATACATACATACATACATACCTACTGTAGGGCTCTATATTATCCCCCATGCTGTTTAACATTCACATGAAGCCACTGGGAGAGGTCATCTGGAGCTTCGGGCTGAGCTGTCAGCAATATGCTGACAACACTCAGCTCTGCCTGTCTGTTACATCAGATCCAGGTGAAGCGCTCGCTATCCTGAATCAGCATCTGAGCTCGATAAGGGACTGAATGAGGGTCAATAAAGTGAAACTCAGTCCAGACAAGACAGAAGCGCTGTTAATAGGTGGCTCGTCTGCTGGGTTGGGTGCTCATCTCCCTGACCTGGATGGAGTTGCATTCCCCCTAAAGGACAGGGTCCGCAGCTTGGGTGTGCTCCTGGATCTAATACTATCATTAGAGACCCAAGTGGACTCAGTGGCCAGGAGCGCCTTCTTCCTGTTGTGGCATATATACCAACTTCACCCCTAATTCAGTGTAGATTCACTGATTTAAATCATTTATGCTAGTTTCAAAAACATTGTTCCCATTTCTGGATCTATAGAGAAGTACACTGGCCTTCCCCAAGAAGAGTAACTGCTGATAAGTTGACCACCCTCATTTTGCTGTCCTGATTTCACACGTGCAGTGGGAAAGAAAACCCTCATCTTGCTTGAGTCCCAACCAGATTGTAAAATCCCCAGGTTTTTTCCTGCATCCAGCCATCTGAGCTACCACTACGATGTGGGCCTAGGTTTGTCTCTGAGAGCAGTTTTTCTTCAGATAGGCCATTTCTCTTTTAAATCAGAGGCACTAATGGGAAATGGTCACTGATAGAAGAAAACTGCTTTCTTTTATTTATTTATTTTATTTATTTATTAAAACATTTTTATGCTGCCCCATTCGCCGAAGCCTCGGGGCGGCTTACAACAACAACAAAAAAACATTTTTTACATTTTATATGGATGCCAGCGGATACACAGAAGGCTGTTTGCAGTGTAATCTTGTTTCCTGCTCTTTAGCAGGCGGGTTCTGGCTCATAATCATCTAGGGAGGAAGGTGTGTCACCAGTGCCATCACCACCTTTTCTTCTTTTAAAAGGAAGTTTATGGGGAAGTTTGGTGGAGTTTATGGGGAAGAAACATGAGAGTGTTTGTTTGTTTTCTTAGTGGGCTTCATAGGTGGAGGAGTCCCATTTTGGAGAACTTCAAAGTCTACTGCCCTTGTAGTGCAAGAGATGGACAACTTGTGGCGCCGCAGGTGTTGCTGCACTGCAACTCCCTTCATGCCCTACCATGAGATGTGCTAGCCAGGCAGATGGGAGTTGCAGTCCACCAACATCTGGAGAGTTAGACATTGCCCAATCCAATGCTACAGCTTCTCAGCATGGTGACTTAAATTCCCACATACACATCCCAGCTACAAACTCTGATCTATGTACCATCTCCTTTATTTTGCCCGTGTCCGTGGAAGAATATCAGTCTGGAGGAGAAGGCTCCCTGGGCATGGCGAAAAAACAAAAATTGCGCCAGAGGGCGCCCTAAGTCAACCTTGTTTGCAAGAAGTTGGAACGGGAGAAAGCGCAGGAGGGGTGTCCGCAGCGGTAGTGGCGGCGGCGGCGGCGGCGAAGTGGGCGGGGACGGACCGGCTGGGCGTGCCCTTCTTCCTGTTGGACGAGGCGGGGCCGCTGTTGCACTTGCTGTGGCCCGTGAATATGCCTTACTGTGCGCGAGCAGTTTGGGAGTTGCCGCCCGGGCAAAGCAATGACCGCCAAGCAGGGGGGAACGGAGCCGGCTCCTCCTGCTTCTCTCTCTGCCGCTGCTGCCGCCCCTTCGCCGCTGCCCAAGCTGCTCTCTGCGCTCTTCTATGGGACCTGCTCTTTCTTGATCGTCCTGGTAAACAAGACAGTGCTGACCGCTTACAGGTGAGACGAGGAGCAGCTTGGACGGCAGCCGGGCGGCCTGGACAGCTCGGTCCATCGGCGTTGATCTAGATTTAGCCATGCATGTTTCGAGCACACCGAATGAAATCAAGGGGCCTGACGGTTGGGATGAACTCAGCTGTTACTGATTTCAGCGGGTTTCCTCTAAGTATGACTATATCTGAAGCCAACTCATGATCGCAGGGGCGAATCCACGTCCCCTGTAATTACTTTGCCCTTGCACCTCCCGCTGCTCCTTCCGTTTCTTCGCAGATCGTGTACATGAACCTTTCCCGGTCGCAATGGAAACCTACTTCCTACCCAATATTTTGTTGTCCTGCCTTCCTCGTGGTTGCCTCCTGGCAGCGATCTGCCCCTCTTTCACGCCCGCCTGGTTCCCTGCTTCCCTGGCTGGGTCATACTTGGTGGCTTAATTAGAACCGCCACACTTAACCCCGCAGTAAGAGGAATACCCCGAGTCTTCCTGAACGCTCACAGTTTCATGTCAGAAGGTGTTTCAGTTATTATCTTTGGTGCCCTTAAAATGGGCAGGGGACAGATGCTGCAACTGGGACAAAGTTCAGTTCCAAAGGTTTCATTACAAAGCACTTGCTCCATACATTTTCTGATAAAGTTGGAGTAGACAGAAATGGGAATCAGAGATCCAGGAATATGTTTTCTAAATCAGAGCTGCCTGTAGACAAAGTTAGTTTATTATATTCTATGCTGCCTTTTTCCTGCAAGGAACTCAGGGCAGTTTCCATTCATTAAGAAGAATTTATCTTTTTATCTGTTAGAACAATGCATTCAAAATTAAACTATTTTATTGCCAGTTCCCTTCCTAATCCAGAAGCAAATTATGTTGCTTTCAGTGAGCCTAATTTCCTGGTAGGGATGCTGTGTTGCTCCTTCTTACACAGCCTTCCCCAGCCTGGTGCCTTTCAGAACTCTAAGACTTCAGCTCCCATCAGCTCCAGCCAGCTGGGCCAATGGTCAGGAACACTGAGAGTTAGAGCTTCAAACACCTGGAGGCTACTGGATTAAGGAAGACTGTTTCAACAGCTGTGACAAAGTAAATACTTAGGGTCCCTGATCCAAAACATTATTCAGCAGCAAGGAGAAAATGCATCAGTGCTCATCTGTGAACACAAGCTTAAGAGCTAGCTGGGGTGCTTCCAGGCAAGGTTTTTAATTTTGAAATTGCACTACCTTGTTCACTGAATTGTATGGGGTTCCATTCCCTTTTGAACAAGATTTCCCCCAGTAAGGATTGTGTTATGCACTATAAGAAACTGTCAATTCAGGTTGTAGTGCACAGGTAGGCAACCAGAGGTGGTATCCATCACCGCGACTGTGCTTCTGCTCATTCCGTTGAGCTTGTTGCACCAATGGCTTATGTGTAACAATGAATGGAAATGCTTTTTTCTTTGAGGAAAGGACACGACAGTGTTCTTTTCTGTGAGCTCTACAGAGTTGTCCCATTCCAGAAATCAGTATTTGTTACTGCTCCTGGTGTCCTCCAGAAGTTTTGGACCACAACTCTGTCAATCCCACCCCATGGGCATGCTATTTGGAGCTTGGAGAACATCAAAGCATGTAGAGAAGACCTGGTTGCTGACCCCCAGTTCTGATTTAAAGGTCTTGAGAGTGAGCTTGTGGCAAGCCTTGCACAAAAGCTTGCACAAAGTGCAAGACATTTCCCTCATGTAACACTCTTCTGCTAAGTTGGAAACAGTCCTTCTGTGAGTAGAAAATAGTTTCTGCTAAGAAAAGGACTGTTGCTGGATCCACCCAACAGGTTGTGTCCACTTTAAGGATCAGGCAGTCTTGTCCCCATAGTCTTTAGTTGAGTGTTAAAGGCCTCTTGGCAACTTCAGGCAACAAAGAAAAAGTGGACTTACAGTCTAAAGTGGACTGAAAAATTCAGCTAACCAATAAACTGTTTCAGGGTCTTGTACTAGGCAGTGAACAGGCAGGAATATTTGCTAGTGTTCCATTTGGCTATGAAGCAAGCCCCAGAAAACATCTTTTCAAGGCAAGCGTACAACACCCCAGGACCTGCAAGGTTATAAAGAGGACTTTTTGCACGGGTGGGCAACTTGTGACCCTCCAACTATTTTGGCTGTCCAGCATAGCCAATATGAGTCGAGATGAGAGTTGCAGGCCAAAACATCTGGGATGCCACAAGTTTCTCATCTCTGGTTTATAAGAATATTCAGAGCACTATTCTTAGCCAGTAACCAGTTGCAGCTTTTCTGCACAACTCATTAAAGTGGCTGTCACTAGCCTGGTTCCCTCCACATGTTTTGGCCTTCAATTGTCAGCATTCCTGCTGGTTGGAACTGATGGGAATTGTAATCCAAAACATCTACGTGGCACTGCGTGAGTGAAGGTTGGATTATAGGGTATTGCTTCCAGGCAGGATTGAACCTTAAGTCCAAAGCATCATGCCAGAAATCTATGAAGGTTTTTCTTAACAGACTGTCCTTAGGAAGAAGAAGTTGGAAGAGGCATTGGAAAAGCATGGGAGGGTTACAGGAGGAAGATGTTCTTGTCCTCTTGGTGACAGTGCCATAGATGTTCTGTCTGGACACATTCGGACAGAGTTCTGGGCACGATCGCCATTTGCTGGGCTTCCACACTTGGAAGTCGAACTGAAGTCTTTGCATTTGCCATTCTGAAGATTCTTATGAAATGTAGCATGCTGGGATAGCAATGGGCAGAAGGTAGATCTGGATGTGCTGATAGATCTCTGGCTCCCAGCTGCTTCACAATAGCAGCATTTTTTGTTCGTTTTTTGTTTAGTCACAAAGTCGTGCCCGACCCATCACGACCCCATGGACAACATTCCTCCAGGCTCTCCTGCCCTCCACCATCCCTCAGAGTCCACCCAAGCCCACACCCACTGCCCCAGTGACTCCCTCTAGCCACCTCATCCTCTGCCATCCCCAGCAGCAAAATAATGCACCCTAAAGAGGGAGCGACTGTTGGCATTATTATTGCATTATATTTCTATACCACCTGTAGTCAAATCTCTCTGGGCCGTTCACAACATTCAGATTTCAACCAGGCCCAACCCTGCTTAGCTTCCAAGATTAGTCAGGATCAGGCACTTCACGCTATATGGAAGCTCATTATCAATGAGAAGGCCATCTATTCCAATCCTGTCCCTTTTGACTTAACACATTTTTTCACAGAAAAAGACAGAAAAAGTGGTGGGAAAATAGAGAGGAGGGTATTACGATTTGTCTAGGCCCTTTGAAACCACTTCTGGAAACACTAGGGCAACCAGGAGCAGATCCCTAGGCTTAGAATTCTTTGGTCTTTCACACCAAGCTTCTGCTGGTGGATCTTATGGTTCTACTGAAAAACACAGTGGATCCCAAAAAACCCATATCTATTCTAAAAGAAGTTCATAGCTTTGTAGCAGGAAATGTTCAAGAAATCACAACAATTTAATTCCAAGTAACTTTTTGAAGCAATGAAAATTAAGCTGCCTTTTATGCTTAGCCTTGGTATTAGGCAGTTCTGTATAGAGATATAGTTTCATCTATCTTTGCTAATAGGAAAGGAAAGTCATACTTGACAAGTCTCATGAGCTTCCAGAATGTATATGGTTATGTATACAATCGTGCCTAAAACCTACAAATAATCTGTACTTCAACTGTTGCTTTCATGTCTTTCAGTGGTCATGAAAATATTGTACTGGAAATTGAATAATATCGTATTTTCTCCCTAAATCTGATAAATTGGTTTGCATATCCTTTTTTAAAGTTGTGACTTGACCTGTGAACAATTCTATTTTATTGTTCTCTGAACAATTTCAAAAAGGTTTAAGATGCATTTATTTCCCTTCATGAAGGCATTAGAACTTTAAAGCACTTACTTGAAACATGCTTTCAAGTTGTTTTGTTTTTACACAAAGTTTAAAAGACTTTGTAGAAACAGAGAGTCAGAAAGGGCCTCCCAGGCCATCTAATCTGACCCCCAGCTCCAGCCAGCTGTGCTCATGACATGCCTACCTTGTGCATGTCCTACCATGTGTATGTTTCTTTCTGAAATGAAAAATAGGTGATGCATAGTATAATCTTTATGCTTGCAATATACTGATACAGTTTTGCTTTCTTTCTAGATTCCCATCTCCAGTGTTTCTTGGAATTGGACAGGTATGCACCAAGATAAAATGGAAGAGAAGAGGAGTCTTCCAGGACAAGAGAGGGAGAATCCAACTTGGAGAAATGGCCTTTCCCCTCCAGGGCTCATGCCAGCAGTCTGGAAGACAGGCAGTGGTGGAACACTTTGCTTCCAGTTGAAGGGAAATAAATTGTGCCAGCACCAAGGACAGCTTGCTTCTGTCATGGCCACATCCATGGACACGTCAAGGGAGCAGGAGTTTCACATCCCTGGAATGCTTCCCTTTTGAAGCGCCAGTGTCAGGGGAGCTCTGGCTATAGACCTTACAAAGGAGTGTTCTGAATTTGGATCTCTCCCTCTTTCTCCAAGGGCAAACAATTTTCTCTGTCCCCCAACAGGGAGACCTGAAAAATCCTGTGCCACGGTGCCAGAGATCAAGGTGTTGCAGTGCAAATGACAGATGGATAGATTACTAGGCCAGTTCATAAATGTAAATTCTGCCAGTGTTTATGAGTCAGGACTCATGAATAAGGATCAGTGACTAACTCTTGAGGTTCACCCACTTGCTAATGCACGCATCAAGGGATGCTGTGGCCATAATGGTGGGCTACAGTGACTCCATTCTGAAGGAGCAGGACAAATTTAAGCTCTGCTTCCGTGAGTGAAATCTGCATACTGGGTTGCTCATTTTCAGTTTGCTGTATTTTTAATCTCACTTTTCAGTCAATTACTGTCTGCCAAAGCAGCTTATATCAGGAAAGGGGGCGGGAGGCCCAGCCATCAGGCTTGTAAAATAAAAAGTCAAGACACACATGAGAAGGGGAGTTGAATGGAAAGGAAAAGCAGGCAGATCAGTTTTACAAACCGGAACAAGGTGATGAGTTATAAAGTTGCCTTTAGGCCAGCCTGATGGTATTTGTAGTTGTGTGGGCTGACGGATTCTTTACCCTTTAGGCTGACACATCCTTTACCCTTCCTTTTCTGGCCTGTGGGGGCAACTGACAGTGGGAATCTAGTGTGCCTTCTTGCTGATAAAAGGAAGTGTGTTCCATGCATCTTGTCTGTATCTGCCCGATAGATGGGCCATGTTGCTCATTTCCTTGAATTACTGTCTTTCCTGAGGAGTACAGTGGCCTCCCAGTGGCCTTCGGTCCATTGCTTGGTGGCAAAAGCCAGGGTGTTTCCCTTCTGCCCTCTGGTCCTGGGGCAATTCTTTACTGACCCGTTAAATAGTTCAACAGAGTCCTCTCTTGCTGGGCAAACCAACAGTGTAAACTGTATATTGAAAGTCTTTTATTTATATAATAATTCCTTCATATAATTCCTTCTTCCTCTTCTTTTTAGATGGTAACCACTATTCTGATCTTATATGTATCAAAGTTAAATAAAATCATCCACTTCCCTGATTTTGACAAAAGCATCCCTAAGAAGGTAAGAACAACTACTTGGGTCTTAATTTAGAACATAAAGAGCCTGTTCTTGTGCTCAGTTGCATATTATATAATCCAGACTTTGGCATATTTGTTCAACTTTGCGCAGTATTGCCTAACAATTACCAGGAATTCTGCTTTTTTTTCCAGTGCTGGGTGCATTGCTGAAGGGCTCTTGGCTGCTCAAAGCGAGTCAGTAGTATTGCTTTCTAAGCTTGATGGCCTTCAGGTGTGTTTGCCTACAACTTCCACTGTCCCTCCCACACACACACAGAGCATAGTAGGCTGGGAATGCTGGGAGCTGTACATAAACACATCTCAAGGGCACTAGGTTGAGGATGGCGACAGCAGTATTCCTCTGTGTTGACATCTCTCCATGTTGTTCTGCAATATTTCCATTGCTTCCTGTAGGTCTTTCAGTTACATTTTCTTCACAGTTCCGTTTTCATACATTATTCTGGTTTTTGAACTGTAGCATGGCTCATGGTGTAATTACTCCTGAAAGCATCTCTGAAATGGAGTTTTGCCCTCTGAAAACCCTGGTCTTACTGTATTTCCTTCTTTGGTCATAGAGTTTAGGGAAGTTGGAGAAATCCACAATGAACTCAAATACATTTAGATTTATATGTATCTGACCTGTGGATTCTGCAATAGATTGGCTTTTCCCAAGTTGCTTGGATTTCATGGACTTATGGATTAACAAAAACTTTCCATAATTTTATACATTTGTAGTTATAGAAACATATAAAAAGTCAGGCAACAATAAATGTGCCTGAAAGTTCTCAAAACAGACAAATCCATACATCCTCAATAGAGTGAGGATTATTAAATCTTATGACCAAGTCACAAGTTGCAGGGCAGATATATTATCACAATAGGGCAGGAATCTAACATATCAAAGCCAGGGGCTAAATTCTGTGATCCCAGTCTGGCTCTCTGAAATTCCCCTAATGGCTACACACCTTTCTCCAACCAATGATTGAGTTTCCTGGTTTTTGTGCATTTTCAGTCAAATCAAGGCTGAGTAGTAAGAGCTTTAAGCTAAAATATGAAAGTTTGTTGACTCTTGAAACTGTCTCTGAAATTGAGTTTTGCCCTCAATCTGAAAAAAAAATCACATCTACTGCTATATAGTGTGACCTCTTTGTTATTGATTGATTTATATCCTGCCTTTTTCCTACAAAGGGCTCAAGGCAGCTTACATCTCCTCCTCCATCTTATCCCCACAACAACAACCCTGTGAGGTAGGTTGGGCTGAGAGTCTGTGACTGGCCCAAAGTCACCCAGTTGGCTCCATGGCTGAGCGGAGACTAGAACCCAAATCGTCTGAGTCCCAGTCCCATGCTCTTAACCACTACACCACACTGGCTCTCACCTGCTTCTACTAGCAGGAAGGATGTATTTATTTAGGCATGCTTTCAGGCATGTAACGTGGATTGTTGCTGAAGGGGGTTTGAACTGTTTATTAAAGCTGAAGGAACCAGGTTTCAGGTTGGATGTCAGGAGGTACCTCCTGATGGTTAGGGCCCCTACGATATGAAATGGGCTTCCACGGAAGGTGGTGGAGGCCCCATCAGTGAGGGTGTTCAAGGAAAGATTAGACAACCACATGCTGGGTAGATGGCCCAGGAGACTCCTTCTGACTCACTACATTTCTATGTTTCTATGTTTTTACTTCTGTACTTTTACATTGTGGCTTTAATTGATTTTTATGTTTTAGTAAAGATTATACATTTTTATTGTTAGCTACCTTAAGCTCCATTTTGGTTGAAAGGCCAAATACATACCTACAGTACCATAACACATGAAAGAGAGGCACATCCCTCTGAACATTATAGATACAGCTGTGTGTTGTGTTTGTACTTGTTTATGATGCCTTTTCCTTTCAAACTGTGCTGCATTTGTCATGTCTTGGGAAAGAGATTTGGGAAAGAGATTTGGTGCAGAAAGTGGAAAGCAGCCTTTCTTCCGATTTTGTTTTTTGTTCTTTTAGATGGCTAAGGGATTCTGTTCTACCATTGGTCAGTCTGTAACCAATGGTTACCAATAGCTTATTGCCTATATAAGCTTTCCACGGATGCAAACCAGTCTGAATTTACGCATAAGGAAACCCATGACTTAACCCAGAGTTCACAAACAAAGAAACTATAGATTCTCTTTCTGAGCTGTTTGTGGTTGATAATGCATGGGCTGTTATTGTGCCTTCATTCATACAACACAACATCCAGAATTCAGCAAACCATAGTTTAGCAATGCATGTAAATCAGACAATAAGTTGCAACCATATGTAGATTTGGGAGTAAGCCCCATTAAATACAGTAGAACTTACTTCTGTGTAAGCATGCACAATCTGCAGTTTAGCCTTTTTAAAGTCTGCATAGCTTCTTCTGTATGCTGTCATTTTAGCCTCAGTCAGGGCCAACATTATGACAACTATAACTACAACACACAGCATCATTTTCCACGTTAATATGGATCCAGATAACGCTGGCAATGTTTAGTGCTTTCACTGAAATAAACAGGGCCATTAAAACTATGGCTATGAAAGATGTGCAGGTAAAAGTGGATATTATTTATAAAGTTGAAATAAATAATATTTATTGGTAGTATGTGTGTGTATTTTTGATGTTGATGCTGGACTGTGACTGGTTGCATGAATTAACCTGAATGGATTCCTTCCCCAGTTGGATAAAAGGGGTTCAGTCTGAATTGGACACTTGTTTTATTGCAGCTGTTTCCGCTTCCTCTGATTTATGTTGGAAATCACATAAGTGGATTAATAAGCACAAGCAAACTAAGGTACAGTGAAAGCTGGGGTTTTGTTGGGCAGTTTGGTTTTCATTTAGTTCTTGTAAGTAAAAAGTCAAAGACTGCTGTAGTTTGGGAATATCAGGGCTGTGATGTCTGTGTGCTGCCTGTGTATTTGAATGAGGGTGATATCTCTACACCTCTGCGCAGCTTGGGAAAGTCCAGTGTATAAACTTGATTTATGAGCTGGGAACTGCATTTATGAGAGATTGAAACATTTTGTTCATTGATCAGAGATGAAACCAGCCTTTCTGCCTTCCCTCCACGTATTTTGTCATTTTCTTGCTCTCCATTTAATGAGTGCCAGCCTGTGAATTAAATCCACCGTGGGACTTTCTCATGCTCTCCTTACAATATCCACAAGAGATTTTGAGGGCATGTGGGTTCCACCAACAGAAGTGGTTCCATTGGCAGAATGAGGTTGGATCCAACCCTGGGTTCGATTTGGATAGGCAGAGATCCATATAAGTGACTGTTCACAATGAAAACATCTAGTCTGAACTCCACACAGTGAGCCATTCATGTGAGCACTTGTGCTGGTATGCCATGAACAGTTGCTCACTTGGGAGGACTTCCATGATTTATGTGGCAGTTTTAGCTGACACAAGGGACACCAGTCTTACTCCTGTGTGTAGAAAATATGTATAGGGAGAAGGATAGGTGTGCACCTACAAACAGCTGCATAACTGTATCAAGGAACTGCAAACCATCAAAGATGCTCAGGCATGTAACATACTTTGGGTTTTTGCAGCAGGAAACATGGCTGTACTCATTGCAAATTTGATTGCTATATAAAAGTTGAAGCTGCTGTTCTGCAAATGTTAGCTGCCTTAGCTAAATAAAATGAATTGGTATGCCACAGGAAACTCCACCCCTGTTGTGCCATGTCTGTGGTCACACATGTATATACCAGTTTATAAGAATCTGCCACTTGTATACTAGAATACCAGTCCAGAAATGACATGTTGACTTGCAGTTATGAAATATTTCAAGTGAATGTTTAAAATAGTACCATTACTTTTGCCTTTGGAGCCTCAGAAGTTGGATTTTTCAGACATGCGCACAGTTCCCACATAATGACAAGTCATGGATTAATTCAGTGGCAGTTTGCTATGTGCCATCAGGACTGAGAGAGTGCATGGCTTCTCATCCATTCCTCATGTCCACTTTTAAACAATGCAGGACTGGCCAGGTTGTAGGCAATCAGGATGACATGCAAAACTGGAGCATTGGACTTTCTAGGTTTAAATACCCTATCAGTTGCTCTAGCACAAGCCAGGTGTTAACCATTAACTAGTTTAGCCTCTGAAAATCACAATGCTCTGGGTTCATGGGGCACACAACCTATAATCCATCCCATAATAGGTTGTTGATTAACAACTGATTAACCCTTGCGTTCTTGCATGGGTGGTTGATTTTGCATTAAACTTAGAGGAGCTGTGTTTGGAGTTCTCATAGCATGCCGGCACAGCCAGAGACTTGGTTTGCAAGCCAGTGCACCCTTAGCTGGGAGTGAGCCCCATGCATGGACTTACTGGCAAGTAAGATGGATGGGGTGGTGCTGCTTTACTCTGCTAGTCACTGGGATATGCAGTGGCCCAGAGAGCCTCTCCCAGTGACCTGCCAGATGCCTTGGCCTGGAACAACCAGCAATGGATGGAAGCCAGCATAGCATATGGTGTTATGGTAGTCTCAGTTTCACTTGAGAGAAAAATGTTTGGTTCCAGCCAGTCTGTTATCGAACCAGTATTTGGTGTCAAACTGACATTTGGCTGTGACAGAGACTGAGATTTGTTCAGATAGATTCTTCATGTCCATCTTAAGTTGAGAAGGAACTTAGTAATGAAAACAAATAAGCATTAGCAAAAGATCTCACAACAGACATGACCTGTAATTTCTGTCTCTCTCATTATCTTTTTTAAAATGCAGTCTACCAATGTTTACAGTCCTTAGGAAGTTTACCATTCCTCTTACATTGCTGCTGGAAGTTGTTGTACTTGGGTGAGTGTTAGCTTCCCATTTTTGAAATACCACTGCAGCTTATTGAATGATATAATGTTCTTGTGGTATCTTGTCAGAATGCAGAGATAGGTAATGCTTGTTAACTAAGAGAATTTGCAGAGAATGGGAATGCTAAATCTGTACCCAGGTATTACTTTGGAAATTCTAGTGTATAAAATTGATTTATGAGCTGGGAGCTGCGTTTACGAGGGATTGGTATCTTTTGTTCATCAAAAAGAGGTAAAAACCAGCAGTTTTAGTGGGAGACCATAATTTCAGTTCAGAATTATGGTTCATTGCAAGAATTTCTGGCAGGATGAATTAGCAGTGCTTTAGCTCTACCAAAAACAAACAAACAAACACCATATTGGGCTGCATTAACAGAAGAATAGCTTCCAGATCACATGAGGTACTGGTTCCCCTCTATATGGCACTAGTTGGGCCCCATCTTAAGTACTGTGCCCAGTTCTGAGCACCACACTTCAAGAAAGATGCAGAAAAACTGGGAAAAATTCAGAGGATGCCCACAAAGATGACAGGGGGATTGGAAACAAGCCCTGCAAGGGTGAATGCTGAGTATCTTTTAGCCTTGCAAGGAGAAGATTGAGGGGAGATAGCATAGCACTTTCAAATACTTGAAAGGCTGTCACACCAAAGAGGGCCTGGATCTCTTCTCAGTCATCCCTCACTGCAGGGCTTGACATAAGGGACTCAAGTTAAAGGAAGCTAGATTGCTGGCTAGATATCAGCAAAAATGTCCTGACAGAGCAATACGATATTGGAACCAATTACCCAGTGAAGTTGTGGGTTGTCTCAATCCGGAGGCATACAAGAGGCAGCTGTAGAGGGTGGGGCTGCAGGACAAAGACAAAAAAAATGCAAGGATACTTTTGCTTAAATCTCTTCAAACCTTAGGAGTGCCATTTCAGCCTTTTAGAATGGGAAAACAATCTTCATTAATACTGGAAATCATCAAATGATTGGCAGCTGGGGAAAGGAGTACGATCAGGGGAAGGAGAAAGTTAAACCCTGGACCACTGGAAAGGAACACCAGGAGGTCTGAAGGCTGCTTTTGGTCCTGAGGTTCAACACTCCTGTTCTAAGCAATGGACTTTCCTGATGGAAGTGTCCAAATCCTTTAGGAGGAGAAGGTTACAGCCTCATTCATATCTGCTGAAGTTAAGCAAGAAAAAGAAAGTAGCTTATCTTGCCTTATTTTGGTTCATCACAGATACTTCTCCGGTGTGCATAACACTGGTTCAGATAAGTGTCCAGTTTCTTTTCCTGATCCCCAAATATAAACTTTATGAGGTCATTTGTATACTTTGTCTTTACAGGAAACGCTATCCATTGAATATTATAATCAGTGTGACAGCAATCATCTTGGGAGCTTTCATAGCAGCAGGGTAAGGTTTTAAACAGCTTCCTTTTCAGTTGTATCTTCATTTCATGAACTTCTGGAGTTGCACTACTAAGGGGATTTAAAGCCTTGAATGCAGTCTAAGGGTTGCAGCCAAGAGGTGGTAGGTACTAACCCTGGACATTGCCCAGAAGAGGCTCCAAATATTTATTCCCCTTCCTTTGGGCTGTAGTTTGAGGACCTATGCTCTAGGTGATCAAGTAAGTGCAAAAGAGCTTTGCCTCCTCCCCCCCCCCCGGCATTTTCCATGGGAAAATGAGTTTTGACAGCTTGCTTGGAAATGGAATTTTGACAGGGCAATGGGTAGTTTTCATCTGAAACATTCCAGTATTGGTACCAACCCAAAACCTTCCTTTTCTAATCAAAACCTCTTTTAAAGGGACCTAGAATTTTGACAGTTGCCAAAGCTGTCAAAACTTTTTCCTGAGAAAAAGGGGGTGGGGTGCCTTTTGCAGATTTCCAAATACCTAGCTGCTCAGAGCAAAGTGCAGGCCATACACCCTGCGGGAAATAAAGGGAATGGGGAGATGAATTTGCTGCCAAGGGTGTGCCAATCCTCCAAAACACCCTTTTTGCAGATAAAGACCTTTACCTTTGATTTTCTTTGACAGCTGTAAAGGAAAAACAAAGGGAAGAAAATAATATTTGGAGCTTGTTCTAGACAAGGTGCAGGGTTAGTTCTTGGTGTCCCTTGACAATAGGTATCCCCCTGGACATTGCCCCGGCTGAATTTTAAGTTTGCCGTAGTAGCACAAGTGTAAAAGCTCACTGTTGCGAGTTGCAGCTAAAATAAATAAATGGGCAGGGGGCTTGCATTGGCACACACAAAAGGACCCCAGGTATCCAGCATGCCACTGGGATACCTTGAAGGAACTGCTTATATCTGCCAAACCAGGGATCATGAAAGGTAGCTTGACATCCGCTTTTGAAATCTTCCTCCTCAAAAATGTTTAAAGAGGAAAAAAGCCACAGTAATACCAGAATGGAAGTGACCTGTTCCTTCCATGGTGTCCCCTGGGATACTCAAAATGGGAGCCAACAACTCTCACTGAGCCTAGCTGCCTGTCCCCTAGATCATGGGAGGCCACAGAATTTGGATTTCAGCTTCCAGAAATCTTGCATGGCCAGGGATCAGCAATGCTGGGAATTGAAGTCCAAAACATCTGGAGATCTGCTTTCTGTCCACTTCTCTAGACCAGTAAGGACAAGATGTGTCCTTCCAAATAATTTGGCCCAAAACTCCTGTCTACCTTCACCTTTGGCTATACTGACTAAGGCTGATGGAAGTTGTATGCCTGAACATCTGGAAAACAAGTTGCTTAACCTTGTTCTAGTCACTGGGGAATCTGATATCCACTACAAAATGTCCCAAAGTTTTCAGTGAAGAAAAACTAACAAAACAGACAGAATTCTTAGAATACATGCAGATCAAAAATATTTACATAATTTGACCTGATCTCTATGCCTTACTTTGGTTGTACATACATCTTTCAGATTTTGGAAGCTGGGAAGCAGGGAAAATTCCAATTTTGTTACTTTCAGAGGGAAGTGGATTGGCAGTCACTAAACACTGAAGTTATTGCAGCCTTGAGTCATTGCTAATGATACTGATGTCCTACTGAAAAAAGCATTTCCTTATCTGTGTGCTGGATGTGACCTAGCTATGTAGAGATAGCAGTAAGCATAACACATCTGGAGAAGTGAACAATAGTCCTAATTTTGCCCTATCAAGCAAAGGTCATTTTGTTTTGTTTATAATATTGAGTCAGAAATTTACACAATTCTTATTTGTTTATTTTTAATGAATGCTCTTATATAGGAATCCTATAGAAATTGCTATATTCTCCTTGACAGTGATTAATATTCCATGGTTTGTGGTGACTGCACCAAGGCCCATTTTCAAAAGAGAGCTGATGTTGGAGAAACACAAGTTCAAGCCTCCATTAGGTGTTTCAGATTCACTGACCTGCTTCACACAACATGGCAGATTATCTTAAGTTAATTAACCAATAATTACCCCAACTACACAGGGGCACATGCAGCTGCCCTTTTGAATATGTAGCATCTCATCAGGATGATTAGCTAGGTTAAGTGTGGGTAGTTTAACTCTTGATTAACCTGTGATGGCTGGATTTGGGCAACATGCCGCAACACAGATGGCTCCATTTGGAGGAGGGCTATTCAAAATAGTAACAGCACACACTCCAGATGCTCTGGGACTGATTAATTAACCCATGGTAGGCTGCCATGTTGTATGAAGTGGTCTGTTTCAGAGTTCTTTGAATCCCCAGGGACATGAAGCATTGAAATAAAATTTAAAAATTTAAAAACTAGGTTTAGCTTTAGTAGGAACAGGCATGACACCATCTTGCATTTCATGTACATCCAAAGCGGCAAGGAAAACCTGCTAAGAATAAAGAAGAACTAGTTCTCCTTGGCAACGTGTTTCTCTGTCGTTCCCCAATTCTTGGATACTTGCTAAGCGTGGGGATATATTTCTTATGCAATATACATTGTTTTTTCCAAGGTCACCAAAATAGTTGAGGATAGTGGAGGGGCAGTGTTGTTTCATATGAAAGGGAAGATTGAAAGCAACAGAAGTTCCAGTCAGAGTACTGAAAACATCGACTGTATGAGTTCTGTTGAAACAGGCAAGGGTTTTCTGCTGTAGTACTTGTTAAAATTGCACTCATGGACGTTTCCTGTCTGACTCCCTTCTGAGAATTTGTCTGATTACAGTTTTGGGCTGAACTGAACAGTTAAGTCATTATTAGAAAATTTGTCAGGAATGAATCAGGCGAGCTTTGAGCAGGATGTCATATGAAATACAGCAACTGTTTTCTTCCTTTTGCGGTTGGGGCTGTGTGACAGGCTCTCTTGTGCTGGGCAGCTTCCAGCAGTGTTGAACTACAAATCCCATCATCTCCAGCCAGCATGCTTATTGGTTGTGCTGGCTGTGGATCATGGATGATGTAAAGGCCAGGTTGAAGAAGGCTGTTCCATTGCTGTGAACTCCTGAACTTGCTGTTTGGATGTGCAAGTTTGTAATATGGAAGTAGTTTTGGCAGCTAACCAAAGACAGAGCCATGCAAAGAATGCCCTTTCACTCCGGCATATTTTATCTTCTAGATCAGACCTAACTTTCAGTTTAGAAGGCTACGCTTCTGTTTTGCTGAATGATTTCTTCACAGCAGCAAATGGTGTTTACACAAAACAAAAAATTGACCCAAAGGTAACTATATGGGGATTTCATTCATCCTCCTTTGTATTTTCAAGAAACAAATTGTTATCTTTGTTCTCTGATTTTATAAATATGTTCATAGATGGCCCTACTCAGAGCTAGAAAAATATTTTTAAAACTAGCTTCATTATTTTTCAGGCAGTATCTGAAGGGTTGATATTCTTAATGGCAAAAATGTGAGAATCTCATTGTGAAATTTTTTATATTATCATATACTTGTATGCCACCTTTTAGCCATAAAGGCTTTCAGCCCTAACGCTCTTACTGGTAGTCTGAGAATGTCTTTGCTCTGTTTGTAACAGATTTTCCTATCATCCACTTATAGCTCTCAAGAACTTCTCTTCTGCTTCCTCAAAACTCTGCTTCCCTCCCTGGCCACCTATTCTAGTTCTTCTGAGCCATTGCTATGACAGGCTCTTCTAGGTTTAACCATGCAGAGAGTCTTTCGGATAGGAAAAATCCCGTATCCAAAGGAATGTTATACATGCTGCCACCTACCTGGATGGGGTGCCATGTAGGCTTATTTCAGAACTGTATGCATAGTTCAGCATCTGCACACACTGTAACTTGATGAACTGGTTTCTATCTGTGCTTCCACTGGAAGTCTAAATATGCATCCCTTCAGTAGCTATTGAGTATTCTTTAGCCAGTTTGTCAACAGGTGTGTCTGTTTTACACAGGAGCTGGGAAAATATGGAGTCATTTTTTATAATGCCTGTTTTGTGGTAATTCCTACAGTTCTCATATGTGTCTTCACTGGAGACTTCCAACAGGTAAGCAGCTCTCATAGACAAGTCAGGGTTCCTGCAATACAGTCACTGCCTTAGAATCTAGAATGCTCTTCCTTGGGTGGTAGTGGCTTCCCTTAATGGAGCAAATTCTTCTGAACGTGGGGCCAAAACAAGATCTAAGCCCCACATCCTGCCCTCCCCACAAAGACGGCCAGGTGCTTTCTCATAAGAAAGCCCTCATTCTGTAGATTTGATGTGTAGTCTTTTCTGGAATGGGCCTGAAGCATTGGGGACATGCACAACATTCTTAGGACATATCTGGAACTGGAACCTTTCTGTAGTGATCTGTTGTCAAAGGTATTAAGGAGCAAGTCTTCAAGTTCCATACCGATTTAATGTAATATCCTGAAGAGCAAGAGTGAAAATTAGAGCAAGATACTAATGTGATTTTTTAAAAAGTTCAATTAATTATTTGTTCCAAGTATTCTGAGCCTGCTTTTCAGCCAAGGCTCTCTTAGAGCCGCTTACAGAGATCCGAAATAAGATAATCCCTGCTTACAGATTTACAATATAGGAGACATGAAACAAGGAAAGGGGCTTGGGATGGAGGAGGGAAAAAGCAGTTTGAGGCACTAGATCCTTAGCTGCCAAATTCAGCAAGCTGGATCTAAACTCTGTGAAAGGGTAGTTGCTTCCTCTTCCTCCAGCGGCCTTAGCAGTAGCAATTGCCGGCTGGTAGAAGCGAGTCTTGTGCTTTCTGCTGGAGGTAGATCATGCACAACAAAGGGATGCTTCAGCTTTAATCACATTTAGTGATTAAAATGACTCTTCTCTTTACTGTATACCTAAAACAGATACTCTTGATTTTTATAGGCCACCGATTTCAAGCAGTGGACAAATGTTTTATTTATCTTTCAGTTTCTTCTTTCCTGTTTACTGGGGTAAGGAATCTTGGACAAGTGAGGAAGCAATGTTTGGCATGTTTGCTCCCCACTCGTGACATGTGTATCTAGTCTGCCCAGTGAGATGACAACCAATAGCTACTGCAATCCCAAAGGAAGAAAAGAAACCCAGTTGCTTCAGACAATACATTTATTGTGTTCACCCTTTCTCCAAGGCCCAGTACATTTTGAAAATTACTCTTGATCAGGGAGCAAAGGTAATTTCTCCAGACTGTCGGCTTCTTCCTCAGAAGGCATTGACTTTCTGTCACCACTTTTATTCTTCATGTCAACAAGGGATAAGACTCCCGCTCATTAATTTGTTACTGTTGTACCACATATACTGTAAGTCACCGAGCTATTTCTGGCAGTCCATGTGGAACACTGTGAAAACAGTAAGGGCCAGTATGGGCCGTAAAGTCTGCCTGGACTCCATTTTAATCTGTGTAGTTTTATACAAGTTTCCCAGTTCACCTTTGCTGAGATGACATGGGGCTGCTCAGGACACACACAACTGTGTCGAGTGGACATCGTAGCGCGATGGTTGCAGGATGCAGTTCCGTGCATGCTTGCATTGGCGGGGTGAGAGGCGGTGGGCAGTGCAGAGAATCCATCTGTGAGAACTCTTCCTCTCCACTAGGTTTCTTCTGATATACTCGACAGTCCTCTGCAGTCATTATAATTCTGCCCTCACGACCACGGTGGTTGGTGCTCTAAAGGTAAGTGAACCAAGGAGGACTGGTGGTGGTGTCAGTGTCAGGATTAGCTGTGGAAGGCATTTGAGTCACCCGGCATCTTGAGCAGTTTCAAAAAAAGGGAACTCTGCTGTCTTGATTATGGCTTTTTTTAAAGCTCTGGAGGACCACAAACTTATAAAAGTGTGAACATTTTTAAGATTCCAAAGGAAGCGAAGGATGGCACACTGGAGACCAGATATGGTTTATCGTTGGGCAAAGTTCTGCCGTTCATGGCACAGAGTTATTCCCTGAATGATTCCCTGTTGTCTTCAATTCTCCAGAAAGACCATGGGCTGGATCCAGATTTCGCTTTGGGCCACTTTGGCTCCTTCCCAAAGCAGCCCCTCCAGCTCCATAAAAAGTTACACAGAAAGTCAAGGAATCCTGCTGAATGGGATGTACTTTGACTTAGGAGGATGGGTGATCTCCAAAACTTGGGCAGGGACACCTATATGAGTAGCACCATTCTTTACAAGAAGCCAGTTCTTGGACCCAACTCCATGCAGCTTATCAAATAGGGGCATACAACCACATAGGTAGAACACAATAACATGGGGTGATCTCCATCATCTTCTAGCCTGGGTCCCACATATTAATTTTTGTTAAAATTAGATCAGATTAGTTCCTTCATGGTTTGTCATTCTCATCTTGGAGGTCGGGGGCATGCCTAAAAGCTGAGTGATGCTAAGAGACCAAATCGACACATCCCTCTTTGTTTACAGAATGTATCCATCGCTTATATCGGAATGCTGGTTGGTGGAGACTATATCTTCTCCTTGTTGAATTTCATTGGGCTCAATATTTGGTGAGTAGGGTTTGGAATGTATGGATACAAATTCATGTGAAAGACAGTTAACATTCATTTCTGATGTTGGATGTGTTCTCTGCTTTCCCTTTTTAGTATGGCAGGAGGGCTGACATACTCATTTCTAACAATCCAGGGACTGGACCATCCTCAGCGTTTCACAGATGAAGAAAAAGCACTGTCAGGCACCAAGAGTTAGCAGAAGCATGAGAAGCCGAAAAGGTGCCTTCTAGAAATTAGAAAAAATTTTGCAAAAAAGGGTATGGATTCTACCTCATCTCACATTGTGTTCCTGGTGGTGCCATAAGCCAAGTCCTGTTTTCAGATAGAAGCTGACAGCTGCAAAGCCATAACCTGAAGATGTTTTGGATTCTTTAGATACCAAGACTTATTGCAGTAGACTCTGGACTCCTTCAAAAATGAATGGCAAGCTTTGGCAACCTCTTATTTGTTTGCAACAGGCAGGATCTCATGATCCTTGATTGGTTTTATCCAGTTCAGACTTCCATTCCAATATGGTGGGTGTTGGTTCACCTATCCTGCCTGAGGTTGCCTACCTCAGGATAAAATGCTGCCTTATATTTTTGAAAATGATATGCTGGCACTGGACACTGTCTACAGGCTGCAAAATATAGATTAATCAACCATCTTTTGCACATGGGCCTTCCGTAGGAACATGGGCATGTCTCAATGGATGCATAGAGCTCTTTCTTCAGAACTTTCATGGTCTAAATGCTGTGGCTCAATCTGCAGGCTGGCTGAAGGAAGAATATCTCTGCCTTGGAGTAGGAGCTTGGACTAGCTTTCCCTCTGGCTGCATGCCAGCAATATGGCGCTGTATTTGGGAGGTAGGAAATGTGTCCTTCACAAAGGCAAGCACTGTTTTTTCTGGGTCAGCCTCAGCGCTGCCAAGAAACTAGCCATTCAGCTGCACAGTCTTTGATGTCATGAATGCCCTCACACCACCCGTATGGATGCCCAAGGCCCTCCCTGTTATCTCCCGTCCCCCAGAGCATTAGATTTTCTGGAGAACATATATGCTGAAAGAACATGTCCGATAAATATCCGATGCCCGTGTGCCTTAAGCAGGAACGCCAGGCTTCCACTCTGCAGTTTTTGATCCTCAGTTCTGCGAAGAGTTCTGATCCTAGAACAGCGCTTTTCCACCTTCCTATTCTAGCTGAGCTTTTCAGGAAGCCTTTAATGGAGCCTCTTCCAGACAGAGTTTGGTGAGCCCTCTGGAATGGCACAGGGCATAAAGCATAGGGGCTGGGTGGGCTGCAGTGGGAAGAGAGGGTCAATAAATATTGGGGAACACTTTTGCCTTCCTCATGTGTAACAAGTGGATCCAAGCCAGTGCATTTGAAAAAGCATTTTCCTTCTGTCAGTGCTAGTCCTGTTAGTTTCATTCTCCCAGCAAAGCAGTCTGCTTCAAACATGAAGAACCAAACCTGTGTGGGTCATCTTCTTGCTGTCACAGATAGATCACCCAGGGTTCTGCTCCTGGATTAACCAACAGAAAGCAATGCATAACCAGTGGAGTGTAAAAGATGATGGAAGATACAGTGCAGCCCAAAATCTTTAAAATGCATTCCAAACACTTCCCCCTTTTCATATGAATAGTGATGACTGTTATGTGAAGGGGTAGAATTCTGGGCTACAGAACATTCTGCAGCTTGCAAAGCTTAAAATGAGTGCACGAACCTCACCTGGGGCACGGGAGCTTTGCTGAAGTTCTGTGCTCACCTTCCTCACCTGCTGCTCGCCTGCTATTTTTGATTTTATCTCCTAACAATTTCTGGCCACTGGCCGTGCTGGTTGATTGAAGCCAAAATCAGCAAGGTGGGGAGTGGCACCAGCCTGGAAAGCTGCTCCTACCCCATGGCTAAAGTGCACAGCTGCAAGGGACAGAGCTGCCCCACCTAGGCCTGGGGAAAATAAGGCAGTGGCTCTTCTCATGCAGAGTTGCTCTCTGGCAATTCGGACAGTACGGTCTGTCTCATAGGTGTGCTACTCTGAAATGGAAAATTCCCGCTTGGCCCTCAGCCTTCTGCAAGGTGGCAGCTTCACCTTGACCCATCTTGTGCCTTGGGCTTTTCTGCCTAGGCTGGGATTCAGAGTCCATGGTGCTTACCTACTTAAAGCATGTAGTTGTGCATGGGAATGTTGCCATTTCTTCCCTTTCCATGTGCAGACCCATAACAGACTTTGCCACCTGCTGAGGGATCTTGTTGAAAGGGGACCCTGAAAATCCCTGAAACTCAATTGGCCCTTTAGCATCTACTGAGTTTCAAGCAGTGCCTTGGTCCCCATACAATACATTTGTCTGCACTGTTAAGAGCTATACAAGAATTGTGTAATTGTTGCTTCTGGATGGTCGTCGAAGGGCTTCCTTGGCTCCTAATCCAAAGCCATTGTGCAGCTATTCTATGTTTTCCTAGCAAGAAAAAACGTGGAAGAAACAGTGGGAAAACACAGACTATAAATGGAAGATGACACCATGTGAGCATCCCCATGAATGAGGGCGGGGGGGTGTTGCTCAATAAAAACCTGGTCTGCAAGCAGCCAGCAACTGGGTTCTTACAGCACGATAAGAGACGGTCCCATATAGGCAATATGGTTTGTTAGCCACTCTGGCTGGGTTCAGACAACATGGCAAGCCATCGCCAGCTTGCTGTGTTGTGTGACCCCAGTCAGGCCCATCCACACTGTGCCAGGTGGAGATGGGACGTGTTATACTCAGCTGCCTGTATGAGAAACTGAGCTCATCCCTACCCAGCACAACGGCGCTCACTTGGGATCTTTCATGCCATGGGTGGTGCTTATCACTTCAGCCAGCTGGTGGGTAGGTTGCAGCCATGAGCAGTCCTGTTTCCCTAGCCGGCACTGGGGCAAACGAGCCACACTGCATGGCTTATTCTGCCATGTGTCGTGCTGTGTCATGTGAGCCTGCCCAGTATCTCCTGCCCCTCTCCACTAACTGTTGAGACATATGACATGCCATGGAATGTAGCATCTCCTGACCCCCTGGCCTGCTTCATCAATGGCTCTTTGTGCAGTGGAGAAACACTGGGCTTAATGGAGTCACACCACATGGAAAACTCTCTCTGAGCTTTCATCTAGGAGCTGTAGTTTTACAACCCCTGGAAAGTGGAGTTGGGTCTGAGGAAAATAGAGCATGCTGCTTTGTCCTTAGGAAACGTTTAGCCGGGTTCTAATTTAGGTGAGAAGACAAACCACCAGAAGCAATACTTTTTGGTGTTAAGGAACAAAAACATGGCTTTGTTTGGTAATTAGGAATTGTAGTCTTTTTTGTAAGTCTCCCTTTTTAATGTTTGGTTTTTGTTTGTTTCTTCGTTCTGTATGGGCTATTGTGTTCCAGTTATTTCCTTTATCTCCATTTCCAGAGATTTCCCAAACCCAGAATGGATTCATTCAGATACATAGCCTTGTACAGTATTCTGCCCAAACTGGTATGCAGGAATTAAATCCTTCAAATATGCATATATCCTTGTGCACAGATAGCACAGTTAGGAATATCAAGTTACATTCAGGTTTTGGAACTTTGTGTCTTGCTAATGACTTCAGCAAGGGGGAAAGTTCATGTTTGGAGAACTCTTGGAAAAGGTTTTCTTACTATTTCATTCAGTTACTGCCCTTTCTCTTACAAAACTCTAAATTTGTAGCTTGGTGTAATTTGTAATCCAAGCAATTGGAAGGCATTTGAATGGATTTGATAACAGACAAGTCATCAATGTCTGTTGCAGTCTGCCTTTAGTGATGCAAATACTTTGGAAAGGCAGACTATGAATACTTCTAATAACTACCTAAATATTGTGGCACATACCAACCCAACCAGAGCCATGTCTGCCCTTGGGCACAGGAGGCTGTGAGTGCTTCTTTGAAAGAGGGAATGGTCCCAGCCCCTTTAAAGAAGGGTGTGATTATGCCATTCCTAAAAAAGCCTAACTGGGACCCAAGGGATGTGAATAAGTATAGATCGATTGCCAACATCCCCTTCCTGGGGAAGGAGTTTGAGAGGGTGCTGGCCAGGCAACTCCAGGTACTCTTGGAGGAAATGGATTTTCTAGATCCATTTTAATCGGGTTTCAGACGTGGTTTTGGAGTGGAAACTGCCTTGGTCACAATGTGGGATAACCTTTGCTGGGAGAAAGATGGGAGTGCAAACCTGTTGATTCTCCTGGACATCTCAGCTACTTTTGTAGCTCATCAACCATGGTATCCATCTGGATACGTTGTCTAGGTTGGCATCTCTCTATGTGGCTCTGCTTCCGCCTGGCTGACCAATTTCAGAAAGTGGTTCTGGGGGATTGTTGCTTTGTGCCGTGGCAACTTTGCCATGGAGTTCTGCAGAGCTCTGTTCTATCCCCCATGCTATATAACGTCTCCATGAAACCACTGAGATCACCTGGAGGTATGGGCTGAAGTATCAACAATACTCAGTTGACACTTCGCTCTACCTCTCCTTTTCATCAAACCCAGGTGAGGCAGTGGCTATTCTGAATCCATGTCTGAACTTGGTGAAGGACTGGATGAGGGCAAGTAAGCTGAAACTCGATCCAGACAAGACAGAGGTACTCTTGGTGAGCAGACCATCTGTCCAGCTGGAAAATCTTCAGCCTGCCCTGGATGGGGTTGCACTCCACCTAAAGGACAAGGTTTGCAATTTGGGGCGGATTGGTGGCCAGGAGCATCTTTTGTCCATTGAGGCCAATTCACCAACTACAAACTCTCTGTACAGACAGAGCCTCGCCACAGTGATCCATGCTCTGGATCTGGAGTGATCCTCTCGTCTGGATCACTGTAATGCCCTCTGTCTGGGGCTGTCTTTGAAAACGGTCCAGAAACTCGCACTGGTTCGAAGCAGGGCAGCACAGCCACTTGCAAGGACTAGCCCACGAGCTCACATCAGACCGCTCCTCCCTCAGCTGCACTGGCTGCCTGTTGAACTCCAGGCCCAGTTCAAAGTGCGGGTGTGAGCATTTAAACAGCTTGGGGCCTGGCTATATGAAGGAATGCCTTTCTCTGTATGTACCTGCCTGGCCCTGTCCCTGGCCCTTAAGATCCAGAGGTCCTTTTCTGGGAAGTGGGGGGGGGGGCAGGAGGAGGGACCTCTCTGTGCTTGCAGCCTGCCTCTGCGACATGCTCCCCACAGAGGTTCTCCTGGCAATGTTGTTTTCTTTTTTGGCCAGGTGGAAACCCTTTAATCGACCAAATGTTTTGAAGGTTAGATTGGTTCTAATGCTGTTTTTTTATCTGAACAAGTTTTGTGTATTTGGCATTTGGCTGGTTTTTAATGTTGTGTACTTGCTTATTCTGTCATTGTTTATGTTTTTACTTATAAACTGCCCGGAGAGCCTTTTGGGCTATCGAGATGGTATAAAAATGTAATCAATAAATAAAAATAAAGTGCTCTGAATGTGAAAGCACCTGGCTAGCTATTTCTGCAGAAGGTGGTCTTACCTTGTGCATATCATGAAAACGAAACTAGTTCTGTTTATGACTTGTTTGTGTGTTTAAATGTTATTTCTTTGTTTTTATAATTTGTAACATGAAAATGAAAAATAAAATGATAGAAAATCAGTCCATATCTAAAACATTGATGAATTATTTGCTCAGAATGTTAAGAAACAAATGTAAGCTGTGTTCCCCACGCCTGCCCACTTTCACATATTGGCCCATCAGGTAGCTCATGTGTGAATATGGCTGCATCAGAGGCCTTGTTCTCTTCCTTCTCCACAGTCTGAAGTTTGATGGTGGGTAGACAATACATGGCCTCTTCCATGGTGGCTCTGGAACTCTGGAACTTCAACTATGTTGACTCCTTTCTCTCTTCCCCTTTTTTTCTTTGCTTGATGCCTGTTATTTTTTCTTTATGCTTCCTTACAGCTATTTTATTTGTTGTTTGTATTTTTAATTTGTATGTGTGATATATACATCCTGTTTTTAATTCCTGTTAGCTGCCTGGAATATTCATGGACACAAAAGCAGAGCATAAGCATTATATTGCTTTTTTTTACATTTTGTATTGTTAAACCATCCCAAGACTTTGGTAATGGAACGGTCTACAAAAGTTTTAAACAAACAAACAAACACTTCCTTTATAGCAGGGAATAACTTAGTTTTCTATTGATGTGCCACCAAAATTCTGTAGATGTTTTCTTAAAACATGGCAACATATTACCCCATGAGTTACTCCTGTTTTGTGTACACCCTGATGAAGTATCTGGCCCATGTGTGATTGACAGCATCAGATGATGAAATGTTTCAGCATAAACGATAAGACCTTCAGTAAGCATCACTGCATAATAAGCACAGTAGAATGAGGCATCTTATTCTTCATGGGTATGAGAACAGAAATCTGTACGTGGAGTTTTATTACCTATGTGAGCTTTCCGTCCATTTTGAAGGGTTCCAGGTATTTTGTTCATTGCTTACATTTCTATGCTGCCCAATAGCCAAGGCTCTCAGAGCGGCTTACAAAGATTAAACTCATGCAAGTATGGTGTACCAGTCTGATACGATCAGTATAATATCCAGTCATTCATAGAGAAACACAAAAACATTTTTTTGGAATTGGCAATCAAAAGTCCAGGACCTATTCAAAAGCTTTACCATATGCAGGCAAATGTCTGGGAGTAGAAGAAAGTTCTGACCTCATGTTAGAAAGATGGGAAGGAAAATTTTCTTCCAATTACATGTGCAAAGCCTAATTCACAGGCACAATTGTTTTAGGCATGAAATATCCACAGCAGGAATATTCAATTTCATTGTTTTCCTTTGTAACTTATAATTATTTTCATTATTAGAGCATTCATTTGTTTATTATGACAGAATACACAATTTCTTTATCTAGAAGATACACTACTGACTCAGGACATTCTTTTTCCATTTGTACCAGGCAAGCCTGGATGTGCTGATGCCTTTATACAAATCTTTGGCCCAGCCACACTTGCATTCCAAACCTCAAACAGGATGCTGCAGGTCTGGAAAAGGTGGGAAATGGGGCACCTCAATGATGAAGGGGCTGGAGCATGTCCCATATAAAGAAAAGTTAAAACATTTGGAAATCTTCAGCTGAGAGAAAAGACAAGTGGGATAGGGGACCTGACGTGAGCTATTGATGCTGGCAAATCAGTGTGGTGCAGTGGTGAGGGTCTTGGTCTGGGACTTGGGAGGCCCTGTTTGTAGTCCCTGCTCAGCAACTTTGGGCCAGCTGCTGACCCTCAGCCTATCTTACCTTACAGGATTGTTATAAAGATAAAAATGGAGAGAAGGAGAACCATGTAAGCCACCTTGAGTCCCTTGTAAGAGGTAACATGATAAAAAAAATATTTATTTATTTATTTATGAAATTTGTATGCCATCCAATTACCAGCGTCTCTGGACGGCTAATTATAAAAGTATACTTTGTATAAAGAAGGTGAGTAAAGGCAAATGGTTTTGCGGGAGTGGAGCAAATCAGATCAAGACCATTTAAACTGGGAGTGTCGAATCTCTTTCAGCGGGAGGGCCAAATTCCATTTTAGAGAAGTTCTCAGGGGTTGGCTTTTAATGACGGGTGGTGCTGGAGGCAAAAGGGGCAAGGCCAGAATGTCCACATAGTCTTGCTTAAGGCTTGTACCAGTAGCTAAGCCTTAGGAGAGGCATTCTAGTCACTTAGAAGAGAGATACCCCTGCACATGCTCAAAACCACCGGGCAATAGGAGGTGTGGGGGAAAGGAGTGGGTTTGGGCGGGAATGGTGTCACCTACTGGGGAACTCTGGAGAGGGGCAATTTGGCCCATAACTCTAGCGTTCTGCACCCATAATGTGAACCGTTTCTTCTACCATTTTGCTGACCTAATTACCCACCTCTAAAGCTGCAGTTGCTATTTGAGAGGTGTAGGACAGAGAAAAGAAAACACTTCACAGAACATATAGTTAAGCTGTGGAATTTGCTGCCACAGGAAGTGGTGGTGGCCGCCATTCTGGATAGTTTTAAAAGGGGATTGGACAGATTCATGAGGAAGGGAGGTATCAGTGGCTACTAGCCTTGCTGGCTTTGTGCTTCCCCATTTACCTGAGGTGACCTGCCTGGATGCACGAGCTGCTGAGGAGCTTGGGCAGAAGGAGGTCTTGCACCCGTCCTGCTTGAGGGATCCTGTGGGCAGCTGGTTTGCCAGCATGTGCACCAAATGCTGGATTGGATGGACTTTTGGTCAGATCCAGCATGGTTTTTCTTACATTCTTATGTTCTTATAATGGGAAAACCTCCCACAGTTTCACATTTTTCTGACTTCTGCTTTTTTGGTTTGTTGGGGTTTTTAAAAAGAAATTTGAACAAAACAGTGAATGTATTTTCACTGTGCACTTATTCCAAAAAGATAATTCCGGTGATCACTTCTCCCCAAGGTATGCATTTTTGACCTTTTGAAATACAACAAGATTTCTAGTTTCGGGCTACAACAGGAGAAAAACCTCATGTTTCTCCAGCCCCAGTTGTGCATCCTTCATTCATCTTCATGCTATTTTTCCCCATCCAGGGAGGCAGGTGGTGTTCTTGCTGTTTCTAGTGATGGCAGTAGTGACCTTCTTGGAAGCTTAGTCTCTGGGGGCTGCTGAATAACATGCTTGGACAGAACAAGCTGAACCTTAGATGGTCCCAGACTCCAGGGCTGTTGAAAGAGGCTCATAATGAGGCCTGTGCCCAAAGAGAGAATTAGTTTTATTACAGAAGTAAAACAGCCAGCAGATTCTGTACAGAGATCTCATATAGGGTAGCAGTTAATGTGTCAGAATAGGAGGAGGGAAACCCAGATTCAGTTCCCCACTCAAAACTCAATGACTTTGGGTCAGCCACTCTTTCTCAGCCGAACCTACTTCACAGGGCTGTTGTGAGGATCAGGTGTGGAATGGGCCAACAACAATTGTGTACCATCCTGATCCCTTCTGGGGAGAACCAAGATTGCATGCACACACATGTGCACACACGCACGTGCGCACAGAGAGAGAGTCCACAATCCTATGTCAACTTAACTAGGGGTAAGCCTTACTAAGCACAATTTGGCTCACTTTTGAAAGTAGTCATGTACAGGATTGCTTTGTGGGTTCTGTAGCCAAGAGGTTCTGTCACAATGACAACACAAACTTCAGTCACTGTATGTGAACCCCTTAAGTGTACAGAGATTACTAAAATCCATCTTTCAGCTGAAAGAGGCAGCAGGATCCAAATTGCAATCTTTTGAGCTCAACAGCAAGTTCATCTTGCAAATCCATCAACCTATCCTGAGAAATTAGCCTTCCCCAAACCTGGTACCTGGCTGGAGATGATGGAGGTTGTAGTCAAACATATCTTGAGGCCATCAGGTTGGGGATGGCCCCCCTTGTCTTTGTTTACAATGAACAGCTCTCTGCTTATTTAAACAAGCCCAGACATTTTAGTTCTTCAACATTTTCTTGGTATAGATCTTGTTTTTTGTTTGTGTATAATAATAATAACAACAACAATAATAACCCTGGAGTGTTCCTGGAGTGTTCATATCTGAGCCAAGAAAATCATTCTCCTAAAACTCTTTGTCCACTCAGTGGCGAAAAAAATCACATTACTCAAAAGTTTATGATTAGACATGCCACTTTACATTTGTTTGGAGACTTTGCCAGAACTCAAAAGTAGCAGTCCATCAGCAGTGAGATAGTGCCCATACCATCTCTGAGCTCACTGCCTCTATTCATCATGGGTGACTTCCAGCCATGGCTGCTTACTCTCCTTGGTGGCATCGTTTGTCTTATTTTTCTGGTGAAATGCATCCAATTTTTGAAGTATTTCCTGCCACATATATGCAGTACTTTGCCTAAGTCTTTTTTCCAGTCAATGGGAGAATGGGCAGGTAAAGGAACTTACTTACTTTTGTATTGCTATGATGTGCTGTGCTGTGTTGTAGAATGACGGACCGTTTGCTTTGTCTGCTTTGTATAGCGGAGTCTTGATAGGGCTGGGGGAAAAAACCCTGTTTGAACCCCTGGAGAGGCTGCCTGCCTGTGGAAAGATTACTGAAACTGATCACCAATGTCCTGTTGGTATACAGCACCCTGTTTATGTTCCTACCATGCATGGCTAGTGCATTAATTCAATAATACTACTTCTTTAATTGTAAAAGATACCTAACTCTTTACTTTTTAGGTTTTGTTCAAAGATTGTTCAAAGCTAGTATTGCTGAGAAGATAAAATGGAAACATAACTCGTCACTGGTGTTGTGATGGTCAGCATTAACTTGTGATTTTTAAAAATTGAATATAGTTGCAAATGCTGTATCTTGCAAAACAACGTAACAAGTAACGTTGTTTTCTTGGGTTTCCCTCTCCCATTCAAGTACGTTTTTGAAATTGTTTGTAGTTAGTTTACCCTGCAGCACAGTCCCAAGAATAATTATTTACTTTGATGCAAATTCCTATTAGCCTGATGGGCTTTCTGCTTAGTGAGGGTACACAGAATTGGTGCAATTCTTTCAAGACTTTTTCTATAACAGAAATACATTTCTCTACAGCGTAGGCTTTCTCATTTTAAAAAAGAGATATATACACACACACCTGTTTAATATATGGTTTTAAATTTTGTATTGTAAATTTTAATGATATTTCTAATATTTTAAAATAATACAGCTTTTATTAGTTTTTAAATGTGTTTTGTGAACTACCCAGAGAGCTTTGGGTGTTGGACTGTATAAAAAACGAACTACTTTTATCAACATATTTATTCACTTAAAATTACATCTAGGTTATCTTTAAGCTTAAAGCCATCTCATAGCCTCTTGAAAGAAAGCCAGTTCAAAGATAGCTGATAAATACCAACACTGGAGAGACAAAGAAAACATACTGAAATGAAATAGATTTGAAGCAATCAGGCTCCAGTCCTGCAGAGGCTTGAGAATAAGCCCTTTCAAATATAGCATGATTTCAAATACACATGATTCTGGGTAAAAATGCATAATGTGGTGCCATAAAGTAGAACTTTGTACTTAATTGGAGTCAAAGTCTCATTGAACTCACTGCCATTCACTTTTGAGTAAAGCAGCATAGGGTTAAGCCCTAACTAAGATAAAATGTGGCTTCATTTGTTTTTACTTCAAGCCCTCCTAAAATGCAGTCACTTTTTAAAATAGCACAAACTTGCCCAGAGGGTGCCATACAGGCTCCCCTTTTCCCCTGGTGCATTTGGCCTGAGGTTGTAAATTAGAAAGCTCCTTTTTGGTGTGCATCATCACTGTGTACATTACATAGGCGCATCTCCTCCAACTTCCCAGCAGTAGTTCTTGTTTACATCACAAAATAGCTTATCCAGCAGTTTGATGTGTCTGTTTTTGGTTACATTTATACCTCAACCTTTTCACCTTGCAATGGACCCAAGGCACTTTACCAGATGCTCCTCACAACATCCCTGTGAGGTAGGCTAGGCTGGGAGTCAGTGGATGGCCCAAAGTTACCCAGTGAGTCCCTTTTGCTAAATAGAGATGAGAACTCAGGTCCCCCAAGTCCGAGTCCAACCGCTGCAGCGTGCTCTCTTTCCAGCGGGTCATAAAAGCAGTAGATTAGATTTAAAAAGATTTAATCTATAAACTTAGTCAAACTTATTTATATGAAATGCAGATCTTAAGTTGTTAGCTTTGGAGTGGTTGTAGTCTTTTAAGGATACACTTAGTATAATTGAAACTAAATGAAAAGTAAACTTTTATTTAAAAAGAATAGGAAAACACTGCTTGGATTCTAAGTCTTTGTGAGAGTAGCACTTCCTACTGAGTAGATACATACAGGATCACACATTTTAAGAATTCACATTCTTAAATAAATGTGTTTAAGTCAACCTAGGACTTTTCCCTCCACACGCACATCAAGGCAATCATAAATCGATGATTTTTTTTAAAAAGGACTTGCCTCCCAAGACAAGTTCACCTAAGCAAGTTTAACGAAGAAAAGTTTCCCATGCCCTACACCACCTGAAGAGCCCCCCTGGCCAAGGGTGGCCTCCTGGACAACATGGATCTGGCTCTGTGGCTAGGTAGACGGGTGCGTGGAAAGTGTGTGTGAGTCACGAGAACCTTTCCTTCCATGAACTTCCCTCAGTTAATTTGCCTTAAATCCAAGCTCAGTGTAACGTGACACTGCTCTTTCCCCATAATTTCTCCCCGATCCTTGAAAATGGTTAACAGGCAGTTGTTCAGCTTCACCTGACTTAAGAGACAGGTCCATTAAAAATAATCATTTCTGTCTACCCTGGTAGGTAAGAAATCTGTGGAAACAATGGGGACTTCACCCATCCAAAGAAACCCAAGTCACATTGATTTAGGTATATTTACTCCAAGAACAGCATCTTGTAACATGTTAACAGCGCCATAGTATATTTTCCTGTGTTCCATTTTCTGGGTTAGATCACTTCGTGTTATCCCCACTGCTCAGTGCTAGAAGCTTTTCTACATACCTTGACAATGGAAACTGGGATATAAAAAGGCCACAAGGAATCAAGGTGTTTAAAATATATGAAAGAACACGGCAGCTAAAGATCTTACTTGTCTTTTCATTTTTAGTGATCACTGGAGCAGGAGATGGCATTGGAAGGGCCTATGCCTTTGAGGTAGGATAAATGTGCAACATTACTTAACTTACTATCTGAGTGGGATGGTGTAAATTGGTGTTCTGCAACAGCAGGTGGTTGGACCTGATGGCCTTCATGAGTCCTTCCAACTCTACTATTCCATGAATCTATGATTTTGTTATTCTATGCATATTGTACTTTAAAGTATTCAGAGTATTTTGCATAACCTTGCAGCCTGATATTGGAGCTTCTTTGTATCTACCTGGGAGGTTTCTAGGTCGTTTTCAGTAGAATTGGCAAGGTTTTCTGACACCAATCTAAGAATGGCAACAATATCGTTTATATCCACCTTGGTACAGCACTGTGCAGCACCGTCCCCCCGCCCCCTCAGCTGTGGAAAAAAATGCTTGTGGCAGGGAAACAGGACGTTGTGCATGTGAAAAGTTCTTTTTCCTGCTCAGAGGCACCCTGTTCTTAATTCTTAGCAATTATTGTCCTGCTCAGTCTGTGTTGGGCACCTGGATTGGGTTGGTGGGCCTCCAGGGGTCTAATAAAAATGCAGTAGGACGGGTGACTTCAGTGCCAGTGAGGCAGCACATCCACTGTGGTTAAAGTTTGAACTTTCAAGGGGTCCTCCATGGTGCTGAATGCATTTTAGCAAGACGTTCAGCAAGAGGTGCAACCCAGAATGGATGCATCACAGCACTGACATGGGAACTACCAGCCTCTGTATTAGATCCCACAAGCCCAGCTTGACATCTGCCCAGCCCTGCAGCAGGTTGTTGAAGGCGGCAGTCCCTGCAAGCAAGTCCCACTGAACACAGTAGGATTCGCTTCTGAGTAGACACACATGAGGATCTGGTGGAAATTTGTCTTGGGTGTGTTCCTATGAGCAGAACACATGCAGAGCTTCCACATGAGAAATCTTCACGGCTTGTTTATCTTATTACCCAAACAGTGCATAATTTTTTTAAAATACTGGAGCCTTGTAGCACTTTATCTCATGAGCCAAGGTACCTCCCTTGACCAAACACCAGCCTCAATCTGTTTATCTTATCCAGTACAAGTCATCCAGAGTGTGCCCAGAGCGGTTTGTTGACCCCAGTCTAGTGATTACCTCCCAGAACTTTCCTTACGGATGTGCTTGTGCCCCAATCCCTGAGGAGGTCGCTCTCTGAAAGCAGGCACACTTCCTTTCCACCCTCTGCTCTTCTAACTGGGCCTCTTGCCTCTTGCTGGCACCGAGCCGTGGGGCTCAGCCCTGAAGTAGGGGGCTGGCCTGTGTCTGGAGGTCCTCCTTCTCAGCGGCCCCTCCTGCTTGCTGTATGCCCATGCCATCCCCAGGATCTTTCTGGCACAATGCAGAGTCTGCCCTTGAGCTAATCTCGGCCTCCTCCCGCTGTTGCATCTCAGGACCTTGAGCGAACCTGCGCTCCTCCGTTCCGGTTGCTTTGCTTTGCAATGTCGTGCCGGCATTCCACATACGCGCTGCTATCAAGACAAATGCAGCAAGCAGCAGAACAGGGGGCCACCAGGACTTAAACTAACGCAGGGTGGGCAGTCCCGCTAAAGTGCAGTGAACTTCACACTGAAAATGCTCCATCACATCATTGCCTGCTCAGTTCTGAAATACTGATATGCTTAACACTTGCTTTTGTAGCTGGCCAAACGAGGACTAAATATTGTTTTGATAAGCAGAACACTCGAAAAATTGCAGAAGGTAGCCTCTGGCATTGGTAAGTCTCTCCAGAGGGAAAGCTTTCTTCCCATGCTGCCTGGGGGACGGGTGGGATGATGGCAGTTACAGTCCAACACAGCCAGAGGACTTCAGGTTGGGGAAGGGTGGCTGAGGCTCCAATCCCAGCCAAGCTTTCTGCACCCATTCGGGTGGGGGATGGCTGTTTCAGATTGCATTGCAAAATTCATGTTATGAATCAGCACATTTTCTTTCCTTGGGTGATAGCCTTGCTGGGAGGAAAAACAAAAAACAAAACACTTGCTATCTGAAGTTTGCCACTTTCCTGATTCATCTTTGCTAGGAAAGTGTCCTCTATATCTAACAATGAAGTATGTTGCTGGCAAAAGGGAGAGGATTTATGTTTAACAAAAGAACTGAATTTGTTTCAAACTGAGTTTGCCTTCCAATGAACACCCTAATGTTTAACTGCGTATCTCTAATGCAGAGGTATACAGGAGTCACTTCCCGCTGCATGTTTACTAGGAATTGTCTGAATTGTGAGCTGTTTCGAAATCTGCATGATCAAATGTAAGAGCTGTAAGAGGTGTAAGAGGTGTTCTGGCATAAGCTAACATGCTGCCTCTATGCAGTTATGCATTATTGTTCTGGCATTTTAGAGCACAGCAATCTCATATCTTCTCTTCCAAATGCAGAAGAGACTACAGGAAGAAAAACAAAAATAATTCAAACTGACTTTACCCGAACAGACATATATGATGATATCAAAGAAAGTCTCCAAGGATTAGAAATTGGTGTTTTGGGTAAGCTATTGAAGAGTTATTTTGATGTCCTAGAGTTAATTTCAAATCAGCATGAGAAATGTCTTGTTTCTGTATATATGAGTTTAGAAATTGTTGTAATGGTTTAGAAAGCCATAATTATGAATGGGTAAAATGTGTGAGACAATCTTTGAAGGTGAAAACGATGCCAAGCATTTGAGAATGTCTCCTATCATTACAAGCAGCAAAACAGGTGGCTAATTGAAGGTGTTTAGTTCTAAGTGGTTTCAGTGAGTGATTTAAGTCTCTTTTTCCTTGAGAGACCGGGTACAGTGGGTGTGCAGAGTTCTTACAGGGTTCTCACAAAATGATTTGAAAGAGATCCAAGACGGCTTGCTCAGTGCTTTCAGCTCAGCAAAAGATGCAAGCCCTTCTGCTCATCTTTATGTCAGATGCCAGGCTGAACTTCTTGAAAGTGACAATATCATGTCATGAAGACCGGAATGAAAAGTCTTCTCTGCTCTCTGCCCAAGTGACAACAGAAGGGTACTCTTCTATCACCAATGTTGTCATAAAATTCAACTTGCTGATCCAGTCCTGCTTTTGCATGTGGAATGTACGAGGTGCTACCAGGCAGGCTCAGTAGTCTGGGATTCATTTGGCCTGTTCACACATAATGATGGAAAATTGGGGGTTTAGTTACTCCTGTTTGCTATGACAAGTGCTTGGTGTGAGCCATTTCCAATTTCGTTATGCATCCTGCAATCTCTTTGCTTATTGGCAGCTCCCTGGAATGCAAACCCAGACACTTTGGGCTCTTAAACACCCAAAGATGATATGAGAACTAATGGTAGGTTCACTGTGGGTTGTTTAACCCATGAACAAGCCAAAGTATCTTAGTTTGCATGTTACAGAGCAATTAGGTTGATTGGAGGTTGAATATTGATATTGGAAGCATCCTGCACCTGAGACATGATATAGAAAATTATAGGTTAATTAAACCTTATTATGCATGAGCAGGATTGTACCCAGCTTAGGCAGTTGTACCATCCAGCTGTGTGATTCCACTAACTGTGCTTCCTTTTTTTAGTCAACAATGTGGGGATGCTTCCTGACAAACTTCCATGCCGTTTTCTTAATATGCCAGACAATGATCAGGTAAGGACCATGTTGTGATGGTATGTGTTCATGGATGGATGCAGTCGCTAAAGCCAACAACCCCCACCCCCCTTCATACAGAATAGAGACAACTAATATCTCTCTTCAAATAGACAGGTTGCCTGGGCAACATGTGGATCTCCAGATCTGATTCCCATCATCCTTTACCATTTGCATGCTGGCTGATGGAAATTGTAGGCCAAAACATTTGGAGGGGCAAAAGTCCTCCACCCCTGTTTTGAAATAAAGCATTCAATTCATTGCAGCCTGAATTTATTTTGATGAAGATTCTTTTGATTGGAACACAAGATTTCCACAAATTTAATTGCCCTATACTTTGAAGCCAGTCAAATTCCTTATACCTTCTTCCATTTCCCTCACAATCATATTCCAAAAATATTTTTAAAAACCCAAATTGACAATGGCAGCTTCTAGAATGCCTTTATTGTGCAGCTTGCCAGCTTAATTCACAGATTTCTGCAGGAGCACATATAGCAGTGGTTCTCAACCTGAGGTCTGCGGACCCCTGGGGGGGACGCGATGCCATCACAGGGGGTCTCCAGAGCCGTGAAGAAATGTTATGTTTTTTGCAGTTAAATCTGAATGAACAAATGGGTGAATGAATGAAAGCAAGAGGGACTGGGAATTAGAACAAAATCTATAGATTTTGAAAAATAGAACAAAATTTTCCATGCTTGTTTTGTAAAACTTGGTTTTTTTAAACCTGTTGTCTCAATTAAAAACAATCAGATATATAAATTGGCTATGAATTAGCATGTCAAAATACCATAAAATGGGCCATCTGAGTGAAAAGAATGTTGATACTACTCTTTGAAATTCATATGGAATCATTGCAATAAAGATATTATAATAGGAGTGTGTGCATTAACAGATTAACTTATTTCTGCTTCCCTCCAAATGTGAAGGCCCTTCATGAGAAAATTGAAATAAATATTTGCTGCAGTCTAGTGCTTTAAATCTTAAGTCTTGGTGGTCTGCAGCCACAAAAGGTATTTAAAGGGGGTCTCTGGTAAAGGAAAGGTTGAAAACCACTGCCATACAGAACCTTTCTCCACTTAAAACCCTCCCATGTTTTCCTACTGCTTCTTCCATCAGTTCTTCCATTAAGGAGAGAATGGAATAACTACAGAGTGTCTTTTGACTGTTAGGACCCTTCCATGTGGGAATTTCTTCCTAAATGCCACAGAAAATCCTGTAAACTTGAAGGAAGGATATAGAAGAATTTACTTATAATGTCCAGTTTTACAATGGGATGGAAATAACCAGAAAAGCAACCTAAGGTTGCATCCCTCTGCACTTACTGGGAATAAGTCCCATTGAACTCATATCTATACATATAAATTAGCACATGCACATCATTATCCCATTTTTTGGTATACCCTAAGTGCCACCTTACTCAGGTGGCAAAATTTGCCAACTTTAAGTGTTTCCTTTTGGAAATCACTTCTGGATAACTTGTCTTCACCAGATCACCAAACCTCCTGTGTAACCTGTTTATTATTCCTGACAGGCCATCCTCAACTGCAACATCTTGTCTCTCACCAAGGTATGTACCACATACAAGCTAATCCTGTGTTGGAAAGAGCAGCATTTCATTTGTGTGGAGGATGTCATAAATAAGTAATGTATGGTCAAATACCTTTTTCTTACAAAATGTTCTTTCTGATTATAGTGTTGTTATCTATTCATTGGAAAGATCTTGGAGCAAGCGGCTTTTCAAAATTGCCTTGAATTAGACTTTCTGTAGGCCTATACACATCCTATACATTTTCTGGAAGGGAGGGAGGGAGGAAGGGAGGGAGGATAACATTTGAAAGAAATATATATCTTTTTAGAAACTTTACCCAGGCAACAGAGATAAAAGACTTGAGTTCTCTTAGTTAAGAATTCCTTTCTTAAGAAATTTCTAGCTTCCCTGGGATAAATAAAAGAAGGGAGCATCTGATAAGAGCAAGGCTTATCATAAGAGGTGGAAAGAACTAATCTGCACAATCACGGAAGTTCTCTAATGCAGGCCACAAGATATTTTTCTCTCTGAGGTGAAGGATAAGATGCCGCACCCGCTTCATTCAACAGAGGCTGATAGGACTGGCAGCTTAAGCTTCCACTCTGTTGAGAGGATGGTGTCTTTCACCACAGCTGAAGGCATCAGGAAGCATATGGAGGAAGAACAGGCCACCCAGCACACCCCAGCCATGACCCCCGGTGCCGATCCTCTGTTCCCCATTCCCCCAGCAGCCGCCTCTTGATACTGCTGCCTCATTCTCCCTAATTATAGAGCCAGCTACCTTCTTCACCCAGCTAATTGGGTCTTCCTGATTTCCTTCCATTTCACGTATGCCCAATGCTTCCTGCTCATGTGTTTTGGTTTTAGTCTTTGTGGGCCAGACACTGATGTGTAGCCAAACTACCTCACAAGATTGTTGTGAGGATAAAATGGAGAGGGCAAGAGCTTTGCAAAAGGAATTTTGCAAAAAAGGTTTTTTTCTTGCAAGAGGAAAAAGTGCTGTGATAAACAAAATAGGTAATTTCTACTCCTTCATGGCTGAGTGGTGCCTAGACCCCAAATCTCCAGAGTCTCAGTCCAACTATTCTAACTACTGGTGGTGTAGTCATGCAACACAGTGCTAGGTCATTCCTTCATGTTTCTGCTCCTCTCATTATGTGCTGCCTTCCCACCTGTGCAGTAGAGGCAGCTTCCTCCATCATGCAGGGGGATGATGTTGAAGCAGCTTTGAATATCAATAGCCCTTTTGAATCACTAATGGGTCCTCCTTGGCTAAGTGGAGAATGGACAGGCATCTCTCAGGGTTGCTAGAGCTGCAAGCTGTCTGCACTGAGCAAGGAGTTGGATGAGATGTCCTCCAAGGCCCCTTTCAACTCTACAATTCTATGATGTAATTGTCTCAGACAGGCTCCATCTTACATTTCTAACTGTGTGTGTGTGTGTGTGTGTGTTTTAGATAACACGGATAATTTTGGAACAGATGATCCCGAGGTAAGTTCTTCCTTACCTTCTAGTTCTAGTTTGTTTTCACCCGTTTTTAAAGTAGCTTTGCAATGTTGTTGAGCTTTGCATTAACGTAATACAGTTGGGTGACTTATTGCAATGAAGGACACTCAGCGCACAATCATTCCAAAGAATACACAATCCCAGATGGATGTAAATGCCAGGCTCTGAACTTTGGCACTGCTCTGTGCAGAAGGCCAGTGGCTCTGATAACTTTAACATGTGAGCAGGCAGGCAGGGATGGCTGGTCTGCTTAAGTGTAAGTCTTGCCTGTGTTCTGTTCCAGCTCAGAGCTCCTACTCCACCCAGCATGGCTGCAGACAAAGCCAATGTCTAAAAAGTCTAAGGTTTCCTTACTGGCAGTAAGAGCTTTGAGGAAACACTGGGTGGCATTTCTGGTAGTTTGGGCCCTGCCCAACCCCTGGAATGCCACCCAGGAGCATCTCCAAAATGAAGTTCAGCCCTCAAGCTGGTAGAGGTTTGATGACCCTCAACTGAAAGCTATGTGCTTCCCTCCCTTTTTCCAAAACCTAACTGGATGTGTACTCAGGTGTTTTGCTGTGGGAGAGTGCATGACCTCCAAATGACTGTGAAAATCTTAACATTAGAGCAAAATTAAAAAGAGACCAAAGCCCTCTGTGTACCTCTCTGGCAGTGTGTCCCAGTGAACCTGGCTGGGCTTGCACCTGGAGGAGACAGGGGCAGGATTGCCCCGTGGAACATATGCAAGCAGCAAGCGTGGGCAAGGGAAGAAGGTCACATGCGGGATCCAATAGGAGGCATGGCATTCGTACAGTGGGGCTCTGGTCTGCAATTGCAGAAGCAACACATACCTAATGAACACGAGAGAGGCTCAGTCTCTACATTACCAGCAGTACAACTTCTCTCTTGCCCTTGCGTCACAGTTAAAGTGCTGTCATGAGAGATGTGTGCACAAAATTGGGACATAAATGTGCACTTACAGTGTTTAAAAAAAAACACAACAACCTTGAGGGCCAAACTACATGTGGAACTACATGCACTGGAAGGAACAATACCAGTTTTTTCAGGCAAATAAAAATGTAGAGCAGATGCAGCCCACTTTACCAGTTTCTCAGCATCACACCATGCAAGGATGGGAGGTTAAATCTTTTCTTCCCCTACAGTCCAAGTGGACTGCCATGAACGTCTTCTCAAATCTATAGCAGTCACAGTGAAATAAAAGTCTACCCCATCTGCTATTATTTATTTTAAATGGGGAGACTAACATGGTTCATAATGTGTCATCTGTAGTTTGGTTGGCATTGAATGAAAAGTCCTGGATGTTTTACTGCAGGTAAGATAAAAGCTAATTTACTGTATTTTTTTGTTTTTCATTCTTCAGACAAAAGGGTCTGATTCTGAACATCTCTTCTGCTGTTGGTACTTTTCCTTGTCCACTTTTTGCCATCTATTCTGCCTCTAAAGTAAGATTTTTGTTTCTTTGCGTTGCAAGCTTTATGTATATACTTCTGGGTTTATGAGACTAAAATTACATTGGCTTTAGGGGCCTAGGCTACATTCCTGTGTTTGCTGAGGGGATGTCCTAGGGACCATCATGTTTTCAAGATCTTCCCTTCAAGGATGGAGAGAGATGTCTATCTGGTAGAGAGAGGGCCAACCTTATATACATCTACCACAAGGCTGTGGAAAGGGCTGCAGCTGGTGCCTGCTATCCATGCTTCTCCAATCCTGCAGCTTTAGTGTCTGAGAGCACAGAATGGAGGTGTTCCACCAAATGCTGTGAATATGCAGGATTCGAAGCCCCTCCACATAGTCTTGGAACAGGAAGAAAGAATGCCAGCTGGGGAGTTTGCATAGTTTATGTCCCTCCAGCTGGTATCTGTGGGATGGAAACTATTTCCCAAAAATGAATTAAACCTGGGCAGAGGAGATGGCACTCCATCTTAGATTTTCTCTTTCCTGCCTGGTAGAACTACAATCCCAAACACACACAAACTCCACTTGACTGAATGGCACTGATGTCAAAATAAATATAGATGGCCAGCATTCCATATGATACATGGCCTCACCCCTGGCTGATGTCATCACCAGTATGGATTCTACAGTTCCCAGCTTTCCCTGGAGGAACCTATGGCGTGTAAATAAAAACCATACATTCCTACTCACTCTTGCTGTTCAGGTGCTGAGTGCTGATGGGCACCCATTAATGGCAACAGCCCATCTTCCTTCTGAGCTTTCTTCGTCTTGCATGAGACAGTTCTTCAAAGAGAGCACGGAACTGAGTCTTAGCTCCCCTGGCCAAGCCCAGCCCACTGATAGACTTCATACCTTTGTACACCTTGTGTGCTTGTCCGGACCTCACTATATAGAGATGGAGGTGTTGAGGGTAGAGATAATGTGCGATTCATACACGCACACACACACATTCTCACCCTTCATGCTTCATCTTGAATGCCTGAAGGGGCTCTATATCTGGATTCACTGGACAACTGTGGGCAATTCTGTGTACCTGCACTCTGTAGTGGGGTGATGATAGGAAGGAAAGATCACAGATTTCTAAAAGGGGGGTCCTAGATGCAATCTATCATTTCAGTAATTAAGTGAAGAAAAAATGTATGCAGTGATTGTTATTTTCTTCTCATATATATGTCTGTCTAGGCTTTTGTATACACGTTTTCAAGAGCACTTCAAATGGAGTATAAACCAAAAGGAATCATTATACAGGTGATATATTTTTATTTTGTATTGCAATCAGCATAATTTACTGAATAGATTATCAGTTTCTGTTCACCAGATAGTTTTCTCTTTAATCCTTCCAGTTCTTGGGAGAGGAATAGGCAAAGAAAGAAAAATACTCCAGATGAATGCCTGGCTGTGAAGGTGGGACCACAAGCTACTCTTTCTGGAAGATGGACTACTGAAAAGGAATGGCTTGCACCTTACAGGGACAGGAAAGAATGTGTTTGGCCATAGCATAAAGAAGTTATCAGGAGGCTTTAAACTGAAACCTACAGGGGAGGGAGAAGTACATCTGGATGAAGCAACAGAAAAAAGCTTATGCACTGCAATAGAGAGCAGCTCTAACAGTGTCTCATAATAATCTTCCAAAAATGCAGGAAGAAAGCTAGAGTATGAAGCACATGGCATCTGATGTCTCTATACTAATGCCCAGGACACAGGAAACAAATGGCATGAACTTGAACGCTTAATACAGGACAGTGAATTTAATTGGATAGGTATAACTAAAACTTGGTGGGATGACTCCCATGACTGGAATTCAGCCATTGAAGGATATAACCTGTTCTAGGAAAGCAGAAGTAATGGAAAGGGAGAAGGAGTTGCCTTATATGTTAAAGAGACATATCTCTGCACAGAAATACAGGAGGATGAGCTTAGTGGCCCCATCAACAACATCTGGATTAATATAAATGGCGCAAGGAATAAAAGGATAACAGTGGTTGGGGTCTTTTACCAACCACTAGTCAAGGAAAAGACAAGGATGAAACTTCTGAAAAGCAAATTGCCACTTTTTCAAAAAGACATGATGTCATCATTATGGGTACTTCAATTTCCCCAATATCTGTTAGGAGACAAATTCTGCCAAGCACAGCTCTTCCACAAGATTCCTAACATATGTTGCTAATAACTTCCTTCAAGAGAAACTGGAGGAAGTAACTGGAGGAACTTGGCTTGTCCTTGGCTTGATTCTAACCAACAGGATAGACCTAGTGGACAAACTGGCAGCTACAGAACCCTGAAAGAAAGTGGCCATACCATACTTGAATTCTTGATTCTAAAGGAAGTAAAAGCAAAGTGTAGCCAAACACATACTCTGAAGCTCAGAACAATGATAGGCAAGTGACTATAATGAGAAAACAGGACCAAAATGGGTGGGAATTTTTAAGTTATGAAATTCTAAAGGCACAATTAGAAACAATTTCAACAAGAAAAACAGGTAGAAGACAAAAGAAGAACCCCATGTGGCAAGGACACATATAGGAAGTGGAAGGAAGGCCAAACTACAAAGGAAGAATACAGGCAAGTAGCACAGAATTGCAGGGATCGAGTCAGGAAGGCTAAAGGTAGGAGTTAATTGAGGTTAGTAAGCAATGCTAAAAGCAAGTAAAAAGCCTTCTTCAGATATGTTCACAGTAAAAGACACAGGAAAGAAATTGGGATTCAACTACTCAATGTGGATGATAAAATTGTGACAAAGAAAAGGCAGAAGCACTCACTTCCTACCTTGGCTCAGTCTTATCCCAAAGGGGAAGTACAAGGTAAAGGAGCATGATGGCAGCCCAAGACTGATAGTCCAAGGATCTTTTATCGGGTTGAATAAGTTCAAAGCTCCAGGACTAGATGATCTTTACCTTAGAACTCCATCATAAAGGAGCTGGTGGAAGACGTCTCAGAACCACTGTCTACTATCTTTGAGAAATCAGGGATGGCGCGGGAAGTGCCAGATTACTGGAGAAGGGCTAATGTTGTCCCCATCGTCAAGAAGTGAAAAAAAGAAAAACCTGGGAACCAGTCAGTCAGTCTGACATCAGTCCCTGGGAACATTTTGGAGCAGATTATAAAGCAGTTGGTCTGCAAACACTTTGAAAATAATGCAGTGATTACTAGAAGTCAGGATAACCAGGATTTTGATTGGATAACCTCCCTTGTAGGCTGTGAGAATGTTGTGAACATAATCTATCTTGACTTCAGCAAAGATTTTGACAAAGTGCCCGATAGTATCCTGATTAGCCATAGTGGGCTGGGTAAAAGTGGGCTAGATGGAACAACTATCAGGTGGATCCAGAGTTTGTTATAGAATCAGAATCAAAGAGTGCTCATCAGTGGCACCTTCTCAACCTGAGGAGAGGTAACAGGTGGGGTACCACAGGGTTCAGTCCTGGGCCCAGCGCTCTTCCACATTTTTATTAATGATTTGGATGAGAAAGTGCAGGGAATGCTTATCAGTTTTGAGATAACTAATACCCTGGAAGACAGAAAGAGAATTCAAGGTGATCTTGACATGTTGGAATGCTGGTCTGGGCTGGAAGCCAATGCACAGGCCAACAAGCTATTGATGTTTTAGAGGTCTCCTCGCCCACTGTTTCGGAGGTTGTCAGTAAGCCAAGAGCTAATCTTCCTTCCTGGAAGACAACATGGTGGATGAGGGGTGGTATGGGTTGAGATGAAACTGCTTCGGTAAACAGTCTTGTTTTTTGCAGCTAAATAAAAAAATAACCTTTTTATTTAAGCATCATTTTAATTGTTAACAGTATTTGCTTATTTATCTGGCCAGGGCGACTTCTTTTAGATTGTTATTTATTTTATATTGTTATTTTTATATTGTTATTTTTGTATTTTATTTTATGTTGTGAGCCGCCCCGAGGCTTCGGCGAATGGGGCGACATAGAAATGTGTTAATAAATAAATAAGGCAGCCTTTATCTAAATTACATCAACTGGGAAGACAGCGGCAAAACAAGTATCTCTGGTGCTTTTTCTAGCTAGTACAAGATGAGACCATATGTAAACTATCCTGGCTTTTGGACACGATGAAAATTCACTATACTACTTGTTCAACCTTAATACAAAAATCATCATGGCTCTTGCATGATGCTTGAATATATCACTATTCTGCACTAGTGGGGTCAGATGGCCAGGATCCTCTGCCACTTTTGACAGCTTCTAAATATCATGGCATGTGATGGTAGGCAGCTAAGTATACCCAGAAAGGATGTGCAGATGTGTCATAGCAGTGTGCAGTATGTAAACAAACAACAATCACAGCTTTGCCCCCACCCTGACAAATTCCTGTCCAACTCTGTATTTTATGCTGGGGATGGGGCAGAATCTCAGGCCCAAAGGGTCAAATGCAGCCCATCAGGAACCCCAGATGGCCACGCTCATTGCTCCTGACCACCAATACTATGGTGTTTTTCCGGCTTTCCTCCAATTTTAGCATGTTGCAATGCTCTCTGCTGTAAGAGTGTTCAGCTTAAAGGGACTTGCATTTTTGACCTTGCTCCTTTGGCTTCTGCCATGCTCATTGCAGAATTGTGAAATGGAATGCAAAATGGAATTTTGCTGTCAAGCTGAAAGGGTTTCCACACTCTTGCTTTACAACATCCTAGCAACTACTGTTTTTCCAATTCGTACTGTAGAACCCTGCTGTAAGTGACAAAGCATTCAGCAAAGTGAGGCGATTGTGGCTATTATTTTCTCTCTCATTTCAGGGAGTGACTCCTTTTGCTGTTGCAACTCAAATGTACATGAGAAAGCCCAGTCTAACCATCAAATCAGCAGAAGAATTTTGTAGAGAGTCACTGGAGTATGTCAAGTTTGGCGATACAACCTTTGGATGCTTAGCCCATGAAATATTGGTAATTCTCTTGCAATCTTTGATCTGATGAGAGAGGTTATTAGGGCTTTATATCACCATCCTTTTGAGGATATTGTTTAATGTTTGTCGGAAATGTTGCCCAACTCAAGCTTACTCAAGTCTATCTAGAAGTCCTACTATGTTTAATGGGACTAGTCCCTTAAAGAAGATAGGAGTGCACTGTCTGTTCTTGTATTTGTACACAAATTACTACATCAAGTTACAGAAGCAGATATTATGGATTCTGCTGTACCATATTGAGGGAAAGCTGAGATCTTCATGATGTGATTGGTTGTGAGCCTGCACTGGAAGGCTGAGAACACTCTTGCTTATTTTTAAAGTAACATTTTGACAACAGAAAAGAGAGGTGGCCACATAGATTTGAATATACCAATTATAGGGCAGACATATGAAAATACAGATTTCTAAGAACTATTCATAAATGCTAACAAAATCAGACCATTTGTCCAAATTATATTGCATTTATAGAAGGAATCTATATACCATCTCAAATGTTGACAGTGTGGTCAAGTCTCCATTACGCTACATCATGGGAGGTCCCTGATTGTCTTTCCAGTGGGGTGAAGTCAGTCTTTTAGCTATCTGAAGATGCCAGCCTAGTGATGGAGAACTGGAGAAGGACCATCCTTCAGTGGCAGAGCACAGACTTGGCTGGCAGATGATCCTGGGTTTTGTTACTGGCATCTCCAGCCAGAGAGGGCCTTTGGGTAGCAGATGTTTAGAAAGGCCACTGCATGAGATCCCAGGGTTCCAACATAGTGTCTATAGGTGCTTTTTCTGCTACCTCCTCTGAATTTATTTTATTTTATTTATTTTATTAATAGGCTTTAAATTATTAGTTTAAAATAGGATGCCATGCTTCAAATCAAAATGCTACTCTCTAGCACCATCTTTACCTTGGTGCAGAAGAGTGGTTTTGTGGTTTGGAGCTCAGGTCCTGTACTTTTGTTCTTGGGGAACTTACTTTTCTTTTAATCTCTGCCTTTGGAGAAATGAGTGCTTTGTGACCTCCCCTTTTCCAGCTATTTTATGAATGGGCAAGCCCACCCCATGACAGTCACTCTATGCATTGTAAGCCACCTCAGAAGGCCTCAGCAATTATAGGTGGCCTATAAATGCATGCATGCATGCAAATAAATAAATAAATAAATAAATAACATTCTCACAAAATTTCAGATTCAACCACCAACCCAAAAAGTTTGGGGAGTCTTCCCTAAGCAGCTGCTCCAGAACAGACCATGCTAGACGGATGGAGAGTCTAGTCTGGTATAAGGCAGCTTCCTATGTTCCTTGCCTGTCCTGAATGCCCAGAAAGGCAAGGAGCCTGCATTGCCAGTATATTAGTCCCCTCTCTCCCTCCTTCTGCATACAAGAGGGATGGATCCTCTGTGCTTGGCAATGGAGATGTGAAAGGGCACTTCTCTTTCTCACTGCAACACTATAAAGGTGGAGAACCCATCTAAGTGAATCGGGTAGCTGCCAGAAGCACCTGATACTGTGTGTCATGAGAGGGGTGGTTCTTTCCTTTTGTTGTTAAGCCAGGAAGAGGGATGGCTGCTTTCCTGCCTCAGGTACCAAAGTAACCTGACTAGGCTTAGATATTGGGCAGCTTTACTTGGCAATACAGTGGGAGACAGGCACCCAAAATGTATCTTGCCAAAGAGCACACCATGTTTCATCAGTGTTATAAAATCTGACCACATATGCAAGTTCTTAACGAGCTTTTCTTCCTCTTTTGTATCCTTTTTAAAGGCACTGCTGAGACAGTGCATTCCTTTGTGGGTCTTCGAGAATCCAAGAGTCCAAGACAGAATAATAGACATGATTTCACCTTCTGTGAAAAAGTCTTCAAAATGCGCCTGATAAAGATCCCTTCCGGAACACCAGTGGAATGCAGTCTGGTATGAATTAAGCCAGCAATGATTTTGATTGATTGAAAACCTTTAAATATGAGTTTGAGGAGACCTTCAAAATCCTTTATTAAATTTATCTGGTTCTGTGTTGTCTTTTCTGGAGCCTGACTTTACAGCTGGTACATATTTTTAAATGATGTTATTTTCACAGTACTGATTTTCACATTTAATGTTGGTTTTCATGACATGATTGAAGCATGATTTTGAAGGGTATTGTTTTAATCAATTACTTCATTGATTAAATTTGCACGTGGGCAAAATTAAATAATTCTGAATCAGGAAACATACATTCTCTTTTTTACAAAGTTCTTGCACATGTTGCAGTAAGTATCATTTTAGAAGGCTGCCTCTTTTAAGCTTCTGTTATAAATCCTTGTATTAAAAATTGTATGAACTAAAAAGGGTAGTAGAGGCTGAGATCTATTAGACTGTTAGACATTTTAATTCCCTGACAAAATATGGATCAGAATATCATGAAAAATCCTAAGATAGTAGAATACATTTAAGAAGGATATTGGAAATTAACGTCAAGCTCAAGACATTTTGCAAATTAGAGTAGTTCCATAACAGAACCTTTTCCCCTTGATTTAAAAACATTAGTTTTTCACTGCTATTTAATACATATGTGAAAATTCAAATTCAATCCTCCTTGAAGGTTTTGAAAAAGCTGAATCTATAATGCAGCTGAGGTTGCTTTGCTAGAGCAGAATTGTATGGCATCCAACCTATAACCTATTGCATTAATGTATCTCAGGTTAATTAATAAATTCATCTTTACTAAATACATATACCCTTGTTTTTTGTTTTCCTTTGTGTTACTTTTTTGAATCTTTAAACCAAGGGTGGACAACATACAGCATACAGTGCGAATGCTGTCTTTGCTGCCCCTAACCTAGACCCTGCCACTTCCATGAGTTTTTCTGCTACAGAAAATCAACAGGATCAAATGCACTTCATTTTCAAGCACGGTTTGACTCACATAGCATGCTGTGGTGTGTTGCATTTCAGCAGCAGACCTCTGAGGTGTGCATGAGTATGTGGCATCCCACAAAGTGCAATTCATTAAGGGGGGAGTGGTTACAATGCCCCCTGTCCCCATGAAGATACCCACCTCTGGTTTAAAGTAGTAGATTCAAGGTGGATGTGGCTTGATTATGTACATACATTGTGGGACTGGGCCCGTATTGACTAAGTATGGGGGCGGTGCTATTCAGCTAACCATTGACACTACCCCTAAAATAGAGATGAAATACCTTGCATCTCAATGATTTTTTAAAAAAGTGAGATTCCAGAATCAGAAGAGGCTGAAAATATGAGCTGGGCCAAAAAAAAAAAAAATCCAGGAATCTCACTTTTTGAAAAGCTGTTGCAATCCTAAGTATTTCACCTCTCCATTTGCTTAGGCTAAAGGTCAGCCTAGGGTTAGTGTTTCAAAAATGGTGCTTCCTGTGAAGCCTCTAAGGCCAGAAACCTCCTCAGAAGAGGCTGAAAGTGTGAGCTGGATCAAAAAAATTCAGGAATCTCATTTTTTAAAGAGCCGTTGCTATCCGAGGTATTTCACCACTATTTTAGGGTTAGCTTCAAAGCTCAGCCTAGGGTTAGGGTTTGATAAACGGTGCTTCCTGTGAAACCTCTAAGACTGGAAACCTCATCAGAAGAGGCTGAAATTATGAGCTAGGCCATACTTCATGATCTACCCCTTATTCTGCATTCTGAGTAAAGGAATCATAATTTAACAAGAAAATAATTGCATCAGGCAGCAAATGTTGGAAAAAGTGGGCAACCGGAATGGACCATTTTTCTTCTGCATCATCTTTTTGTCTGCGGTCATTTACCCTATAAAGGATGGAAACATTTCACCTACAGCCTCTTCACTGATGGGCCAGCAGGTGGCCCCTTCTGCTCAACACTGGCTGGGACTGAGCCGAGAGCGACCCTGTTGCATAGTGCTGTGAAACTGGGCACCGCTTTTCCAAGTGTTAAGGAGACAGAAGGGATTTTCACTGTTCATTCGTCTTAAGTGATAGGAAACATCACTTTCATACCTGCTCAGCAGCTGGCACCTTACTTTGGGCACAAAAAGCCTTTATTTGTGCCAAAAGCCACTTAAACAAGATCTTATGGAACATATATTCTTTGCTTCTGTATATCTGACCGAATTCACTTCTTTCCTACAGTTTCTGTCTAATTGCACTGTGTGACTTTATGACAAATTTACACCGGTTCAATAGAAAAAGGTCACCAGCCTATTCTGCATTTCCAGTGTCTCAAAGCACAGTTTTCTGGGCCATTGCTGCATTGTAGGCAATTAATTTAAATGCCTTGACAATAGTCTTTAAAAAGAAAAAGAAAGAACAAAGTAAGAATCCACGAGAGGGCACTATTGCTTCATATTCCTAAATCCAGGCTACAATTCAACTCCTCCCTTCCTGCTATAGCCTAGTCCTTTCTCACAATCTGTATAGTAGGTGATGAATCTCTGTCTCTGCCATCTCTCTGTGTATGTGCATGTATGTGTAAAAGAGCATCTGGTCATATGAACCAACTGCTGTCTAAAGCACAGATAGGTGGGGCTGAGGAGAAACGTGCAGAGCCTAACGTGTCTGGTCAAGCTGGGTTGCGGGGAGATCACTTGGGAACTTGCCCAAGCACATTTCCCTGATAAATGAATCAGTGCACTGCCCTGGATACCCTAGACGTTCGTAGTGCAGGTTGCAGCTGGTCCACAGCTGGTCTGCAGGTGTGTTTGGAAACCTTTGTTGTTCCCCTGCCCACCAGCTAAGATGATGTCTAACCCTCACCCTCACCCTCTGCATGTTGGAACGTATAGAGTCCATCTGGCCCAGCTCTGTCTGCTCTACTGGGCAGTGGTGCTCTGTGGCAGCCCTTCTCTGGTGCCATCTATAGGTTTTGGCTGCCGGTTCTCATCAGCTCTATGCAGGATGGCCCATGGTAAGGGATGCTGGGAGCTGTAGTCCCAAACATCTGGAGTGTACCAGGCAGGGAAAGCTGCCTCAAGCAGGACTCCCATACGCCTGTGCACATGGAAGATGCTTTCAGATGGAAGTGGGAACTGCAATGCCCTGGACCTTCTGCAGGTGAAGCACCTACTCGATATGAGCCAAGTCCCTCCTCATTAAATATGGCTACAGAGCTACAGATTGAAAAGCGAGTCTCTAGTTCTCCTACTTAGTTTTCTCAGAACGATCCAGTATCCTCTTAAGTTCTTCTTAAATAATTAAGACCTTCCACAACTTTCCCAGTCTTAAGGGAACAGAAGGGGTTTTTGTTATTCATTCACCTTTAATGAGAGGAGATAGAACTTACTTTGGGCACAACAAGCTCTGTTTGTCCCAAAAGCAGCTAAAACAGATCTTACGGATCTAACGAGGCATTTATTGTGCTCTTACGATCCCTTGCTCACAGCAGTTCGCAGGGCTTTCCTACAGCATCATTGTACAACAGAGCCTCTCCCTTGTTTTCCAGCCTCATTGGCTTTTTCGGGGTATTCTCTATATGAAGGGTTTAACCTGTGGCTGTACTAAGGGCGCTTCTTCCGTTTTTGTTGCAGAGAAAAAAAAATCTTTTGCAAAGGGCTTTTCTGCTTTTCTAGCTTGCTATATACTTTACCTACCAACCACAAGGTGGCGGTGTGGTATAACTGTAGTAGAGCAGCTTTTCGTCTTTTCAGGAGGCGTTTGTTCTGGATGTCGCTGTTTCAAATTTAATATCAGATTTTGCTTGGATGGAAGGAAGGACAGAAGGAAGATTGCAAAAAAGCCTTTAAAAACTGGCCCTGGAGAACAATGACATTGGGAAAAGGCCTAAAAGCCTCCATGAGTGAAAGATCATGAGCACACAACAAATGCCTAGCATAGCAAATCCCTTAGCGCACAGGAAGTCTGGTATTAAATTTTAAATTGGGGCAAACTTGAAAAAAAGCCTCAGTTTTTTCAGGCTTTTGCAGATTGCTGCAAATCTGTTATACTGCATCTATACCACAGTGCCATCTTGTGATTGGTTAATAAATAAATGGAAAAGCCAATAAAGACAGACCTGGGCAGTAGGGGAGGTATAAAGGCCACATTTTTCCTCCATCAAAAAAGTAGCCTCAGTAAATCTGCGGGGTTAAATCCCTCATGTAGAGAAGCCCTTCTTCATTCTTTCTTGTGAGGAAATCAAAACATTAGAAAGGCAGAAGCAAATACAATTTGGGATTTCTCAAAAATGTTCGATAGTGTTTTTCAAGCAACACTTGGAATAAATAATTTCAAATTGTGATTTGTGTTTGCCTTCTGATATTTGTATTCCACATACTTCCCTTAAAAGCACGAATGAAGAATTCTGCCTATTTAGTGCCAAAAAGGTATGATCCAGTCAGCACTACACTCTTTGAAATCCCACTGATCAAAATTGCTACTACTAAGAATACTTTGCTGCCTGTGCACATGCAGAGTGGAAAAGGCAATGCAGAAAGGTCTTGGGACAGATGGGAAGCAGCACTGGAAGAAAGAGAAGGAAAGATGAGGCTAAGGGAAGAGAAAAGCAAGTCAGTTCAGTTCCAGGTACTGAAAGCTAGGCAACAGATGGGAAGGAGGATCAGGGAAAAGGCTGAAGCAATGCAGAAATGACTGGGTGGGTTGGCAGGTGGGGGACTGGAAGGAAGAGAGAGGATGCAATTGACAGAGAATTAGGAATGTGTTTAAAACAGCACTTCAGCCTGATGATGCTCTGATTTTATACTGGTCAGCAGGTGCTGATGCACTGTGCTGAGTTAGGGACTAGGCCATGCATAGGGAACCTCTGCTTCCTGGGTCAGATATAACATGTGGGGGTTCCAGTTCCCTACCTGGGCCAGCTGCTGTCTTCCCGGGCCCTCCTGTCCCTCTTGCAGCAGACAAACGTTCTTACCAACCTATCGGCTCCCTGCCGCATAAGTGAAAGGCCGCTCATTTGTGCACGTGGACCCGGACACACGGTCGGATGGGGAACCCATGCACACGTTGTGAGGGTTGTGTGTGCCCGATCCAGTAGTAAGGACTACGCACGTATAGTTGTAGCTCTGGGGTGCAGGGAGCTGGAGTCCTGGCAGTGTGCTGTTCAGGAAGGAAACGGGGGGGGGGGGGGCAGGGGGAGCTTCAGTGTTATGGCTCCCTGATTGGTGGAGTTTGCTGCCTGCACCCAGCCATGGCCGCTCTGTATATCCTGTAGTGGATCAGCGCCATGAAGTTCACCTATTTGCTTCTCACATTACCGAGGTCAATCAGCAATGGTTTTGTGCTGCTGAAGCTTTGGTTGACAATACTGCAATCCTTTCCAAAAAATATAAAATAACCACCAAAGAGCCATCAAATGGTAATGAGCTGTGGATAATTCTCACTGGAGTTGCATTTCATCCTATGGCCTATTAAAAAATAATCCATCTACTTACCTTGCCC